CATATATTCATAATATTATTTGAGTTCAGCCTAGTATTTACACCTCACCTGCAAATATTTCAATTCAGTATTTAACTTGATTATTAAATTTGATTTTAGAAGTATATGTTGTCACTGATGGACCCTCAAATAAAGAGACTTGGTTGGGAGAGACAGCCTAATGAAGGACATTTGGCAAAGTAAGACCATGCCTTTATTATAATTAAACTAATAATTAAACTGCATGATGGAATCTTAATTATTTGTATTGTGATTAACATTTTATGAATTATATGCTGAGAATTTCACAATGTACCAATGATTTGTACATTATAAACTTAGTATGTGTTAGCTTGCAACCAACCTGGGCAAATATCTATTGAAAGCTGATTTGTTTCACTCTACCATATGTGAGGGCTCTTAGTGAGAAATCAAAACAGATGGTTTGTGAGAACTCTCTAAAGGGCATTTCAGATATTAACTGACGTTTGTCCAACTGTGGCTGACTCGCACATTTTTCAAGTTTGGCTAACAAAGAGAAGGGAGGGCAACAACACTGTTACTTTGATATGTAATTCAGTACTATGACCACCAGTTCTTTTAATTAGCTTAATATAGACATATAAACAGTGATGGTGGTATTTTTGGTAACATTTGTTGCTCTGCTAATATCTTTTTGTAGTTGTAGAATACTAGTGATTATGAAAAAGTGGCTTTTCATCTAGTATTTGGAATTAGTTATGATAAAATGATTATGATAATATGTTATTTGATATTTAAGTTTGATCAGAAGGTTAGCTTTGTAAACAAAATGAACAAAATTATATCCTATGATTAAAACTGGTATTAGATATAATTATGATATATTTCAGTTTAATGCGCCTGAAGATTCTCAGCTTAGCTGTAGAACTGGGACACAATGAGACAGTCAGCAGAGCAATGAAAATGTTCAATGACTGGATGTTGAGAGATAAACCGTAAGTTGCATCTTTTTGTCTATTAGAGAGTTGCTTTGGATGTACATATTTTGAGAATGACCATATATTTCCAAAATTAGGTCATTATACAAGCAAGCAGTGACATAACAGACAGTTGGAACAGTCTGTGTAAATGTTTATGGCAACTGTTAGGTAGGCGAAACTAAAGTATAATGGTTAAGATCTAAGCCTAAGAACATATTAAGAACATGCATTTTAATACAGTTTTAAAATGGAATGTTTGAATTCGACAATAGGAAATTATTATCCTGCAAAGATGTGGCCCATCTGATTTGTTCGTTATTAAGTGAATATGCCTGTTGGCAGTAGACTTTAACACAAGATAATGGTTCCCAAATGTTTGTTAAATAAGTTATAATACTGTTTTAAAGTCAACTGTTTGTAATTTTGCCAGTTTGCTGTTTACATGCATTTTATCAACATTTTGTGTATTATGCCATAGAGATTAATATTATTATATGCTCTTTCATTTTCTAGAATACGGGCAGATTACAGGTCCATAGTGTACAAGGCAGGAGTTAGTAATGGCAGAGAAAGAGAATGGGATTTCTGCTGGAAAAAGTACCTTGCCGAGTCCAATGATGCTGAGAAGAAAAAACTTCTTATAGCTATGACCTTTACCAAGAATATTGATAAGCTTTCTAGGTATTGATATGAGATTTAAGAACTTAAATGAAATTTTATTTTTTCATTTAAAAATTTAATTACAGATTTTTATTTTGAATTATTTTCATTTGGTATATAATACTGGTGTAATTCTATGTTTATGGTCATTTTTTATCTCGAAGCTGATTGATTTAATTGGACATTAGCAAGAGTGCAATTTATTATTATATCAAGAAATGATTTCTCATTTTGCTAATTCAGGTGTGATTATTTCTAGCTAAAGATGAATTGAAAATGTTAATATTGAAGAAGAAAAATATTTTCAGGTATCTTCAGTATGCTTTGGACCCAACAAAGATAAAGAAACAGAGTGCAATTCAAGTGTTAGCTGGAATGTCAAGAAATCATGCTGCCACTGCTCTTGTATTGGCTTATGTGAAACAGAATTGGGATATCATATATGAGAGGTAGATATTATTCTGGTTTTTATGTGAACTGAAAGTTTATTCAAAACTAGAAATATTCACAGGCAAGTTTTATTTGTGGTTCAGTCTCTTATTTTGTGAAAGCATGCTTCAGTGCAAAATTGTCCTTTTTTAGAAACAGACATTTGGGTCTTGTTGAATGGTTATCCTTTTTGTAAAATTACAAAACCATACACACTCTTGCAGTTTTATGATGTTTTATTCATTTTTATACAAAAATTAAAATACCTCTTTGTATCTTGAAATATGTATCTGCACATGATGTTTGTATATTGTACAGGTATGGTGAGGGCTCATTTGAGATTGGTCGTTTAATAGAGAAAACAACCCAGACTCTCCATACTCAGAGGGACTATGTCCAGGTGGGTTGCACTCTGTTTTCACTGTAGTTTAGTCCATCCTTGATTTCTGCTAAATGCCTACAAATTGTGTTAGAAACTAGAGATAAACTCCCAAGAGGATGGACTCCTGTCAAGGCAAAATGTAAAGAAAAATAAAATAAACTTAAGAAAATACTATGAGACCTGGATTCAATCTAATATTTGCGACTTTTTATTTCCCCTTGAAAAGCTGAAAATTTCATTAAAATTCTTCCATGTTAGTCACTTCAATTTTTTTAATATCTTTTACAGTTGAAAAACTTCTTTAAAGCTAATGCAGAGAAACTGGGGACTGGTGAAGTTGCATCAAAGCAAGCACTTGAAAGTATTCAAGCTAATATCTTCTGGATCAAGAACTGCCAGGATGCCACTGTTACCTGGCTGCAGAAAAAACTGAGTTGATTAAATTGGTTTGTCATAATATTAATCAGCAGTAAATAGATAATCATTAATAAATAGATAATTAGATAATAAGGGGAGGATAACAAACATATTATACTTGGCGGTTTTATTAGTGGCACCAGAATGTCCTAAAAGATTTAGAATCATGTGCAATAAAATTATAAACAGAGACAGTCTTTTAGGAAAGAGGAAACTCCAAAATGCTGGTTCAGAATATTTTTATGGACTGTGTCACAGTGGCTTCACCAGGTAGTAACTGCTCACTAGGGGTTTTGTTAATTTTGAATACACAGGCAAAATGGGCAAAGGAGCCTTGAACAACAGTAATTTGCTGAAAATAGTTTTATGAAACTGGCCTCATAAATGTTCTTTTATTGCTCACCCTACTGAATGGTTGTTTAAGGACATTTGAGCAGCACTTATCTAGTTGGTAATCGGTAAGAATTTTATCATTACTCTGTGATTTAAATGTTATTTGATAAGGGGCAGTGTAAAGTTTATTTGTTGATATAATATGTGAAGGTGTGATGCTATAGAATACAGATATATTTTGGATAGTTTTAATCAATGAACTATCCCATTAAACTTTAGAATATGGAGGTCAGGTAGGGTGTAGGGATTTCTACAGCAAAGGCCATCATATTTATTTATTTATTTTAAGCATTAACACTTTAACTTTAAAATAAGATTTCAAATGCTGAAATCATTCCACTGGTGAGTAATTTTTTAACATCTTATTTTTTTATTGATATTTTATTAAAAATGGATAGACTTTTCTCTGAACATTATAGATCTGCTACTGAAAGTTTCATATATATTTTTCATCATAAAAAGTGGTACTTTAAAATTGCAAAAAATGTATTGTCTTTATATAGAATCCGTGCATGGCATTTATTTGATGGACTAAAAGTTAAATTCATAGCTGTTAAGAACATCTGTGTCATATTCTTAAAGTAAATATGAAAAAAAATATGTTTGTATGTTTATGTCAAACTTTGTTAAACTGTGGATCTGATTGAGAGGACTTAACATGCCAGTTTTGTAATACTGTTATAACTGTTCTCATTCCTGTTTTATAATTTGAGAACATATTTATGCTGTTATAAGTTAGTTGGTGCTGTGGCATGACACTCTTACAAAGGGTAATTAAATTTTTTTTCTCTTAAGGTAAATTGCCATATGAGCATGCATTTACTTGTAGTGCACAAATTTAGGTATTAAATGATTGTTTTGTTTATTTACTCATGTATTTTTTTATCCAGCCAATGAAGATGATATGTGAATCTGAATGAGAATGATTTATACATGACTGATTAACAAATATAAAAAGTATTTGTGCTTTGAAAATACACATAAAGCATTCAGATAATTATCATGGTTATGAATGAGTTATACACAGATATATTTCATAAAGACTATTTCATAAAGGCATTCCAAATTTCTAGAGCTGTGTTGTTAAGCAGTGTGTCAGTCTTTGTGCCACATTTAATACTTTTGTTTTACTACTGGTTCATTACCTAAATGATATGAAATTAAGATAAAGGTGAAGTTAAAGGATGTGCATATAATATGATGGTGGACTGTACTCTTATCAAAAGAAATCCATGTTATACAATGTACTTGGATGTTTTTCTTAAAGTCCCCTTTAATCTATCTTTTGCTCTCATTTATGAAAATTGTGCATTATCTGATACAAGGTGATCTGTTGCTTTAACTGATATTTTCCAGCCACTTACTGGTACAGTGTATGAGTAGATAATTATTGCAAAATAATGTATTTTGATTTTTGTTACTAACCCAGGGGAATTGTTTCTGTTATCAAAAAATCAAATAATGCAAACAAAAATCTTCAATTTCACTCAAAAGTTTACTTTGTTTTCACTCATCTTATGAAATGTATTGAATGCAAGAAAAGAGTTAGACAATGGGGCCGTAGCAGTAGTCCGAAGGTTCATTGGTCCGAATGTTCACCATAGAACCTTCGGACCAATGAACCCTTGATTAAAAAAAAACGATGAAAATGTTATTATTTTTCCGACCAATGAACCTTCGGAATATCAAGAGGCCCCCTTAGACAATAGCAAGGTAATTCAAAAATTATTGCATAGTTATATGTAATGTTGTATTTTATCTTATGGAAAAAACAGTGATGGGTTGCACTGTAACCATGAAAAACAAGACGTATAAAACAAGTTCTGTAATGTGAAAATTTGTTGTTTATTTGTACAAAACAACACTGAAAAGTGAAACACTGGTGCTTTCAATTTCTTGTGAAAAAAATTGTATTGTGAATACACACACAGTGTAATTTGTGAAAATGTTTATGATGTAGTAAAGTAAAACACTGCCATATTTTTGTCCAGCATCTGTGTCATACATCTAACAATATGAATTAATGAAATGTGTATACTACATTTATATACAGAACATGTACTTCTTGCTCTTAGATTATTTTATATTCGTTAATTGGAATATTTTTTCTGTAACCATAAATAATTGAAGCAAAAGATTTTGGTTACAACTTACATGGTGTGGACATACATGCCATTGTATTACTGTTATAGTATGTAATGAATATACACTGTTGAGGCTTAACAATTTACTAATGAGTTGGTTATAGGACAAGGATTATAAACTACATTAATCTCTAAATTAATCCCTATTTTATGAATATGTAATAAATCACTGAATAAGCAAAGCATGTCATACACACTAAATTGAGGTATGGTTCAAAAGTCTAAATGTCTATTGTTCTTTTCAAATAAAATTATTAAACAGAAGAATGTGGTTTTCACAGTGTTTGTAATTTATAAACTTAACAGTCACTTAGTTGAGAAGTGGTGAAAACGTGTAAGATGGTACCAGAGCTTTGAAGTAATGTTTTATGGGTGCAATGATTATTGGATGGTACATTACATACATATGTACAGTATTGCTGAATGTAGGGTTTTCAAAAGAAATACAGAACTCTTAAACATTAATAGAGAATGCAGGACACTTGATCTTAATGCATCAATCAGGGCACTTGGCAAACATACAAGGGTAATTGCCGGACGTGCAATGCAGCACAAGATAGAATGTTTTCAAAATATTCTGCTAGTAAATTTTTCGATCAAGAATAATAGCGTCTTGTATGCTCAAACACAATCCAGCGACATTGAATTATTGGCTTTATTTATTCCATAGGTGAAATCTGACTGCTGAGCCAGATTACTTCAATTCTTATGATTTATAATGAATTCGACGATTTCTTTAATCACCCTTGCTGATTGCTGCGTTTGCTTCTCAAGGTAGGTCAAAATTATCCTGTTCATTGCAGTAAACTGACAACTAGCAAATGTTGCTCTACTCTACTAACCACGACCATGAAACTTCAATTTCGATGTTTATGAAAGCCGACCACATTTAACAAGATGCTCAACTATTATCACACCACGCGGAAACGATATTTTTTATCTTGCACACAATGACCGTGGATACACTGGATGTAGGCTACACAGCACGTGCCCCTCCCTTCGGCAATATTCGGTCCCCTTCTAATTGTCGAATAAATGGCACTTTGTTTTGGCAAATTTAAAATTAAGCATTCAGAAAAAAAAACACACTCGCAAACACATACATGCATGTGCAAAACATGAAAAGAACAACACAGTTACAGCGTTTTACTCCCACAAAACTAGTAATCGAGGAAATTCGACTCATTATATTCTTCAATGTGTCTTATTAAATCAAGTTGTTCGGAAAAAACAAAGAAGCAAGAAGCGTTGTAAGGTACCGCAGATAATCTTTATTCCGGTTAATTTCTTATGACGTGTACATGCTAGTGTTGCATGGGTGCATTTTTAATCAGATACTCTAACATACGGTAGCAGGCTACTACACATTCATCATTCATTGTATCTACAAGTACTTTTTCCTGGTAGCCCTCTGATAAGGTTGATACAGAATTTTACGGTCGGTAAAATGGTTAAAACGATTGAACGTTTTTTACGCCTTCTATATATCCACAAAAATGCCCAGAAAATGTTTCCCCAGCTTTTTAAACTGCTGTAGAATGTGAAGAAGTTTGCAGCGCTCACTAGCATGACGTCAGAGAAGTAACACAGCTTCTGAAAGTGATGCATAATTAAACAATTATTAGTAAATTGGAATATCAAACACCTACATATATATATATATGCTGTATGTGTGATTTAAAATAAAATTCAAATTCAAATATAAATACCGTCGTTTGAAAAAAAGTTTGTCAACATTTTGTCATGATTAAGAAAAAACTGACTGGCTGGCTGACTACACTCATTCTCATTATATGGGTCCATGTAACAATTGATTTTATTTTATTAAAATAAAACGAATGGGAGAATTGTTTTTCCAAGTGGAATTTTACTAACCTCAGTCTAGCAACTTAAATCACTAAAAAAAGTATTACTACATTTTTCAGTTCTCACACAAATATACATAAACGGACTAAATTTTAAACCGTCGTTAATTTCGGTATCCCAAATGGACCTATTTATTGAGAATAAGCTTTTTGCATTAAAATGAAAAACCTCAAATCATTAAAGTATTTGTCTATGTATACTTTACCTTCATTTTGGTATTATACAATTACTGGGGGTTCAGTAGTTTTGATGGGATCGGTACACGTCCACAGGCCATCTACAAGCTGGCACTGGCTCCCTACACCACATGGACTCTGTATTTCCTCTATTTGGTTGGGTTCCACACACATATACCAATGAGTACAGTTACGAGAGGCCCATGTGTCGCCTAACTGAAAGATACAGGTGTAATACAGGTCAAACAGCGTGGATATTTTGGAAGTTTATCGTTTTAGTACTACTCTACATGTAAGGTGTCCACTGTGCATTATAAGCAGTCCAGACCCGACTGATGTGTAAAAGAGCTGACATCAGTCATTTAATTATTTTAATTAAAAGTATTTAAAAACACTTTACAAGGCCAAGGCTCTATCTTGCAATGGTGAAGAATTTTTTTTTAATATTCTTAGTTCACTTTGACCGCAAGGCCAGTACATACATGGACATTTAAGAGAGCAAAAATGCTTTTTGTGTATGTATGGGGAGGGGATATGGAACTGGTTTAGTGAATGTTTGACGTTTGGATGTATAGAAGTCCAGAAAACTACCGGCACCCTTTTAAAGGTGAAAAAACACGTTCTATGGTATTATAAGATTACCTGATGGTAGCCACCCGTTGCATCCTCACAACCACAACGGTCCCGAGGAACACACAGATGGCCACTGCGCACGTACCCGGCCAGACATTGACACCCCTCTTGTGAAGCACATTGCTCGGAGCCCGAGGGGTTGACGCAAGAGGCTGGACAACCAGTCATGCTTGCATTATAACGCATGTTGTATCCCTCCGCATTACACCCATGCAGCGCTATTCAAGAAAAAAGAGAAAAATATGACCAAGATATGTAAAAAAGACCAACAAGATCGAGTTATTTTATCAATATCTGAACTAGAACAGGAAAGAACAATAAACAAATCAAACGACCTTAGATCTCCGAAAATAGATATTGAAAGAATTCAGTGCACTTTGTATAATATTATCTCTATACCTATCACATACGCATTTTATCAAACTACTTGCTAACGAAGTTAGAACCAGCAGGTCTGCATAATTAACTGGTTTCTGACGTATTATTTTACATGTGCACATTGTGACAAATTGATGACCAAATGACAGCTACATTGTATAACTGATAAACTTACGACAGTCGGTTACTTCTCTCCAAGCTCCAGGGAATACCCCGAGTCCTGCTTCTTCGCAAGCTTTGGCATATGTCTCAATGATACCACACGCCACCTCATGCTGAACCTGTATTCGGAGAGAAAGATCTGTAATGGTTTCTTAGCATTCAAAATTCATTTTCCATATTTCTTTATTTCGAGTTTAATCCCTAAAATTAATTAAATTTAACTAATTTTTGATGCGTAGACTTTTTTTGCATTTAAAAATATAACAACCAGTTACCTTCATATTTGAATTTTCATTCTTCAAAGTATCTCATGTTAAAATAAGTTAGCCTACCTCTGGCAATGTTGCTTCATCTCCGGAGGCTGAGCAAACATCAATTGCACAGGACACGTAGTACTCCTCGGAATTCACGAGTGGACTTGCGGCACATCTGCCAAACACGCCATCAACGTTCTTTATGACATCACAGAGGATCTTTTCCTCACAATCCCTTTGCTCTGAAGAAGCTTGACGCTTGCGTCTCCTCCCACCTGGTGCCTGGCACCTGTGTAAAAGGCAAAAAAATTGTCGGGTTCGGATTTTACAAAGTTTTTTAACAGACCCAACAATAAACAAACAAACAAACAAACAAATATATAAATAAATAAATAAATAAAACTGTTCAGCATGATGTGTGGTTCGGCATTCAGTAGGGCCTATATTACAAGAAAAATGACCCAGGCGTGTGTTTATCACTCTGGTCCTAAAGAGCAAAACAGAAATAGTACATCAGTGCAACAGAAATAGCAACTTGTTTATGAACAATTTCGGCATAAAATCCGACCAAATGTCACTTTGTAATTTAAAATATTATAACTCAAAGAAATACCAAAGGGAATCGTTTTATATTTCCCGAAATTGATATTTGGTATTTGAGATAGGTATTTTTCTGATTTCTTTCTGTGATATCGTTGGTCGTTTTCGGCAACACATTTAAATAACCGCGGTCAACAGTAATGCACAATGTCTTACTACTCGGACTTCTGCGAACTGAGAACAGGTAAATAAGTCATCATTTTACAACCAGAGATTTGAAGAAAGGGCAGTTTTGAAGCTCTTTTACAGCTGATCGAGTGATTTATTCGGTTTAACTGTCGGCTCTTTTGAGTGGCATAAAAACTGATGGTGCTATACCACGCTCTCTTCAAAGTTATTTCAAACTCAACATATAATTCTGGCTTGTCGCACATGTTCATGGACCTACTTTTATGACATTATTACATGTAACATTGACAACAAGAATTTTAACCCTACGTAAACAATTTCAAAAATGAATGGCAAGACTTTAAGATTCATTAAAATTATATTGATTTCATTTATCTTACTCGGGTCCGAGACTGGGATCAGGAACCAACCAACTCTCGCCAATCTGGTCGTACATGCCCTGGGTTTGTGGCGTTGGGAACCAGAAAAGACCGACCTCATAAAGATAGCCCACATACGTCCCGTCCTTCAGAGAGTAGTCATCGTCCTTATCCCCATTGCAGGTACCACACATGCCACACAACATTCCTCTGTATGTCCCGGGAATACATATGTTAACTTTATAGCGTCTAGGAACGCGGTGTTCCCCCCAGTGGATGGTAATGCCGAAGTCAAATTCGAAAACAATGCGGTTGCTAGCATCCAGAGATATGCTGACGCATCTTCCTGCATTGCACACTTCAATAGGGTCGCCGCCATAAAAGATTAGTTCCCAATCATCCTACACATGAAAATACAATCAAAACAAACTTTACTCATTTATGATGAATGTTCTATATTTTTTCAATAAAATATCCCGAACAACGTAACATTGTTTCTGGTTGAAAGATATATTATTCTTCCACATATTGCAATCTAAACGAGTACAGCGTTTTTGAGAAAATGACTGACAAAGTTGATTCCCAGCTGACATCTAATTTTAGGATATGGTGGTGGTTACGCTTTGACATACAAATGGGCTGCAACACTGCGGGTGTAATAAATTATGTACGACTATATATGGATTCTTGTCATCCTTTCAATATGCAACTTATAAATAACAATTTTGGAAGGTACCATATACAGCCGCTGCTGCACTCGTGGTCCCATAAATGGAAAGGTCCCGGTGATTGTAATATTTTTTACATGAACTATTCTTACATTATACATTTTCCTTGTACAAAAGCAACAAATAAGCAGGTTTACTTTATTTGGCCACATGTTTGTTTAAAAGCTGTTTTTATGCTTACCACAAACTTGAAAGCTTTCGGCGGGCCGGATGGACCTGCTAATCCAGGCGCTGGGTCTCCTTGATCAAGCTTGAATTTCATTTCAAAAACGTCAATGTAGATTTCCTTTGGCCAGGAACGATCCGTGGCAAAGTTGGGATCGATGTAGTTGATTCCTTCAATGGTAAACTCTGTAAGTTCCGGGTGGACCACCGGATCGAAACACGTCTCTGTGATGGTGTATCTGCATTCACCTTTTAGGGGGAAAATATCACATTTCAAAATCATTAAGACTTTATTATGCATATTCATGTTGAATCACACATTAGGTCCATTGGTTATACGGTTGTCTGGTAGAAGAGACAAGTGATAAATAAATATTTGTGGCAACGTCGCCCGCAATCCCCTGTTCAATTATATATGTATAACTATCTGTATTGTTTTGTAGAATGTTTCCAGCTATCTAGAGTTGTTTAATTTGCAGCTCCTCACCTTGAAAATGGATTGAATTGTCATCATGTGTGTGATAATGTGGATCCCCCACAACATAACAGCAGCATCTTTCTGCAAAGTAAACACATGCCACGCCCTTAGAATTTTACACATTTATAGTCTTTTTAACGTAAATAAATGGCAAAAAGTAAACCTTCTCACAACAGAGGAAGGCAAGTGTGTAATTCATTTCTTAAAAAAATTTACCCCCATGCCGTCTAAAAATGGAATTTATTCAGTTAAAGTTAGAAAATGCTGAAAAGAAAATTATTCCAAAAGTAAAGGACTACAAAACGTGAAAGTGCATTACAACTACAGGTAATAACGAACATATGGTCACCTACCGGGGCGGCAGTCCACGTTACTGCAATAGTCTTGAGTGAGGAGGTCTTGGTTCCAGCAATTGTAATCGGCACACGGCATGTCAAACCCCCTGCGAGATGTGTCACACTGGATAAAACGTTTACAGCTCAGCGGATGGGCAAAATAGTACTGATCTGAAGGACCCTCTGAGCATATGAAATCTAAAAGTAGAAGTAAAAGTGTCTTGTCAAAACAACTTTTCCTTTCAAATGGTGCCAAAACTCAAATTTTAACATAAAAGTTGTGGAGATCATTAACAAATCTACTAATTTCCATGAAACTGGCCTTTCAATAGAACAAATGTGACAATTGGGTAAATGGCCCCAAGAAAAAAATACAACTAAGTGACCAAAAGTATTTTGATTCTTTAATCCTTTTAATGACAATCAGCGTAAATACTCACCCAGCTGTGCTTGTGTAAGAGGTTCTGTGGTCACGAGGAGACAAAGGAGAGCTAAGACGCCAACTGTAAGCCATAAAGAACCTGTACCAAAAGAAGGAAAATTTAAAGCTACATCATGGTTACACCTTTCAATGTTTAACATAGAAAACATAGAAGACTTATATTAAATGATATATGAAATAGAGGTCTAATTTGATACATCTAAACATAACTCATAGACTAATAACCGGATAGTCTTATCCAGTCGTCGGTCAATAATCCCTTTTTCGAGTCGAGAATGTCCCCGAGATGATCTCGCCCAAAGCCTATTTCGTAAATAATATTTAAAAAAAAACTTAAAGTGTACATTTATCTTCTAAATATCCCTCTTTGGGAGATTAGAATAAGATATCATGTTATAAAATGATAACACCTTTCAATGACTAAAACAACGTGTTAACCAATGAAGTCGCCTTCTATCATGAAGTAGTAATACTTATCCCATGACGTGGTAATATACTATGATGTATCTTAACAAACGTGCTTCGGTTATTGTCAATATACATTTGAAATATATATCTGCTGTGATGTATTTTTTAATCATCATTAAAATTACCACTAATATAAAACTGCCAATGGACTGGTTTTCATTATTTCTTGTTTGTTTTCACAACCCAAAAAATGCCCTTCCAGTTAGAGAAACAAAGTGAAATAGCATTAGACAGAACATAATAAACAAATAAGTTAATGATGATGATGAACAAAAAGATAAAAAGAATAGTGTTATAAAGAAAAGGAAAATAAACAATACTGTCTTCATACGTTATGTTAAAATGTCCCATACTTACTTCAATCATGATATACATGTACTCAATAAGATAATCAAAACACTTTTTTGTGTTCCTGCTAGGGAAATATTAGAAGCGTCCCCGAACCTTTCTAAGGGTAGTTAAACCAAAAATACAAATACGATGCTGTCTTTCATTTGCAATTAAAAAAATGAAAAAAAAAAAACATTTCATATGTCAAAAGCCTAACTAAAATCTATGATTCAAAATATGAGTATTTTTAAAAATAAATATTTCTGAACTCGATGGGCAGTAGAGCTAACGCTGTTCTTTAAATTGTTGTTAAAGCACAAAGAAATACCTATTTCCTCCGACCGGTTGGTTCTACAGTATATGGCTCATTAAATAATTATAACACTTACCCATTTTGGCTGCTGTGTCCAGGCCTGGATAGGTTTTTCATCGCCGACACTGTGTATTTATACGTTTGCTTACTACTTAAAATCGAGTGGTCTTGATTTCCAATTCTGGCCGGTTTGATATATTATAGGCATTTGCAAAAATTGAAAGTTTGTTATCAAGTAAATTACCTAGTTAACATAATTAATTAACATCAGTTAAGGTGATGGTTTTTGTTTATGGTATTCTTGGAATATTTTCATCAATGTATTTATATATTCATTTATCTTAACATTTTCAAGGGACATAAAGTATTACTTAGCGACCACCGTAAATAAAAGCTACCTAGTCAGAACAGTAATGTACTACCAGCTACAATAACCAGAAGTAATTTTCGGTTAAGTTATTCTGAAATTTTAAAATGCCAATTTCCGTGTGTTTATCCACTTAGTTCTTGAAAACACTAGTTACTTCCCCTTTTAAACACAAATTGTATAATGTAATACTCACTTGTCCTTGGTAAAGTACAGTTGTTCTTTAATTGTTTCATAGTTGTGAAGTGTTTATCACGGCATCCATCAAACCCAACGAGCTGTATCAAACGTTGTCTGAGTAGATACCGTGCAGTGGCATATCGAAGGGAGAAAGGGCAGAAGGGTAAGAGCAAATTGCCTTTATTTGGCAAATATAAACCAACAGACGAGGACATTCTAACTATAATATGCAAGTCACAGAGGTGGAATTTGCTTGTTTGTTTTGTATCTTTTTTCGATATATACCAGTATATATTTGGGGAACAGTATGAATGGAGATGAAGGATACCTCCGCAGCTTAAGGTGTGGACACGTACGGTCCGTGGTGCCCCCCCCCCCCCCCCGATCTACTGCTGCGTCATGTGAACATTCTGTCCGCAGCCGTGCATACTAATTAAGCCGTATTCAACATACCGTATAAAACGTTGTCTGAGTAGAATCCATGTTTTTCGTTAATTTGGCATCCCTTTTTTTACGCAGACAAATAGATTTATTGACTTGTTTTCGAAGCTCTCATCTTACAAATTTGCAATTCAATCCCATAGATATAAATCAGCATCTTATAATCAAAAAATAATTCAACACTTCATTTATTTCAAGGACGTGAACATTCACGTCCTTGGTTATTTTAAATATTACCCCACGATAAACCACATAAACTTCCATGTTAAGTAGACAGGAATTTAGCTGATCTTTGAAAAATACACATTCACAACGTACTTGCAAATGAAATACACAGTAGGTCGGCAACGAACCAGGAGAAATTTTAATTTAACCAACTTGTCAAGTGCTCAACATTACATGAGCATATTTATATTTTAAACATAAATCATTAAATCAAGCTGCTGTAAAACTGTAAAATTTAAAGTAACGGTTTCATTAACCGCAAATTAGAAGTTTATGTCAAATTCAAATAAACAAAAGGTATGGTAGAAAGGTATTGAGTACAAGTAAATTTCTCTTTGAAGACGAAAATTGCGCTTTGTACACTGTAGTTTGTAATAAGAAAAGGCGAAAAATATATTTATTTTTTGGTTGGTTGATTGCACAATCTAAAAAGTATATTTCTATTATGATGATAACAGGTGGACTGGGCGTAATGAAAAGCTTTAAATATCAAGTTTTAGAAGGCGTGAGCCAATGCATTAAGAGATTGCCAAGTAAGGGAATGTCAAATACTTAATCGACAAAAAAAAGAAAGATTTATAGATCTCACAAAAGACGCTGGGAGGAGCGAGTTTAGACGCGTGATCAGTGCAAACGGAAACGGATATCGAAACCTCTGCAACAGTCGTTTGCTGTAAATAGTTATATGAAACTGGTCTCATGAATTTTCTTTCATTGCTCACCCTACTAAATAGTTGTGTAAGCGAATGTGAGAGACACAGATCTAGTTGTTAATCGGTGAGAATTTTATCATTACACAGTGATTTTAAATCTTATTTTATAAGGGACTATGTAAAGTTGTTATTTGTTGTATTAGTATTGGTATATGAAGGTATTCTATACAGATATATTTTTGATATTTTTATTTTTGATAGTTAGATCCTGTTAGATCAATCTAGGTATGGAAATATTAACCCTGTCTTTATAACTTTAGATAATATTTCACACCTAGCAGTGCACATTTAATGTCCTTTGTTTCAAGCTAGTGTTCTGTTAGAGCTTGATTACATGGAATATTTGGGAGTGCCCACAATGAGTGGGCGGGCTTGTGTTTGAAGTAACAAATCTCTTTATAAGTTATGTGATTTACAATTTAATTGATGAAGTTTAGCATTAAAATATTTTAACTTTAAATTTTAAGAGAGAGAGAGAGAGAGGGAGAGAGAGACTGCATGAGAAGAGATCGATTTAAGCTTGGAGGTGACCATGCTTGTACCATGTAACTTTTAGTTTATCAAAATATTTTCTGTTAAGATACAACATGTAGTCGTTTCATTCTTTTCCGTGTGCAGTCTTTGGACATAGAAACTGGTAATCTCTGTAGCAGTTTTACAGATAGCGTATTTCTAAAGATGTGAGCCTATAGTGCCCAACACCTGGGGTTTTATTATACAGGGTCATTAATCTGGGACCCGGGGTCATGTACCAGAAAGTCCCCCATGACAGAGTGTCCGCTTCTCATTCATTTGTACAGGTGAGCCTCGTCCTAGCTTTTGACCTACTTAGGTCAAACTAACCCTAACCATTATAACTGTATGGAGGTCGGACTGTCTGTCACACGGACCCTCAGTTTCATGACTAAATAAGAAAAGAGGCCCCGCATAATTAAAAAGGTCCCACACACATGTTTTCATTATGTAAGCAGCGTATAAATGGTAACGTACGTTCCGGTAACGTATGCTCCGGGTCATATAATTTTAATTTTTACATCGCGTTCCAATATATTTTGTAGTGATTCAGTCATGGAAAAATATATATGACGTAATGATGTTTTTATTTAAATATTTAAACTGTAACTCAGGGGACTTGGCTAATACTATGTAACGCATGTTCACTAGAAAAATGTCAGAAAATTTCGTCTTGTCGAAGTATTTGGTGCAATAGGAAACAGGGTTTTGTGGTGCTGACCAAAAAAATATATTGTAATTCCAAGATAGTTTTATATTTCTGATACGATATTTGGACCACTAATTTAAAACAGTTTATTCAATGCTTATTTTACAATAGTTAGTCAGTAGGGTGTATCCCCCTCTTTTTTATATTTTGTGACAATTAAGCAAACCGAAGTCGTTGTCGACTTATTTTCACGTGAAGATGAAGTGAAGTGTTTTTTTTTCAGACGTAATGCATCTGCCAATAAAGGACCAATAAGAAACCAAAGGCCTGTACTGTTTCGATACACTGTATAGTATGGTGACTGGGCAAGTAAATACATATATGAAATGAAGTAACTAAAATGACGTTTAATATATTGGAAATAAAGGCAAGTGGTAGTAATGAGCAAGATGTTAAATGATTAGCACGCTATGTGGAAAAGATGCATTTTTTATCTTGCACACAATGTGTAGTGGTGGATACTGTGGTTGTACAGTAGACACGTTGATACCCGTATTCGGCGACACCCGCTCTCCCCCCTTCATTGTCCATCAAATGGCAATTTATTTGGTATTCAACTAAATATGCAGAAAAAACACACTCGCACAATTATACAACGCATGAAAAGTACAAATCGGTTACAGCGTTTCACCCCCATTAAAACAAGTCAAGTCGACTCATCGTTCATTGTGCTTCATCAAGTCAAGTTGTTCGGAAAAAAAACAAAGCAAAAAGCGTAATAATGTAGAACAGGTAACTTTTATTCTGGCAATTTGCTTATGACGTGTAAATGCTAGTGTTGTATGTGTAGACTTTATACAGATATTCTAATAAACGGTAGCAGGCTACTACACATTCATCATTAAGTGTATGTATTAGTAAGCCTCTAATAAGGTTGGTGCAAAATTTTATTGTCGGTAAAATGATAAAAATTATTGAACGTTTTTACGCCTTCTATATATCAGCAAAAATGTTCAGAAAATGTTCCCCCAGTTTTATAAACTGCTTTAGAAGAAGTTTGCAGCGCTCACGTGATTACACCACTGGCATGACGTCAGAGAAGTAAAGCAACTTCTGAAAGTGTCATTAAACAATTATAAATAAATTCAAATATCTAACACTTTCATACACAGTGGCGGATTTAGGGGGTGTCAGGGGGGTCCTAACTCCCCCTTCGATTTCTAAAAACACACCAAAGGTCCTCTCTTGAAATTGGAATTTTGACTAGCTTAATCAGTTCTAAACCATATATTAAATGGCACCTTGCGCCGTCTAATATACCAAATATTTTTGGGACCTTTAGCGGGCCCCGAACCCCTTGACTAGCTTAATCAGTTCTAAACCATATATTAAATGGCACCTTGCGCCGTCTAATATACCAAATATTTTTGGGACCTTTAGCGGGCCCCGAACCCCACGCCAAGGGGGGAGGGGGGGTCGGCTTAGCGTCCGCAGCCCCCCTTCAAATAATCCTAGATCCGCCTCTGTTATGTGTGTGTGTGTGTGTGTGTGTGTGTGTGTGTGTGTGTGTGTGATTTAAAATGAAATTACGATCCAGATACATGTATAAATACCGTCGTTTGAAAAAAAAAACATTTGTTAACATTTTGTCATGATTAAAATTATGAGAGACCTGACTGGCTATCTGTTTACACTAATTCTCAATATTTAGGTCAATTTAACATTTAAAAAAATTAAAATAAAACCCATTGAAGAATTGTTTGTCCATATGGTAATTTGCTAACATCAGTCTAAATGAAAAACGAAAAATGAAAAAGTGTAAATGAAAAACCTTAAATCATTTAAATATCTGCCATTGTATATTTTACCTTCAAACAACCGGTATTATAATACTAGGGGTGGTGGTACTAGTTGTTTTGATGGGATCGGTACATGTCCACAGGCCATCTACAAGCTGGCACTGGCTCCCTACACCACATGGACTTTGTATTTCCTCTATTTGGTTCGGTTCCACACACATGTACCAATGAGTGCAGTTTCGAGAGGCCCATGTGTCCCCTAACTGAAAGATACAGGTGTATTACAGGTCAAGCAGTGTGGATATTTTGGAAGTTTATCGTTTTAGTACTGTTCTACATGTAATCGAGGTGTCTACTGCGCATTATGAGCAGTCCAGACGATGGAAAGAGCTGATAATCGATCATTAAATATTTACTAATTTTCAAAAGCCAATGCAATACTTTTTAAAATTCTTGGATCTAGGTGGTGATCCGTAAAGTCATTTTTAAATGTTATTACTTGAAATAACTTAAAAGTTATTCCATATCTGATCCATCCTACAAATTTCAGCAAATTTCAACCACAGCTTTTTAGTTAAGCTTGTGACAAACAAAGAGAGAGACCAACACGTTGGTTGGTGTAGGTTTCCCTTATGAATGCAGCCATTCCGATCACTGAATTTTGTTTTTAAAAATAACTCTTTTTAATAGTGTGACGCGGTCGTGACTGACCAGGGTAAATTGCACAATGGTGCCCCGTGCCACTGAGAAGCAACAAATGATTACTTGTTACTCAACGGTAACACAACTTGTTCAAATTTAGCATTTGAAACTCAACAAACAAAGTGCTCATCGATATAGCTGTTTGCAGATAAAAGTAAATTTAAAGGAAAGTTTTGTTCTTGTATAGACCTACCGCACTCCACCTGCATCTCAGTGTAGTTTACATTAGATGACAGTATATCTGGGTATTTATTTTTCAGTTCTATTTATTTATTGCTCTTCAGAATGGAGGTAGACGTTCTCACCTCCCATATGCCTTTTTTAAGCACATACTTGAGCATTTTAGAGAGCTCTTTGAATGTGTGTGTGTAGTGGGGGGCGTGGAACTGGTTAAAATGCTTGTTGGATGTTTTGAAATACAGAAACTATATATCCTTTAAAGTGTAATATGATTACCTGATGGTAGCCACCCTTTGCATCCTCACAACCACAACGGTCCCGAGGAACACACAGATGTCCACTACGGACGTACCCGGCCAGACACTCGCATCCCTCTTGTGAAGCACATTGCTCGGAGCTCGGGGTGCCACAAGAGGCTGGACAACCAGTCATGCTTGCATTGTAACGCATGTTGTATCCTACCGTATCACACACAGTCAACGCTATTCAAGGAAATAGAGAAAATATGTCTATGAAAAGAAAATAGGTCAATAAGAACTTGATCATTATCAATGCTGGAACTAAGACAGGAAAGAACAATGACCAATTTGTTTTAGAATCCCGAACATACACATTAAGCTGAAAATATTCAGTTCACGCTGTGCATTATTACCTCTACCAGTCTGTGTGTACCTTATACGTACGCAGTATACTGTCATTCTTGCAAATGAAGTAAGAAACAGCAGATTTAAGCAATCTGCTGACGTCTATTAACCGTTTTAAAATGTTTTCAGATTACAAAACAATGAATTGATATTGTACTTTATTATCACTATAGCTGACGGGTTTGTCGAAGCTCTGTAAACTGAAGTTCGGACCAGGAGGATTGAGCAATTTACTGAAATGTACACCGCTTTTACCGTGTCTACAGCAGGTCTGCATAATTTACTGGTTTTTGTCGTGTTATTTTACATGTACACATTGTGACCAATTGATGACCAAATGACAGCTAACTGATAAACTTACGGCAATCTGTTACTTCTCTCCAAGCTCCAGGGAATACCCCGAGTCCTGCTTCTTCGCACGCTTTGGCATAGGTCTCAATAATACCACACGCCACCTCGTGCTGAACCTAAGTTATGATGGTTTCTCCGAATTTGAATCTCACTTCAATATTGAAAATTCTATTAATTAATTCTTAAAATTAAGTAAGGTAAATTAGTTAATTTTAGACGTAAAATATAACAAATCATCTTCAAATACATGAATGCATCCCATATATATATATATATATATATATATATATATATATATATATATATATATATATATATATATAGTAAGCGTGACATACTAGTTAATCAGAGGGTAAAAATTTAGGGCGGGTCTTTCAGCGGACCCTTAGCCACGTCACAATTGCACTGCAGCAGGTGGACTGGCTTAATAAGTTAACCTACCTCTGGCAATGTTGCTTCATCTCCGGAGGCTGAGCAAACATCAACTGCACAGGACACGTAGTACTCCTCGGAATTCACAAGTGGACTTGCAGCACAATTGCCAAACACGCCTTCAACGTTTTGAATGACATCACAGATATTCGCTTCCGGACAATCTTCTTGCACAGCAGCTTGACGCTTTCGTCTCCTCCCAGCTGAGTCCTGGCACCTGAAGTGTGAAGGGCAACAAGGATGTGATGGGTTCTGTTTTCACCAAGTTTCTTAATAAATAAATGCAACCTAATGAAAAATACTCAGCATGATGTGTACATGTGCTTTCAGTATATTAGGGCCTACCAGAAAACTGACCAAGTAGTGGGTAGTGCAGTTAGACCAGGTCGAATTATTACTTGGATTCTTAAGCAGCACAACGTGCAACAGAAACTGCCTGACGCTATATAATAACTTCGCATTTTATTTATTGCATTATTTATTTATTATAATAAATATTATTGTACAAGTGCATATACCTGCTGTGATAGTAGCGTATTGACAACAGCAGTTTCAATCCCATCTATAACAATTATTAGAATGTATGAAAATAAACAATAATTTGCATTTATCTTACTCGGGTCCGAGATCGGGATCTGGAACCATCCAACTCTCGCCAATCTGGTCGTACATGCCCTGGGTTTGTGGCGTTGGTGGCCAGGACGGATCCTCATACAGATAGCCCACATACGCCCCGTCCTTCAGTGAGAAGTCATCGTCCGCATCACCGTTACAGGTGCCACACATACCGCATAACAACCCTCTATAAGTTCCAGGAGTACATATGTCAAGCTGGCTGTACCCCCACCTGATTCTAACGCCGTAGTCGAATTTGAAATGAATGCGCTGGCTAACCAGACGCCATATTTTGACGCATCTTGCTATAAATGGATTGCACACTATAGTTACACCGATGCCTAAGGGGATAAGTTCCCAATCACCAGTCTGAAACGTATGACAATTCTAATGTTAGATAAGTATGATAATATAATATATGCAAACGTTACTCAGACTGGTACAAATATACCAGATATTCTATAGTTATTCAATAAAAAAAACTCTGCAAAACGTAGCATCGTATATCTTGACAAACTTACTCCTTGTGGCCATTTACTCCAAGTATCTGGGCATACAAAATATCACATACGTGTCAGTTAGACAAAGATTTATGCTGTAAAGATAACTTTTGTATCACGACCTTTCGGTTGCTATGATTTTACTAAACGCATTATCATTATCATATTTTAATTCCTATTTTAAAACAATGTAATGTTGGTCACGATAATCAATCAATCAAATCCAAAATTACTGCTTATTAAAGGTGGTAATCAATAATCGAATAGATATACTTCAAAAAGGTTCTTGATGTTTAAGCTTGTATTTTTCATTAAAGTACGAAGTTTGCATGGCTACACTGCTGTACATACTTATGCTAGTGTTTTTTGGAAATTCGTCAGCACTTTCTGACACCCCGGTGACCATTTTTCTAGAATGACAGGAAGTGCCATTCTGGGATGCCTAATTTTTAAACCTTTTTTTTCAATACACACAATACAATATATGTAATACTAGAGTACTTACAGAAGCATTCAGACAATACGTTATAATATATCATCAGTAAACAAAAATTGCATTTGCCACAAAGGCGGTTGGTTTTGCCTACCCAAAGCTTTCTGTAAACCTGTGGTGGTGGCCCGAGCACAAACTTGAATTCCATTCCAAAAACCTCAACGTAAACTTCCTTTAACCAGGTGCGTTCCATGCTAAAATCGGGAATCACATAGTTGACCCCTTCAATGTTGAACTCAGTTAGTTCTGGGTGGTCCGCCGGATCGAAACACGTCTTCATGATGGTATATCTGCATTCACCTTTTTTGGGAAACAAACGTACAATATTACAATTATTAAACACCATTACAGACACACGTTGAAGAATAGATCTTTTTGTTGAATGCTTAATTTAATAGAAAAGACAAGTGATAATAAGTATTAAATATCAGTGGGAATATCTATCTATTCTTTCAGCGATTTTCATATCGGAATATTTGCCTCAATGAGAAGTGTAATTTGCAATGCCTCACCTTGATAATGGATTGACTTGCCATCGCACGTGTGATAGTGTGGATCCCCGGTTACGTGACAGCAACATGGAACTGCAAAGTAAAGGCAAGCGTTGCCCTTGAAATGTAGCACAGGTGGCCAATGGTAACATACATAGTAACGGGTGGACTTGTCGGCAAACTGTCTATTAACTTTATATACGATAACTCATGCCTCCAAAAATCTTATCTCCACAATGGTTTGTTAAATGGAAACTTTTTAGTAACAGTTTACAAAACGCTGTGATGTAAGCAGGGGCGGATCCGGGATTATTTGAAGGGGGAGCCGCGGATGCGAAACCGACCCCCCACCCCCTTTGTTGTGAAGGGCCCCGAGAAATTTTGGTATTTTAGAGGGCGAACGGTGCCATTTGGTAAGGTTTAGAACTATAATTCAGCTAGTCAAAATTCTAATTTCAAAAGGGGACCATTGGTGTGATTTTTTCAGAAATCGAAGGGTAAGTTATTATCAAGTAAATGATGACAAAGCTAGAAGTATATGTGGTCACATACCCCAGGTGCAGTCCACGTTACTGCAATGGTCTTGAGTGAGGAGGTCTTGATTCCAACAATTGTAATCGGCACACGGCATGTCAAACCCCCTACGAGATGTGTCACACTGGATAAAACGTTTACAGCTCAACGGATGGGCAAAATAGTACTTGTCTGACGGCCCCAGAAAGCATATCAAATCTGAAAATACAGGTTAATATATATAAAATTTATCTGGATAAGGTTCTTCTCTTTTTTTTTTCATGTACAGCATAACATAAAATTTTAGATAAAAGTATATCGACATCATAAAAAAACTCATTATGTACATGGAACTGACCTTTAAAAAGGCCTTGATGCGATAACTCGGCAAATTAACTAAAGAAAATATTACAACTAAATAACGATACAATTTTTCATTTTTCAAAATCCATGTTAATGAGAATCGTTGTAAATAATCACTCAGTTGTGCTTGTGTAAGAGCCTCTGTCGTCACAAGAAGACAAATGAGAGCTGCAACGCCGGCTGCAAGTCTAAAGCTTAAGGTACCTGCACCCAAGAGAAAAAAAAACAACTTAAGTAACACAATAGCAACATCTTAATGGCAAAGTCGGCATACCTTGGCTTTTGTCAAAATACATTTGAAATATACAGGATGGTCCAAGGAGACCAGTTTATTATCGCTTTCATTTCTACAAAAATGAACTCCGTTTCTGTATAAGATAAAGATCAGAAGATGCAGATAAGGCTGAGAGACGTGCCTTTGGCACACCATCAGTAACGAGGACAATTTCCGCGTAAGTGGTCACGTGAATAAACAAAACAGTCGGTTTTGGGTTCAGGCTCAGCCTTGTGAGCATTAGAAAGGTATATGAAAAAATAGTTACGTTTTCTTTCATTAAAAAATGCTTTCTTTATAAATAATCAATAATTACTTCAATCATTATAGACCCGATATCAAAATGTATTCAAAAAGCGAGCAACTCCTGCCTTATGCGCAATATCAAAAACTAAAAAAATGTTTCTGATTCCATTGTGCAAAGTTTAATTGACATCTATGAACCAAAATATGGGTATATTTCATAATAATCTCCATAAAGTATAAGTATTAGTATAGGGTTGTTCCTAACATTGTTCTTAAAGCACAAAGGAATACCTGTTGCCGCCCTACGATTGAGTCCTCTGTACTCACAGTACAAGGAAACCACAAAATTATAGCACTTACCCATTTTGGCTGCAGTTTCCAGGCCTGGATATGTTTTTCATCGCCGACACTGTGTATTTATACGTTTGCTGAACTGCGCAAAAAATCGAGTGGCCTTGATTTTCAATTCTGGACGGTTTGATATATGATAGGCGTTTGCAAAAACTGAAAGTTTGTTATCAAGTAAATTACCTAGTTAACCTAATTAATTAACATCAATTGAAATGATGATTTTTGTTTATGGTATTATTGGACTATTTTCATCAATGTATTTATATTCATTTATCTATACATTTTCAAGGGACATAATGTATTACTTAGCGACCACCGTAATAAAAGCCCCTGAGTCAGAAAAGTAATGTTCTTATTAACAGATACAATAAGCTGAAGTAATTTTCAGTTAAGTTATAACTGAAGTACACTGGACAGTCAATGAAAAATTAAAATGCACAGAGGTGGAAGCTGCTTTATGTTTTGTCTCGTTTCTCTCGATTTTTACCAGTACATATTTAGGAAACAGGGAGAATGGAGAGAAGCTTCACACGGTGCCAACCACTGGATCTACTACCGCACCATGTGCTAGCACTTAAAACATTCAAAACATAAAATATTATATCATTTAAAACATAATTCTAACACTTAAAACATAAATCTGCCCGCAGCGTTGCATACTAATTAAGCCATATTGAACGTGCTGTTCAGAACGTTGTCTGAGTAGAATCCATGTTTTTCGTTAATTTGACATCCCTGTTTTTTCACGCAGACAAATAGATTTATAGAATTGTTTTCGAAGCTCTCATCTTACAAATTTGCAATTCAATTCCATAGATATAAATCAGTGTCCTATAATTAAAAAAATAATTCAATACCTAAGTTTTCCAAGGCCGTGAATATTCACGTCCTTGGTTATTTTAAATAGTGCCCCAGGATAAACCACATAAACTTCTAAGTTTAGTAGACAGGGATTTAGCAGGTCTTTGAAAAATGTAAATCCACAAAGTACTTGCAAATTAAATCCGCAGTAGCACGGCAACGAACAAGGGGGAAATTTTGGAATGTTAACGTTTCCCAATTTGTTACATAATTCAACTCCATAATTTAACCAATTTGTCGAGTGCTCAGCAGTACATGAGTATATTTATATTCTAACATAAATCATTAAATCAACCTGCTGTAAAGTTGAACAGTAACGGGTCTCTGAAAAATGCACGTACACAAAGTACTTGCAAATGAATACACTGTAGCTCGGCAACGAACCAAGAGAAATTTTGGAATGTTTAAGTTTCCTTATTTGTTACATAATTCATCTCCGTAATTTTACCAATTTGTCAAGTGCACAGCATTACATGAGGATATTTATTTGAAACAAAAACCATTAAATCAAGCTGCTATAAAGCTTAAAGGTAACGGTTTTATTAACCACAAATTAGAAGTTTTAAGTCAAATTTAAATAAACCAAAAGTAGCTATTGAGTACAAATTCAATATTTCTTTGATGCCAAAAATTGCGCGTTGGTTGACATTTGTAATAAGAAAAGACGACAAACATTTTTTTCGGTTGTTCGCACAATCAAAAATATTTCAATTATGTTGATAACAGCTGGACTGTACGTAATGAAAAGCTTTATTAGACAACAAGTTTTAGAAGGCGTGAGGTAATACATACACGTAAAGAGATTGCCTTATAAGGGAATACCAAATACTAAATCGAGAAAAAAGAAAGATTTACAGATCACACAAAAGACGCTGAGAGAAGAGAGTTTACACGCCTGATCAGTGCGGACAAAAACGAGTATCGAAACCTCTGCATGTCTACATGTAGTAAACAGTAGAGATCGGTGAAAAGACTTTGAAAGACAACTAATTAGCGTTATTATAAATGCAACAAAACATTATAGGGTGCCGGAGAGTGCAGCTAATGCTGCTGTAGGTTAAGAGTACATTTCGTTAGGTAAAGGCTGGAAAGTAGTGATTTACTGTATTGCATGTGCCCAATTTTAGTGCTCTCTTTGAAGATTAAAAAATAAAGCACTTATCTTTTTAAATTCTCCACATTATACATTGTGTGTACCTCCTTGTGTGAGGCACCAGGTGATGGACCCCCCCCCCCTCCCCCGACTGTTGATGTGGCGGGTATCAGCTAGTTAAATAATAATAGCTACAGCGGATGACCACAGAGTATTAATTCATAATGGCCCAAATTAGATTACTGAGATGATAATTCAGAGGGATATTCCTTCCTCTGACGGCCTTCGCATGACAAGTTCCGTCGGCTCTGAGATCTCCTACCTTATCCCTCCATTTCGGCAAAGATAGCAAATATGGTACACATGGGGGGAAAAAGGGGCCATGATCAAAATGTACTCTTTACTCTTCACGAGACTGCATTTCCAAACATAAAGTACAAATAAGACGTCAAACATATCCGAGTATCCTGGAATTCAGGGTTTAATCGTTAAAATGCGTCGTGATATTGCATCAATACGTCGTGCGCCTGAGTCACCAGTTATCTAGACTATCATACTATCTTTCTAATAGGTTAAATAATCGAAAGCTATTGTATCCCGTTATATCATGGAGCACTGACGTGCACCAGCTGATCTCTGTTTATTATACTGTAACCGGGTGTGATCGGCTGTGTTTGATAAGAACCTATAAAAGTACTTTATATAGGTTCTACTTGATATGCTAGATTTTTCTGTTTCTGAAATCGTAACTTTCTGGGGTAAAATGATAAATAAATTATAAATTTTGGTCATTAATTATTATTATTATTATTATTTTCGTGCATTTTGATCACTTTACAGATTAACTGGTGATGTGGGGGTATTGACACCATTGTTGTTAGTACGCTCTGCTGTAATGCGCATTACACTTTTCACTTGCAAAATAATAATAATAATAATAATAATAATAATAATAATAATAATAGAACAAAACATTAAAAAATCGTCTAAAATTCACGTAGACAGTACCAATATTTTGTACCCACTCTGGCACTGAAATACGTTATTTCGTGTATAAATGAATATTTAAATATGTATGTATCTACAAAGACACTTTAATGTCGTAGGCATTTTAAGGTGTTTATAAACTATACTCATCTTTATGATGACCTATTCTGAAGAAAAAAAATTGTATTTTACAGCACTATCTTAAAGAATATATGTCAGAATTATATAGTTCGATGTGCGCAGCAGAGACAATGCTTCTGTGAACAGTTTCGTTCAGCGCCAACTTTCTCTAGTGCAGCGTTTTTCATAGTGCTTCAAAAAGAAATAGGAATAAGAGTAAACGGAAAACGTTGCAAGCATGAAAAAATGCAACTTCCTTTCAAATACAGCTGTTTTGTGTTACGTCATAGATTTTGTGACGTCATTCGAATCACATGACGTTGTAAGCCACCGGATCTCCCGTGCTAACAGATCTTGCTCGGTGTATAGGACATACAGCACAGCAGCAACAACAGCACAGCAATGTACACGTAAGCACCACTGCGAGCGCTATAACAATCAGTCCCACAGCCCAGGCCCTGAAAAACAAGTCCAAAGAAGTCATTAGGAAGAATAACTTTAGTCAGAGTAAGGAAAGTTTTTGAAACCCACGACACGATCATCTAAGCAGCCATGCTAGTAACTGACACAATGCTTCAGAAGTTTCAAAATTGACTGACCAAAATCCATAGAAATCTTTGATCGTAAGTAATATGAAAAGAAAATTTTAACATATGATCCTGGTTTAAAAAAACACAGAAGTTTCCCATTTATTCCACGGTTTCGGCGAATTACAAAATTAAGGGGGTTAAGAGGGGAAAATAGGCAACAAAACGACTAATTTACTGAAAAACTGGAGGATCGCAGCACTTTGACGTTGAGCCCACGTGGCAACACACATAGTCGTCTGCATCGTCTAATGGTCCTGGGCAGTAAAAATCTCTCTTGAATCCTAGAAATAGAGGTTTTTTTAATCAGTACCAGAATAAGAACCTACCTAAATCACACACAAAAAAAAATGGCAAAAATGGTTTGTTTTTTCTTCAGGTTTTATCGACTTTATATTTGGTACAATCATTATTATATTATATATTATTCCCAGTGTAAAATATGTGTTAGTCTACAGCAACCCTACATAGCCTACTACGAGCAAAATGTTAGTGCTTAAAGTGAATATTCTCAAACTGAACTTAAACATAAACTGCCACACCTATCACACTATACACCTGTAGCAAACTTACTGGTAGCTCGTAGTATCTATTCCGCATAAAGCAAACCTGCGTTTCACAAAATGTCACAACAAACGCACTGCCATACTTGACCATGCCAGACACAAAATACTTTTGTATTGATACATACACACTGTCACAATTAGCGCAATGTATTTAAAGTATAAAATCTGCATTCGTGCCTCTCACACCTAACACAATGGCAAATCTATCACACTATTTCAGGTGGCCCGTTATCGAACACGTTATCAAGATGCCAAACATTGACGGTTTGTCACACCTAACGCACTGTTGTGTTTAGCATTGTCACAACCAACACATTTTACCCTACCTGCTCCCGTGCAGTAGTGTTCTCGTCTCCCAGGGCAACAGCCTCGTTCACAGCACCAAGTGTTTCTCGGGGGGTCACCGGGGCCCGGGCAGGATGGTTTGCTGAAATTGGCTGGGCATTTGAAGACTTCTCCGAAGGAAATTTGGACACTGTAGCCTGCAACTAAACCCATTGGCACATTGTAATAAGACATGCTGTATATCTCACAGCAAAGCAGGAGTATCTTGGTGATAAAAAGGCAGTCTCGGATAAGGGGTAAATTCTAGAGCTAGGGCGTTTACGCATTGGCCTTTAAAAAATGACTCCATTAATATGAACGCTAAATAATAACAAACCCCTGAAGAAAGTTTTTTTTAATCTGCTGTCTGCTCTTAAGGAATCGCTCAAAACGCTTTCCATTCGAGTTCCCACGGAGAAGTTATGTATTTAGGGCTGTGTGATAAAGAAAGTCAATGAAATAAACGCGGGTGCGCGCGGGCACACACTTTTGAAATAAAATAATAACAGGTGCAATAATATATATAACGCAAATAGAACAAAATCCTGTCTCCAATCCTACCCACCCAATGACCTATCCGATGCATCATTACCTTTAAATAACCTCTGATGTAACCTTTAATCTGGATACTTAAAACGGATAATAGTTTAAACTTCTTCTAGATGATCTAAATAGAACAATATTGTGCGATCATCATACTCTAAAGTTTGTGCAGCGCTTATAGCTACTCACCACATAATAGGAAGAAATGGACACCAACAGCTGATCTCATTCTATCATTTGTCTTCTGAACGGTTATTATGACGCATGTCACTAATCATGAACATTGCTGTCAAATGGGACGAATGGCTATCTTGTCAACACATTATGATAAATAACGTGAAACACTATATATCAGATAAGTCGATTTTAATACATTGTGACCGGCAATACGTATCAGTGATTTTCCGGCACTACAGGTTCACTCACTGTGCCAGTTGTGATACGTGGATAAATATGTAGGATAATAAGGCATAGATTTCATGCACGAAGGCACTGCGTTGATTATGCGGCGTAAAAGTATTGACGTCATATCTCGTCTGTGTTGTAATTTAAATGGTTTATATCTTGGTATAGACAAAAAAGAAGTATTAAAGTGATTTAGATTGGTTCTAATTTTAATATCAACAAAATAAAACATCTCTTTCTATGATTCAACAGTAAATTCTTTATTGCTCTTAGGTATTCGATAAAGCAGACGACCACGTGTGCAGTCACGTGGACTCAATGACATAGTGCAGTGTTTCCCCAGCATTTCAGTAAATTATTATTGATATTAATATCAGGTTTGTATGTTGAAATTCCCTGTACCTTTCGTTATACTTCAGTACTGCTGATAAAGTTCTGTATCTTTTTAATGTACTTATATCCGTTTGAAGATCGCTGTGTATTTCGAATCAAACCCTTGAAACTTTTAAAACGGCGTATCAATCGCTTGGATTGCCGTTTTTATATTTTTAATGTGAGTGATTATCCTTATAAATCAACTTTTACTTTGACTGAATTTCTTCTTTCGACATTGTTTCTTTAACTTTAGCGGAATTGACTGTTATTAATGCTTTGTTGCTGTTGTTGCTGTGCTCTATGTACGAAGACGGTTTGGGAGGTGCAATGGCCAACTAAATCCCTTGCTTCGAGTGACGTGAATCTACGGCGTTACATTAACCCTCAGTGACTAAACAGCGGAATTTACGAAGAAAATTTCGCCATACAGCGACAATTTTTCCACGCGCAAAACTTTTTTCCTCCTTACATCTTTTTGTTCTTGTAGCATTGCAATGAAAAACGGACGCTGTTTCTCAAAAACTCAAAATATATGTGCAGGACATGTCAAAAGAATGAAGGACAATAGGTGGACAATCAGGCTTACAGAATGGACCCCAAGGTATGGACAAAGAAAAAGAGGAAGGCCGGTCAAACGATGGAGGGATGAATTAGATGACTACTGGAAGTCTTGGAAGAAGAAACCTTGGCCAAACTGGAAATCTGAGGCTCAGGATAGGAAACAATGGAAAAAGCATGCTGAGGCCTTTGTCCAACAGTGGAACACTATAGGCTCTAAATGATGATGATGATATGTGCTCATGAGATATGATCCTTTTGTTGATATAAATATTAAATAATTTATTTATAGACGATTCTGTGGATCGTGCAGTTGTAAATCTAGTGAACATCATCTATGAATTAAGAAACATGAATTATGAATAAGAATATTCCATCAAACATCTGCATGTTACAGTTAATTTGTGCCTACTTCTGACCCGCCAGATCAATAACTAATAGTAATTAAACGACTGAAATAGTATTAACATTGCGCAACATTACCATCTGTAAAAACATTAAAACAATTGCAGGTAATACTATTCTAACCTTTAAAGAAGCTGTTGGAAGCTAAGCAATGCTTTGAAAATTGTATTTCATTAAAATCATGCATACTCTTGATTAAATTTATTAAAATCTTAGGATTCACTCCAATAATATTTACTATTATAAATCCTAAACAAAGTATTAAGGAAATTCCTGGTTGATGAATATCGATGTTTATTTAATTATGGGTGTCACGCAAGATGTAATAAGTCATATGTGATCTATTTTTACGTTTGGTACACACGCACATGTACATGTACAATTATTCATGTTATCGAATTCGTGTTATCTTATCCAATGATAAGGTCTGTACTGACATACGGCCTCGATTCAAATTATTCAGTATGCAAGAACTTATTTGTAACATTTATAAAATACCATGTAAGTGAACATAAAGTGTACGATGTTTTTGAACTAGTACAAGAATTAAAACCGCTGTTTAAATGAACAGATTACAGTGCTTGTGGCATCCGTTGTCCCCGTTATTAACGAAATCAGGTTGACAGAGGGCACATGGCTTATTTTCTTCACTCCCTTCTCGCCCGGGTTGTTTGGTCTTTTTTTTTCAACATAATATGCCATGTGCTAAATAAAGAAGAATAATTCTTATTTGTATATTACTTAAATGAAGTACAATTAGGCCTTATTCTCATTTAGAACAATGCATATCCATAATATCAAGAGAAAGTCCAGTTATACGGGTTAAGGGTAATACTGACGCAGCTTAAATTCATGTACCGGTAGCGGAACCATTCCAAAATTTGCCTCCAAAACTCCTTCCCCGCACATTTGGGATTGGATTGTACACACACTGGACAATAGAAGTGTCACCCCCTGAATCAGAGTAATCAAAATTATTAACCTGAAGAGGCGGAATATAAGCAATGTCAGAATATCGATACAGTTGAATTGTTCAGTCAGAACAGTTTCTTTTGTGAAATTTGATGTTAGTAAAATGATACCAGGAGCATATAATTCCACAGTCATTTATCTCCCCCAAAGTATTTAGTAGGGGTGACACTTATATTGTTCAGTGCATGTAGGCGAATCTGCTATTATACGTAAATTCATAAAGTAATAATCCTCATCTGAAGTTATAGAACAGCATAATATAACTGTAGCATTGTGCATGTAGGTCATTAAAAGACATCCGCAGCCGCCGTTGTCCTACGTATTCCGAAAGATGACATATTCGCTACGTCGGGTGTGATGGCACGGGCAACACGCGCAGCAGCAGCAGCATATACAACACACGCATAAAAGGAACACCAACACACACACCACTGCTATGACTATAATGGCCCACTCTCTGAAATAGAAAATACAAATAGTGAAACAGAAATTTTAAAGTGAAGGAAGACACAGGAAATATATCGAGCGTAAGATGAAAGAGTAAGTAAATGTATAAAGAAAATATATTCTTTGTTGCCTTCTTTCTTGTTATGAATGGGACCATGAAAAATTGTGGTACACTGGGATGGAGGAGACATAAACAGACTTACGCTAAACCCTCGGCCGAGCAGCAGGCATCTTCTCTGTTGGCGTCCTTACAGCATATGGTATCGAACACGGTTTGGTTGGGGCGGGGGCAGTAAAAGTTCTTCTCGTAACCTGAAAATAAACCATATATTTTGATATTTTATGTTTTCCCCAAAGTGTGTTAGAGGAATGGATACTGTCATGGTAACTATAAAACAATATCTTAAACATTTTGAGAAATGCCACAGGGTTCATTCTACATTGATTGCGATTCGGAAATGACTAAACCATTAGACACAGTTCAAGTCAGAATTATTTGGGAACTTACCGTCCCCACAGTGGTGCTCGCCACGCCCTTTATCGCATCCGTCCGGGGAGCAGTGTGTGTAATCATCCGGTTGTCCGGGTTGGGGACAGAAAGGGCTCTTTGACGAGTTCGCTGGACATACGAATTTCTTTCTTGCTTGGCAATAAACTGACGCTGAAATAAAAGGCGTATGTTGTATCTTGAACGTTTAAGTTAGTTTCTTAAGTATCAGCAACGCTCTGTATTTTTGCAATTTCGATTTTATATTGAAAAGAATAAAAGGCAACTGCTTGAGAACTTGCACGATGTATGCTAGAAGCAAAAAGAACAGCGATAGCAAACACTCATTACCCTCACATACCTCTCTCTCTTTCTCTGATACACACGCGCGCGCGCGTGCACACACACACACACTCACTGTACAACTTACTTAAAGCCAGCAACAGGAAAACCACGCAGGTCGAGTAACCAAACATGGACATAGAAACCATTGTTACTCGTTAAACACCGCCGATCTCATAAACAGCCAGATACAGTATCATGAATTAATTTAGATCGGTTAATGCAAGTCAGTGTATCATGATATAACGGGCAACAATAGCTTTCGATAGTTTGATTTGAAAAGATATCACGATACTCTAGATAACTGGTGAATCAGGCACACGGTATTTGACCCGACATTTTGATATAGAAAAATGATAATGGGAGGTGTGACAAATCAACACTTCCTGTCCTAAACGGGCTAAGTTTACTACCTGACGTCTTACCCGAAACAGTGGAAACTGTAATAAATTCTTTAGACATGTAAGGACGAAAAGATAAGTAACACTGGGTCAGTCTCAGCGCTGCTTTCGAGATACAAAAAATGTGCAGCCCGGTGACTTAAAATACGGTCAATTAACACAGCATTAGCTGTTCTTACCGTTGTTCAAATTGATATGAATAATTCATGTTTAACATATAAAAACACATATGCAATGTTGAGCACTGTCAAATTGGCTAGATAGATTATTAAGTTTAATTATGCAACTTATCAGGAAACTATATAACATTCCACAATTTCCCTTGTCCGTTTCCCAGCTACGGCGCATTTTCAGTACTTCTCCGACTTGTGTATTTGTGCAATTTTCAGAGACTGCCTAATTATCCATTTAACATACTAGTAATTCTATGTGAAATAATATGTGGAGCGATACGGATTCTTTCACATCGAGTATCAAATACTGATGACAAATGAGTAATTGAAAAGCAATTCAATAAAGCTAGGTAGTTTCAAATTAATGAAGAAGAAACATGGATCCCACTAGGAAATTTATAAGACAGTCCGCTGAATATGACTTAATTATGATACACACTTTAACAGTGAGGAGAGAATTAAGTTAATTGTTAGTGCGTCCTGCTGCGTTAAGTCCAGGGTAGGCAATCACTCACTATGGCATCGGTTTTAGTAGTGCGCCATCGCAGATTACGAAGATTTCGTGAAATAGTCATCAAAAATATTATGTATAATATGCAAAATCTTATAAAATCTTGAAAAAATTTGTTGCTCCACTTTTTTATTATTTTTATTTTGAATTTCATTTATATTTCATTTATATTTATTTATTTATTTATTTATTTATTTATTTATTTATTTATTGTCAATATAGACATACATGCATTTATTTATTAGAATGACTTCATGGCGGCTAATATCTATACTCAGGCAACACCTGAAGGAGGGCATGTTAAACACTGTCCAATTATGATTTAACTAAAATATTGCTACTACTTAAACGAAGTAAAAATTGCAAATTTTTAACCTTGCGACACACCTCTTTAAAATAATCCCAAATACAGTGTGTCCGTTTATGCTATAGTGGCAAAAAAAAAAACACAAGATTTGATTTGACCACAGTGCTTCAAAATGCCCATACATGTTAGTATGGTCACTGTATTCAGTGACAGAACACTATCTCAGAACGTCCTGCAATAGAGTACTGATTCGCTTGTCTGATTTCAAACGGTTGCTTGCTTAAGATTTTCAGACATTTCTTCTGAACATGCAGAAATAGCTGATCACAATCAATGTTAGTTGACACAGAAATCAGAAAAACGGAGTTTTGGAGACGAAATTCCATGTTTACATAATGCCACGGCTGTCTGATCTGGACAGGGGTCGTGCATGGATTTTGCCATTGGCACAGTATTATGGTTATTGCGGACAATTTCCAGACAGAACTCATGGTAATTGTTTTGATTGGTAGAAAAATCTGACTGGCCAGAGGTACGGAGATAATGCCCTTAGGGCAGCTGCTGTACCACTCATGCATCAACACCCAACCCTACGCTTGCTCCAGCAGGACCATGCACGTCCCCATACTACAATGATAGCACAGGCGTACCTGCATAGAAGCAGGTCCAGACTCTTCCTTGACCAGATATGTCTCCCACTGTGCATACTTGGGGTGAACTGGGAAGATGACTTCATAGCCGCCAGAAACAGCCTACCACCGTCATAAAGTTGAGAGCTGCACTGGTGGGAGAATGGAAAATAATGCCCCAGGTCCGCATTCGCAGTGCGGTCCGTGAGGAGGAGGGTAGGCTACTAGCCTGTACTGCAGCCATGTTACTGAACATTACACTACCAGTTATGCAACAATATTGTATGAAAAGGCATGTAAAAAACACAGACATAAAAAACTTTTTGGCTAGTATATTTGCCCAGGCAGCACTTGCAGCTTGTTGAATTTGCTTGGAGGAGGGCATGGTAAACACTTCATAATTGTGAATCAATTAAGAAAATAACGCTATTTTATTAGTCAAGGACAATTGAAGATGACATTTTTATTTGAGTGACCCACCCCCTTTGACATAATATTATATATATATCAGTGGATGATGTCCACCCAGACAACAGTTCGTTAATTTTGCACTGGAAGATGACATGGTAAACACTTCACAGCTATGAATCTATTAAGAGAATAACACCACTTTATAAATAATGAAGATGACAAAAGAGTACGTGTGGCTTAAAAGAGAAACACACAGTGCTTCATGCTTTGCCAAACAATGCAAACCTCTATCATGTGTAGTAGATATGTGTTGGGACACACAGAAATTCACATTTTTAACTAAAATTCTTCAAAGATTACCACAGTATTTCAATGGAAGTTAACCTAACATTACTTCATGTTATTGCATCTTGTACATCACCGTTCTGCCTCAGTAACTTTTATTCACGAGGGTCGCTAGGTTATACCTTCTGGACCTTTAAAATGTATAAATTAATGGACATAAAGATATCGATAAAAATATTCCAAGCACTCCACATACAAAAGCGGTCATCTCACAGCCATGTTAATGAGGTTGAAAACCGTCCAGTTTTTTGTCAGCACCTATAATATATCAAACCGGCCAGAATTGGAAATCAAGACCACTTGATTTTAAGTGGTAAGCAAACGTATAAATACACAGTGTCGACGATGAAAAACCTATCCAGGCCTGGACACAGCAGCCAAAATGGGTAAGTGTCATAATTAATTTGTAGACGCTATCTACTTTGGATACACAGGTTTGTCATATTCATAGAATTAAAATAGTTACTTCTTAGCGCTGCAAGAACAATTTTAAAAGGTCTTCTACTGTCAGTATATCTCAGTTTTGTGTTATTCAAGTATACCCATATGTAGATTTCAACTAGTGTGTTGTTTTCAATTTCTGTTGCAAAATCGAATAGAAATATAGTGCGTACTGGGACATGAAAAGTTTACTGTTGCAGAAGCAAACAGTTTCGCATTTGTTTCCTTGTTTAATACTACCCTTAGGAAAGATCGACAGGTTTTTTTCATTTCTTACAGGCAACACGTCGTTTACGAAACATTGCATGTTTTAGAATAATAAAACTTGGATTTTTTCTCTTGGGAGCAGGTAACTTTAGGTTCTCAGTTGGCGTTTTAACTCTCCTTTGTCTCCTCATGACGACAGAGGCTCTTACACAAGCACAACTGGGTGAGTATTTACAATGACCGTCGCTGAAAAGAATAAAAAATCAAATTACTTTCAATTGTGCAAGTGTCTTTTTTTCTTTTGCTTATCTATAGAATTATCATATTAGGTCTGTTAATGGTTCTCATGGAACAACCCAACCTCCTGGCAATTTTGCTGGCCAAAACTTCCTCCTATGTCAATTGTATGGTCAAAAAAGTACCCCTCTCCTTAAGGAGTTGCATATTGAAATTATTTTTGTCATGATTTCATACTTATTTATACAAAAGCGTCTACAGTTCAAATAAAGATCTGCCGCAAAGTGTATAAAGGCATGTTTTAATGACATAATATTCATTGACATGTGTTTCAGATTTGATATGCTCATTGGGTCCGTCAAATCAGTACTATTTTGCCCATCCGACGGACTGTAAACGTTTTATCCAGTGTGACACATCTCGCAGGGGGTTTGACATGCCGTGTGCCTATGACAATTGCTGGAATCAAGCCATACTAAGTCAAGACCATTGCAGTAACGTGGACTGCCACCCCGGTAGGTGACGATTAGTTATAGTTTAGTTTTCTCACAACGAATATATTATTTTATAAAAATGTGTTCAGTGTGGAGATTAAATTTTAAGGCATATATCTTATAATATGCGTAACGTTAATAGACAACCAGCCATTCTCTGTTTGTAAGAAAGTTCACCTGTCACAATGTATTTACGTTAAAAAGACCATTTTTTTTTTTTTTTTTTTTGCAGATATATCAGGCCTAGCCTACAAATTGTGATCTTAGGTTTCTATGTTACAAACGAATGAGAAATAAACCATGAATTGGATAGATATATTATCGAAGTATCAAAATAATGGCATATAATACCGAAAAGAAAAAAGTGCCAAACAATAAAAATTGCATTCAGAGAATTGTAGTCAAGTTCCTTTTACTTTTACTGGAAACACAATCCTTGTTTGGACAGGAATGTGTCTATTCGATAACTGACGACCATCTTGAATTAGCAGCCATTTTAGATAACTTGATAACCATGACCAACATCAATACGTTTTCAAGTACTTTTAAGAATCGAGTTATTTTCATTGAATTAAATTTAGTATATCTGTCGGTGAATTTTCTAATCAAATCAGGCTATTTTGTTTGCTCAGATCCCGCAGCCCTCCTAGAGAAAATTATCACATGGAGTCAGTTACTCATCTATATAAACGATGTCGCGTTTTCCAGAATAAATCTCATTAAGTAAATAAAGAATATTGGGCATATTTGAACTTGTGTGAGTTAAGTTAAATTATATTCTCATACGTACATGTATCTAATGTTAGGTTTCTCTTTTAGTTCAGCACTTGGATACAAATTCTCGGCTTAAGCACAACTCCCATCGATGTTTGCAACGCAGGAAGATGCGTCAGCATATCTCTTGGGGTTGACAACCGCATCAAATTCAAATTCGACTTCGGCATCACCATTAGCTGGGCTAACCACCTACTTGACATATGTACACCTGGGACATACAGAGGAATGTTGTGTGGTATGTGTGGTACCTGCAATGGAAACAAAGACGATGATTTCTCCCTGAAGGACGGAACATATGTGGGTGACCAGTATATACCACCATCCTGGCCACCGGTGCCACAGACCCAAGCCATGTACGACCTGATTGGAGAGAGTTGGCTGGTTCCTGATCCTAGTCTCGGACCCGAGTAAGATAAATAAAATAGTATTATCCAGGTGTTATGCAATGCATTCTTAAAGTCGTAAATGGTCTAACAGCACTACCCAACCTGGGTCAGTTTTCTGGTAATATTCTGAATGCCTAACCGCACTCCAGGATATTTTTATTTGAGGTCGCATTTGTAAAGAAACAAGGTGAAAACAGAATCCATCACATGTTTGTTTCTCTTTACACTTCAGGTGCCAAGCACCAGGTGGGAAAAGACGCAAGCGACAAGCTCCTTCTGTGCAAGAGGAATGCCCGGAAGCGAATATCTGCGATGTCATCAAGAACGTTGAAGGCGTGTTAGGTGGATGTGCCGCAAGTCCTCTGGTGAATTCCGACGAGTATTACACCTCCTGTGCAATTGATGTTTGCTCAGCCTCCGGAGATGATGGCGCATTGTCAGCGGTAGGTTAATTTCTTGAGCCAGTTCACCCGGCTCTGTGATGTCGGCATTCTACTTTCTCAGCAGTCTCTTCATGGATCTTTTAAGAATAATAGTTTAATGAGGAAGATTTGTTCTATTCTAAATGCAAAAAAATTACATCTAAAAAAATTGTTGATTATAGAAATTAATTCAAAAAACAATTCTATATTGAAAATTATTAATCGCGAATAGACGATTGTACATGGAGATCTTTCGCTTCAAATACAGGTTCAGCACGAGGTGGCGTGTGGTATTATAGAGGCGTATGCTAAAGCGTGCGAAGAAGCCGGTCTCGGGGTATTCCCTGGAGCTTGGAGAGAAGTTACAAATTGCCGTAAGTTAACCATGTCATTTGGACATCAACTGCTCACAATGTGAACATTTACAACAGTAAATTGCTCGCTCCTCCTGGCCCCAACTTGAATTCAAAGAGTTTTGATTAACGCATCTGATATTTTGATAATAAAATACAATAACAAATCATTGTTTTATAATATGTTTGATAGGTGTTATTGTTCTGTCTTGTTTTGGTTCCTTTGTTAGAAACCCAACTCATTTTGACATCTTTTTCAAGTTCAGTTGCCTTCAACCTGATCATATTTTTCTGTCTTTCTTGATTAGCAATGACTGTGTGTGAAACAGCGGGGTACAACATGCGTTATAGCCCGGAAACGACAAGATGTCCGGCTTCTTGCGGCAGATCTCCTACGGAGAGATGTGAAAGAGGCTCACAAGAGGGGTGCGAGTGTCTGGCTGGATACGTCCGTAGTGGGCATCTTTGCGTACCTAACGAATTGTGTGGCTGCATGGATACAATGGGAAGCTACCATCAGGTAATCTTATCATGCCCTAAAATCGTTTTAACATTTAAAAACGGACAGTCCATGGACACCAATAACAGCAAAGTACCATTTAAACGAGTTCCAATCCCATTGAGGTATCCAACAATCCATACACGTGGAACTTACCTGCTGACCTCAGAATTGCCAAAAGTCGAAAATTTCAATTTAATTCAGAGGATGCAATTAGATCTATTTCGTTCACTTTAGTGTACTGTTACAAGTCAGTATTTCAATAAAGATTATCAGCTCTTTTAAGAGCCAATCAGAGTCTGGACTGATCGAAATGCACAATGGACACCGTAAAAGATGCCAAAAAATTCTCAATATTCACACTGCCTGACCAACATTCTATCTATCTTTCCAGTTAGGTGACTCTTGGGCCTCTGGTAACTGCAGCCACTGGTATGCGTGTGTGGAGCCTAACCAAATAGAGGAAACAGGGAGTCCATGCGGTGTAGGGAGCAGGTGCCTGCTTGAAGAGGGCGTGTGGGCGTGTTCCGCCTCTAATGAAATCCCTTTTTTATAAAAGGTAAAATAGAAATACAGTGTACATGTAGCTATTTGAAATAGTCAATGGCTGTCAACCAGCCAGCCGGATTCATCATAATAATCGTAACAAGGTATTGGCAAACGTGTAATCAATTAACGAAATTCACGGCAAAATCTTCATGTAATTTTAAATCATTTACCCCGTAGGACATTGATCTGCGTTGTGTGCGGAATTTGCACATGTAGTCGTTAAATATATTATACATAATTTCCATCTCATCTCACCCCCTCTATATTTCAGAAGTTGGTAAATACAATATATTAGTATAACTATACATCATATTCGTCTAATAACACTCCCTTTATATTCCAGAAGTTGCGTGACTTTTCTGACGTCATGATATTGGAGCTGTCACGTGACCGTCAATCTCAACCAGTTTGGATTAGTACGTAGTAATGGATGGAAATTTCCCGAAAGATTTCTCTGCGGATATATCAGGCCTAGCCTACAAATTGTGATCTTCATTATTTAAAAGACCATAGGGGTCTATGTTACAAAAGAATGAGAATTAAACCATGAATTAGATAGACATATTATTGAAGTATCAAAATAATGGCATATAATACCGAAAAAAAAACTGCTAAACAATAAAAATTGCTGGAATATTAGATTCATTAACCAATAATGCATCAAAAGAGCCTGAAGAGAGATGCACTTATAGTTTGTAGATAGCCTGTAGTGTCTTTCCAATAAAATGTTATTCCTTCTCATGTATATGTATTTACCTTATTTAAAAATACCCGTTGATACATGTGTCGAAGAGGCGGATCCAGGATAATTTGAAAGGGGGGGGGGCGGAATGGCAGGTCTCTAATGGAAAGCCGACCCAGCACCCCTTGGTGTGGGGTTCGGGGCCTCCTCAATTTTTTTGGTTTTGGAGAGCAAACGGTGCCCTTTGGTACGGTTTAGAACTATAATTTGGCTAGTTAAATCTCTAATTTCAAGTGGGGAATATTGGTGTGAAATATTTTTGAGAAATCGAAAGGGGGGCGGGGGACACCGCACCCCCCCCCTCTAAATCCGCCACTGTTTCGTACATGCATATGCTCCTTTTAAGTCCGAAAACAGCTTGCTTTTCTCATCTGTTCGCGACTAGTTCTGTAGAGAAATATTTTTTTATCGGTTCTCTTAAAAAAGATGATATTTTGATAATTCGAAAAAAATCGCTGTAAAAACAACTAGTGAAATGTGAATGTTGTTACCCATTCAGGAGGAAGACGCCTTTAGTTCTTTTGACCGCTGGAATAATTTCAGTTTCAGTAGGCCTACCAAATTTTGGCGTCTTTCTTGTCGCGTGATTTGAAATGGCTACCTGATTTACGTTGGGTTCCCAGTACGTAAACCTCGATAAGAAATTAAGGTTTGTTATACGACAGGGCTTTTTGAAATGCCATTTAATTCATGATGCTTTATTTTCTGAACGTTTAATTTTTCATGCATGGGTATTTTCTGATTCGAACTCCTATTGGTCTGAAGCCTTGCGCTAGTTACAATTTCTGAATGTCGACGGCCCCAGTGGTACATACATGTTATTAAAGTCGATGGTAATAATCAACGCAATTAAACATTTATTTAATCGCGATGGCTTAATATTTTTCTTCGAATATTTCTATTACATCCTGTTTGCAAATGGTAAAAATCAAAGCTCTATCATCTTTGTAATGTTGACAAAACATTTTGAGCGCTGCCACCGTTAAGACCGTTAAATGAAAACCTTATGACATTTTCAAACTTACATGACAATACAAACATGACTTGAAATACTTAAACACAGCTCTAGTTCAGAAAACAATCCGGAGTTTATTGTTTGTTGTAAAGTTTCTAACTTGTGAAGTCTTCATTTTCCACTACTATAGCATTTTCAAAGAGTGACTTTGAATTCCTATATGTGACTGAAGCCCTCGGCAGTTAATTTTTTACTTTCCACAGTACTGTAGTACATAATTAAAAATTCGTGATAGCGCATAAAAAGCCCCCATTTGTGCACTTTCATCTTTAAAAATTGGTTTTTGTTTCATTTTAGACTGTTTTTTTCTAATATTGCTTCTATCAGTTTTGTCATCTATAAGTTTGTCCATTTCTCAGCTGCCTTCAGCTTGTTTGTGGAAGATCTTGTCTTTTTTTTAGATCTTGTCCATCCCAGCCCGGAAAGTATGTGCCCTCGGTTTACTACCACGATTTGATGACCACATATTGTTGACGTCGCCGATATAATGGACAACAGGCGCAGCAGCAGCAGACGACACAACTCACGCATAGCAAGACAAGCCCGCAGCATACACCAATCACTGGCAGAACCCAAATGCTGTGCAAAAAGAAGAAAATATGCTTATGCTACATCGCAGATTTTAACAGACTGTGAACAATGCCTGAGTCTGGTGACTTCACCCTGAAAATAAAACTGAAAGCAGAAGAGAAAATCCATTGTTTCAACAATTCAAAGTGGTCCCATGACATCTTAAGGACTGGAATGTGAAGAAATCAAAAGAAATGTTCAGTTTTTCGCTTTGTTTTAATGAAATGTTAAACCTATATTGTTACATTTAAACTAAAAATTAACTCACTGACAAAAAGTGACCTACGCTAATGCCGTCGGTCCACAGCAAGCATCACTGTTGTCCCCTGCCTTGCAACAGAATGTCTCCAAACCGGACTGGTCACCAGGTCGAGGACAGTAAAAGTCTTTATTGTAATCATCTAAAATTAAGAAAAAACTTTAACATTTTCTTTGTGTCAAGAAAATCGTACACCATCGCATTTTTTTTTTACTTTGACAGAATTTAAATGTGAAGATGCTTGTATCGCAGCCAAATACCAGCAAACTCTATCCGTATATAAATGAAAACAGAGCTTAAAAAAGCCCTGGTCCGATTTGAAAATGAATTACACAATATATCTTTACTATTCACGTACTTATGTATGTCAGGACAGTCAGGACGATGATAAACCATGACACACCACACAAGATAATAAACAATCATGACGTACCGGAAGGACAGTGATGTTCTCCCCGACCGTCGCAGCAGCCCTCGGAACAGCAGCGTGTGTGGTTAGGGGGGTCCTGCGGAGATGGGCAGTACAAGAAGGGGTAGTGACCAAGGGGCAATGACGGACAACGGAACGTGTCAGCTGCATCCGCGCCTAAAACTGAATAAAACTTACAGTAGTTTTTTCGAACACTGGTAGCCTGAACCTGGATATTTCATTGTCTAGCGAGACATTTTCATCAGGGAAATAGGAAAGTATCTTACTAAAATATACAAAAGAACCATTTCCACTTGTTTGATTCTGTGCTGAGTTTAAAGTACAGTAGCCCTTGTTTATATATGTTTATATATGTTTATACACCAAGTGCTTTTATGCCTGTCGCCGCTCTCTATCTCCCTCTCATTAATATACCCCGCATACCTGAATACAAAACAAATCCAACAAGTATCAAACTAATTGTCACCTCCCTTCCTATTGCTGCCATTGTTTCGAAATAATCATACTTTACTGGTACGTCCGAAAGTCCTTCCGTGTGACATTATTAACCTATGTACTGTGATCGTAGTCCTTCAATAGCACTGGCCATAGAAAAGCTACGTTAACCAGTAGGCTTACATACTTAGTAGGAAGATAACGCGTCTTCGGAGACATATGACCTAAATGAAGAGGGAACATTGTGCGTGCAATAATAAAACAGGAAATTAAAACTGCCATTTTTTTTATCAAGATTTTGAGTATATACAAATATTTAAAGCCACATTTGCTTAATACTGAACTTCCAAGTGTTTCAAATGGTAAACCCTAAATTTATTCATTTTATTAAAAAGCAGCAATTAACAGAAAATTTAAATTTAACACACAGAGAAAACGTTTACTTTAAACTGACTGTCAGCAATAAATCCCATTAAATTGTGAAATAAAAGAAAACATAACGTGGTCTAATTCAGAGTTATGCTGTCATCAGCCCGGAATACGCGCACTTTATCATGAAATAACCGTATTATCTCAGTCAATACACATACTTTGATAGGATACCTGTTGACACGCGGTGTCAGTGGAAAAATTAGTCTATATACAGGGGTACATAAGGCAATCCGTAGAATTGGGTGTAAATCAAGTGTGCACACATTCATAACAATATTCCAGTCTAATAATTCCGCCGCGAGCTCGGAATCCAAGACCGTTCATTGCTATGAAATCTTTAATTTTATTGCTTTACTATATTGTTGCTATGACCATGCATACTTGGAAGACATGTAGCTGGAGCATGCAAAACGTAGTGCCAACTTTAGAGAAAATTGTTTGGGTTGTCAGAAAGCATAACAAGGCAGCAAAGCTGTCAAATGTACAGACAAAGAACAGAAAATAAAGATGCAAACAAGTGAAAAATTAAATTTTCACAAAAAACTGTTAAATTGCCAGAAAAATTTACCAAACTGCCTGCGTTGCCTATTGAAGCTGTATTTTAGTGCCATGTTTCTTTCCTATAAGTNGGAAAAATCTGACTGGCCAGCGGTACGGATATAATGCCCTAAGGGCAGCTGTTGTGCCACTCATGCATCAACACCCAACCCTACTCTTGCTCCAGCAGAACAATGCACGTCCCCATACTGCCAGGATAGCACAGGGGTACCTGCAGCAGGAACAGATCCAGACTCTTCCGTAGCCAGCGTTTAAACCAAATATGTCTCCCATTGTACATACCTGGGGTGAACTGGGCAGATGACTTCATAGCCGCCAGAAACAGCCTACCACTGTCATAAAGTTGAGAGCTGCACTGGTGGGAGAATGGAAAATGACGCCCCAGGTCCGCATTCGAGGCCTCGTGCGTTCCGCGAGGAGGAGGGTACTAGCCTGTACTGCAGCCATGTTACTGAACATTACACTACCAGTTATGCAACAATATTGCATGAAAAGGTATATAAAAACTACAGATATAAAAAACTTTTTGGCTAGTATATTTGCCCAGGCAGCACTTGCAGCTTGTTGAATTTGCTTGGAGGAGGGCATGGTAAACACTTCATAATTGTGAATCAATTAAGAAAATAACGCTATTTTATTATTCAAGGACAATTGAAGATGACATTTTTATTTGTGTGACCCACCACCTTTGACATAATATTATATATATCAGTGGATGATGTCCACCCAGACAACAGCTCGTTGATTTTGCACTGAAAGATGACATGGTAAACACTTCACAGCTATGAATCTATTAAGAGAATAACATCACTTTATCATTCATTAAATAATAAAGATGACAAAAGAGTACGTGTGGCTTAAGTGAGAAGCAAACAGTGCTTCATGCTTTGCCAAAAGATGCAAACCTCTATCATGTGTAGTAGATTTGTGTAGGAACACACAGAAATTCACATTTTAACTAAAATTGTTCAAAGATTACCTTAGTATTTCAATGGAAGTTAACCTAACATTACTTCATGTTATTGCATCTTGTACATCACCGTTCTGCCCCAGTAACTGTTATTCACGAGGGTCGCTAGGTTATACCTTCTGGACCTTTAAAATGTATAAATTAATGGACATAAAGATATCGATAAAAATATTCCAAGCACTCCACATACAAAAGCGGTCATCTCACAGCCATGTTAATGAGGTTGAAAGCAGTCCAGTTTTTTGTCAGCACCTATAATATATCAAACCGGCCAGAATTGGAAATCAAGACCACTCGATTTTAAGTGGTAAGCAAACGTATAAATACACAGTGTCGACGATGAAAAACCTATCCAGGCCTGGATACAGCAGCCAAAATGGGTAAGTGTCATAATTAATTTGTAGACGCTATCTACTTTGGATACACAGGTTTGTCATATTCGTATATAATCGAAATAGTTACTTCTTAGCGCTGCAAGAACAATTTTAAAAGGACTTCTACTGTCAGTATATCTCAGTTTTGTGTTATTCAAAAAAGGTATTTAGTATACCCATATGTAGATTTCAACTAGTGTGTTGTTTTCAATTTCTGTTGCAACATCAAATAGAAATATAGTGCGTATTGGGACATGAAAAGAAACAAACAGTTTGGCTTTTGTTTCCTTGTTTAATACTACCCTTAGGAAAGATCGACACATTTGGAGCGTGTGCATGTTACAATATATGTTTTCTTATGTTTCTTAATCGAACTTCGTAAAGTAAAGAAAATCGCGCTAATATTGTATAAGTTTTTTTTCATTTCTTACTGGCAACACGTCGTTTACGAAACATTGAATGTTTTAGAATAATAAAAAACTTGGCTTTTTTTCTTGGGAGCAGGTAACTTTAGGTTCTCAGTTGGCGTTTTAACTCTCCTTTGTCTCCTCGTGACGACAGAGGCTCTAACACAAGCACAATTGGGTGAGTTCTTGCGATGACCGATGACGATGAAAAGAAAAAAATCAAATTACTTTCAATTGTGCAAGTGTCTTTTTTCTTTTGCTTATCTATAGAATTATCATATTAGGTCTGTTAATGGTTCTCATGGAACAACCCAACCTCCTGGCAATTTTGCTGGCCAAAACTTCATCCTATGTCAATTGTATGGTCAAAAAAGTACCCCTCTCCTTAAGGAGTTGCATATTGAAATTATTTTGTCATGATTTCATACTTATTTATACAAAAGCGTCCACAGTTCAAATAAAGATCTGTCGCAAAGTGTATAAAGGCATGTTTTAATGACATAATATTCATTGACGTGTTTCAGATTTGATATGCTCATTGGGTCCGTCAAATCAGTACTATTTTGCCCATCCGACGGACTGTAAACGTTTTATCCAGTGTGACACATCTCGCAGGGGTTTTGACATGCCGTGTGCGTATGACAATTGCTGGAACCAAGCCATACTAAGCCAGGATCATTGTAGTAACGTGGACTGCCACTCCGGTAGGTGACAATGCACTGCTATATTTTTTACGTTGGAACGATTTCATAGGCAGCGTTTTGTAAATTGTTGCTAAGTAACATAAAGGGCGTTTTAAAATCTTATATAGGACTTAAACTTAGTCTAGGAGACTAGACTTTAGTCGGTCATCTGGTAGTCCATATGAACAATTCCAAGTCTTGCTGCATAATCAGCGCTGAAGTCACTGATAGACATAATTACTCCTGGATAGGTGGAGCCTCAATCTGCGTGCATGTAAAGGCTGGACTGTTCTGTTATCTCATATGTGGCTTTCTTTACATCTTTCCAAATCAAACTACTTCCAGAATAGTAATTCGTTATAAACCATATCATATACCACTGGCGTCTATGTAGGTTCATACGGCTTAATATTTCCCATTTTTAGCCAGCATGGAGATTACATGTTTTGAGGTATGGCATATTAATAAAATTAATGGGCTGTTTGTAACTGTAAGATACATGACGTTCACGTCTCACTATGTATTCATATCAAAAAGACCATTAATGTGCAACAGTTCATGGGCAACGCATCTATTTACTTTGCAGATCAATGTCGCTGTAAAGTTATGGGGGATCCACACTATCAAACGTATGATGGCCAGTCAATTCATTACCAAGGTGAGTCTCATGGAATCGAGCCACTCTGTGAACAAACTTTGTTAAGAAAATCATTGGAAACTTTAAAAAGCGCTCCGAGAGCGCTCCGAGAGCGCATTAATCGTTTGATCAATTGATTTGCTGCTCAGTTTCAATTAGGCCTATTAATTAATGATTTGCCACCAAAATCTAGCCCATTTCTGACCTGAAAAAAATCCCCAGAAGCCCTCCCATAGGTTTATGCCTGATGTTGCTAACAGACATACAGTGTACAAGGACTTTATTGATCAACTAATCAAATAAATGCGCTATTTTACCATTCTATCTATGACCACAAAAAAGCCTCTTTCATAGTTAATGATCTAATGTCTTAATCAAAATCCTTTTGAAAATGCAACATTGTTGCCCTTATCTTTATAAAAAATAATTTATGTGCTTCCAAAAGGTGAATGCAGGTACACCATCAGCAAGACTTGTTTCGATCCGGCGGTCCACCCAGAACTAACTGAGTTCAACATTGAAGGAATCAACTACCCGGCACCCGGATTCCCGGATCGCACATGGATTAAAGAAGCTTTCATTGACGTTTTTGGAATGAAATTCAAGTTTGGGATAGGATCACCACCAACAGCTTTCATGTGGGATACAATAGTAGGCATCTTTTCACTGTAATCTCTATCATAAAGGGAACAGTAATATACCTGCTCAAGTAAGAGAGAATGTGCAACAAATGGCTTATAGTTTAATGCGATATTCAGTTGTCAATCATTCAACTGAAGTATTTCTTGGCTTAGAGTAGCCTAGCCTTTTTTGCCAAGATCCTGAGCCATCTTAGAGAAAATAGTTACAGTGAGTCTGTCACTGAATCAAGATACACAATGATACGTTTTCCAGAATATTTTATTGAATAAATATAGGATATTCAGCATATTTTTACCAACCTGTATGAAGTTTTTTAAAATTATTTCCTAATACGTATCTAACATTTGATTTATCATTCGTTTTAGTTGAATTCTTGGATACAAATCCTCGGCTTAAGCACCACACCCATCGACCTGTGCAACGCAGGAAGATGCATCAGCATATACCTTGGGGTTGACTACTGGATTTATTTTCAATTCGACTTTGGAATTCGTATTACGTGGTATAATCACAATCTCTTCATAACCGTTCCCGGAACTTACAGGGGGCTGTTGTGTGGTATGTGTGGTACCTGCAATGGGATCCCAGCCGATGACTACTCCCTGGCTGACGGAACTTATGTGGGTGACCAGTATATACCGTCCTTTCCACCGGTGCCACAGACCCAAGCCATGTTTGACCAGATTGGAGAAAGCTGGCTGGTTCCTGATCCCAGTCTTGCACGGGAGTAAGATAAATGGAACTATTATTAAGATGGTTTGCCACGCATTCTTAAACTCGTATATGTGGGTTTGAAACTTCCGGAGTTCCCATTACAATAAGGGTGTTATCAACAAGCTTGATGTGTGTGGATTCTACAACATGCTTTGTTGTATAGTCTTATATAGTCCTTGCTCTATTGAACAATTTTATTTCATTTGTCTTCTGTAAAGAAAGTTGTTGAAAACAGAACCCATCACAGCCTTGTTGCCCTTAACATTTCAGGTGCCAGGCCCCAGTTGGGAGAAGACGCAAGCGTCAAGCTCCTTCGGAGCAAACAGACTGCCAGGCAAAGGACCTCTGTGCTGTCATACAAAACGTTGAAGGCGTGTTCGGCAATTGTGCCGCAAGTCCACTTGTGAATTCCGAAGAGTACTACGTATCCTGTGCAATTGATGTTTGCTCAGCCACAGGAGATGAAGCAACACTGCCAGAGGTAGGTTAACTTATTAAGCCAGTTCACTCGGCCAAGTCTCATCCGGCAATGTGATGTCGAAATCGTCACCTCGGCAAATGCGCTGACAAACTTGCTCGTCATTCTCTTGTGAAAATTAAAAGTAGAAGATTTTTTCTATTCCAAATGCAAGCATTCACCAATCAAAAATTGTCGGTTTTAAAAGTTAATTCAGAAATAATTCAGATACAAACTTTATGCTGAACATGAATTTGAAACTCATAGAAACTATTTTAGATCTTTCTTATGAATGCAGATTCAGCATGAGGCGGCGTGTGGTATTATTGGGGCGTATGCCAAAGCGTGCGAAGAAGTCGGGCTTGGGGTATTTCCTGGCGCTTGGAGAGAAGTAACCGATTGCCGTAAGTTCATCAGTATAGCTGTCATTTGGCCATCAATTGGGCAATTTCGTAATGACAAAATATGATAAACAGAGTGAACTGAACAACTATTGACCTCTCTTTTAAATTCAGTCCTCTTATCCTGATCATGTTTTTTCACGTGTTTTTTTAATAGCGATGACAGTGTGTGCAACGGCGGGATACAACATGCGATACAGCCCAGAAACGACCAGGTGTCCGGCTTCTTGTGACCGATCTCCTCGTTCCGAGAGATGTGAAAGAGGCATACAAGAGGGGTGCGAGTGTCTGGCTGGGTACGTCCGTAGTGGGCATCTGTGCGTGCCTAACGAAATGTGTGGCTGCATGGATGCAATGGGAAGCTACCATCAGGTAAAAGGGTGCAACCAAAAACAGCAAAGTACCATTTAAAAGAGTTCCAAGCCCACTGAGGTCTCTAACAATTTTCGTGTTTTAAAAATCAATAATAATCTACCTGCAGTGTACTGGTATAGGCAAGAGGGCCATGTGTAAGATAAGTGTGCGCACTTTACATATTTTACCATCTTTAAATAAAGTTTATTATTATTATTATAATTATTATTATTATTATTTCAATACAGATTATCAGCTCTGTTACGTGATCAGACTTTCATGTAGTCTGAACTGATCAAAATGTACAATGGCAAAAATGTAAGATGGCAAAAAAGTTTCAGTTTCCAAACTGCTTGACCAATATCCTTTCTATCTTTCCAGTTAAGTGACTCTTGGGCCTCTGGTAACTGCAGCCACTGGTATACGTGCGTGGAGCCGAACCAAATAGAGGAAACAGGTAGTCCATGTGGTGTAGAGAGCAAGTGCCTTCTAGAAGAGGGCGTGTGGGAGTGCTCCGCCTCTAATGAAATCCCTATTATATAAAGGTAAGATATGAGTACAGTGCGCATGTACCTATTTGAAATATATTCTATGATTATCAACCAGCCAGCCGGGTTCATCATAATAATCGTGACAGAGTATTGGCAACGTGTATTCAATTAACGAATTTCTTGGCAGAATCTTCATTTAATTTTAAATTATTTACTCCGTGGACGGGATTTGCACATGTAGTCGTTAAATATATTATACATAATTTCCATCTGATCTCAATTCCTTTTTATTTCAGAAGTTGGTAAATACAGTATATTAGTATGACTATGCATCAAATTCGTCTAATGACACTCTCTTTATATTCCAGAAGTTGCGTGACTTCTCTGACGTCATGATGTTGGAGCTGTCACGTGACCGTCAATCTCAACCAGTATGGATTAGTACGTACTAATGGATGGAAATTTTCCGAACGATTTCTTTGCAGATGTATCAGGCCTAGCCTACAAATTGTGAACTTCATTATTTAAACGACCATAGGGGTCTATGTTACAAAAGAATGAGAATTAAACCATGAATTAGATAGACATATTATTGAAGTATCAAAATAATGGCATATAATACCGAAAAAAAAACTGCTAAACAATAAAAATTGCTGGAAAATTAGATTCATTAACCAATAATGCATCAGAAGAGCCTGAAGAGAGATGCGCTAATAGTTTGTAGATAGCCTGTAGTATCTTACCAATAAAATGTTATTCCTTCTCATGTATAGAATCTATGTGTTTACTTTATAAAAAAAATACCCGTTGATACATGTGTCGCAGGGGCGGATCCAGGATTATTTGAAAGGGGGGGGGGGCGAAAAGCAGGTCTCTAATGGAAAGCCGACCCATCGCCCCCTGGTGTGGGGTTCGGGGCCTACTCAAAAATTTTTGGTTTTGGAGAGCAAACAGTGCCCTTTGGTACGGTTTAGAACTATAATTTAGCTAGTTAAATCTCTAATTTCAAGTGGGGAATATTGGTGTGATATATCTTTGAGAAATCGAAAGGGGGGGGGGCAGGAGACACCGCACCCCCCCTCTAAATCTGCCACTGTGTCGTACATGCATATGCTATATAAATAAATATCGATACACGATAATGATAGCTAAAGAAAAAGCATCTAATACCACTACTCTGAGTTTCACGGATATACCCTATAGGGTCTCTTTAAGTTCGAAAACTGCTGGGTACCCCTACCGACCCAAATGTATAAACAAATTATAATAAATACACAAAAGGTCGATAGAGTACTTCACTATAACTTCGTAAGGTATGTACCGGCTACGAGCACGGCTGACACCAAGTATACATTGAATACATTTCCTTAATGTATCTGTCACAAGAAGTTCCATAAATAAATTGCGACTTTTTATTGATACATGTTTTGATGCAGAATATTACAATTCAAAGCAAACATTTCATTGCATATATAAATGTCAAAAAAGTAATGTCCTGAAAAGTAACAGGAAAACGAACTTAGCAAAGGAGACAATTTTGGCATGGGTGCAGGTCTGTCGGACACGAATCCAATGTTTTTGGTGCAGAACGCATCCAATAGTCTCGTAAACGAAAGGCAGGTCACCGAATTTAAAGGGGCAACAATTCTTCGATCTATCTTTCACAATAAAAACACTATTTTAATAGTTATTAAAATAACAAGAGGCGTAGTTATGAAAATTAAACCATGAACATCGAAAAAAGGGGAGTTACAATGGATTTGCTTTTCTCATCTGTTCGCGACTAGTTCTGTAGAGAAACATTTTATTATCTGCTCTCTTTAATAAAGATGATAATTTTGATAATTTGGTAATAACAATAATAACTAGTGAAATGTGAATGTTGTTACCCATCCAGGAGGAAGACGCGTTCAGTTCTTTTGACCGCTGGAATAATTTCAGTTTCAGTGACAAATTTTGGCGTCTTTCTTCCACCTCGATCCTATCCGAAGATCTCGCGTCAAAATGGCTACCTGATTTACAATGTACGTAACGGAAGTACAGAAACCTCGATAAGATATTTATGTTTGTTATACGATAATAATTGAAATCCCATTTAATTTATGTTGCTTTACTTTCTGAACGTTTAATTTTTCATGCATGGGTATTTTCTGACTTCGAACTCCTATAGGTCTGAAGCCTTGCGATAGTTACAATTTCTGAATGTCTACGGCACTAGTGGTAGGCCCTACTTATTTAATTAAAGTTGGTGGTAATAATTGACGCAATTGAGCATTATTTAATCGCGTTGGCTGAACATTTTTAATATCTTTATTATATCCTGCTCGCAAATGGTAAAAATCAAAGCTCTATTATCTTTCTAATGTTGACAAAACATTTTGAGGTCTGCCACCGTTAAGACCATTAAACGAAAACCTCATTATTTTCAAACTTACATGACAATACAAACAGGACTTCAAATACTTAAACACAACTCTAGTTCAGAAAACAAGCCGGAGTTTATTGTAAAGTTTGTTGTAAAGTTTCTAACTTGTGAAGTCTTCATTTTCCACTACTAAAGCATTTTCAAAGCGTGACTTCGAATTCCTATATGTGACTGAAGCCCTCGGCAGTTAATTTTTTTTTTACTTTCCACAGTAACTGTAGTACATAATTAAAAATTCGTGATAGCGCATCAAAATGGACAAAGCCCCCGTTTGTGCACTTTCATCTTAAAAAATTGGTTGTTGTTTCATTTTAGTGTTTTTTTTTTTCTAATATTGCTTCTATCAGTTTTGTCATCTATAATTGTCTGTCCATTTCTCAGCTGCCATCAGCTTGTTTGTGAATGATTCTTGTCTTTTTTTTTTTTTAGATCTTGTCCATCCCAGCCCAGAAAGTATGTGCCCGCGGTTTACTACCACGATTTGATGACCACATATTGTTGACGTCGCCGATATAATGGACAACAGGCGCAGCAGCAGCAGACGACACAACTCACGCAGAGCAAGACAAGCCCGCAGCATACACCAATCACTGGCAGAACCCAAATGCTGTGCAAAAAGAAGAAAATATGTTTATGCTACATCACAGATTTTAACAGACTGTGAACAATGCCTGAGTCTGGTGACTTCACCCTGAAAATAAAACTGAAAGCAGAAGAGAAAATCCATTGTTTCAACAATTCAAAGTGGTCCCATGACATCTTAAGGACTGGAATGTGAAGAAATCAAAAGAAATGTTCAGTTTTTCGCTTTGTTTTAATGAAATGTTAAACCTATATTGTTACATTTAAACTAAAAAGTAACTCACTGACAAAAAGTGACCTACGCTAATGCCGTCGGTCCACAGCAAGCATCACTGTTGTCCCCTGCCTTGCAACAGAATGTCTCCAAACCGGACTGGTCACCAGGTCGAGGACAGTAAAAGTCTTTATTGTAATCATCTAAAATTAAGAAAAAACTTTAACATTTTCTTTGTGTCAAGAAAATCGTACGCCATCGCATTTTTTTTTTTACTTTGACAGAATTTAAATGTGGAGATGCTTGTATCGCAGCCACATACCAGCAAACTCTATCCGTATATAAATGAAAACAGATACACCTATTCAGTAGCTTAAAAAGCCCTGGTCCGATTTGAAAATGATATTACACAATATATCTTTACTACTCACGTACTTATGTATGTCAGGACAGTCAGGACGATGATAAACAATGACACACCACACAAGATAATAAACAATCATGACGTACCGGAGGGACAGTGATGTTCTCCCCGACCGTCGCAGCATCCCTCGGAACAGCAGCGTGTGTGGTTAGGGGGGTCCTGTGGAGATGGGCAGTACAAGAAAGGGTAGTGACCAAGGGGCAATGACGGACAACGGAACGTTTCAGCGGCGCCCACATCTAAAACTGAATAAAATTTACAGTAATTTCTTCCAACACTGGTAGCCTGAACCTAAAGTGATTTTCACTTCGATATTTCATTGTCTAGCAAGACGTCTTCATCAGGGACATGGGAAAGTGTCTTTCTAAAATACACAAAAGATCTATTTCCGCTTGCTTCATCCTGTGCTGAGATTAATGTGTCTTTGTTTATACATGATACCACGTGTTTTTATGCTTTTTGTCGCTCTCTATCTCCCTCTCATTAATATACCCCGCATACCTGAATACAAAACAAATCCAACAAGTATCAAACTAATTGTCACCTCCCTTCCTATTGCTGCCATTGTTTCGAAATAATCATACTTTACTGGTACGTCCGAAAGTCCTTCCGTGTGACATTATTAACCTATGTACTGTGATCGTAGTCCTTCAGTAGCACTGACCATAGAAACGCTACATTAACCTGTACATACTTAGTAAGAAGATAACGCATCTTCGGAGACATATGACCTAAATAGAGACGGAATATTGTGCGTACAATAATAATATGTCCCAGGAAATTAAAACTGCCATTTTTTTATCAAGACGTTGAGTATATACAAATATTTAAAGCAACATCTGCTAAATACTGAACTTCCGAGTGTTTCAAATGGTAAACCCTTAATTTACTCATTTTATTAAAAAGCAGCAATTAACAGAAAATTTAAATGTAACACACATAGAAAACGTTTACTTTAAACTGACTGTCAGCAATAAATCCAATTAAATTGTGAAATAAAAGAAAACATAACGTGGTCTAATACACATTTATGGTGTCACCAGCCCGGAATTTGCGCACTTTTATCATGAAATAACCGTGTTATCTCAGTCAATACACATACTTTGATAGGATACCTGTTGACGTGCGGAGTCAGTGGAAAAATTAGTCACTATACAGAGGTACATCTTTATAAGACAATCCGTAGAATTGAGTGTAAATCAAGTGTACGCACATTAATAACAATATTCCAGTCTAATAATTCCGCCGCGAGCTCGGAATCCAAGACCGTTCATTGCTATGAAATCTTTAATCTTATTGCTTTACTATATTGTTGCTATGACCATGCATACTTGGAAGACATGTAGCTGGAGCATGCAAAACGTAGTGCCAACTTTAGAGAAAATTGTTTGGGTTGTCAGAAAGCATAAAAAAGAAACGGCGAGCGCCAAAAAAAAAAAAAAAAAAAAAAATGTTAGAGAAAAAATACAGATTTTCTGAGTGAAATATTTTTGTCATGTTTAAAGCTTGTATATCAGGGCGTTTTTAAAGTGCATTAACTTCCAACTTGGCTCGACCCACCAGTGCCCTTGGACGCCATGTTTTATACCATTTGTAATCAAATGATCTATTAGTTCTAAATGACTGACCAGTCACGTAGACCACCAACTCTCCCTTTACATTTCACAAGGTAATTACGACATCCTTTCACTTCATTTGAGTGGTTTTATTGTTTTAAGGTTAGAATTGGGAAAGAGAAGTACCTTGCAGGACTTGTAGGCAAAGAAAACGTGACTTTGGGACATTTTCAAACACGGGTAGTGAATCTTTCAATTTCGTGGTGTTCAGTATCAAGCGGTTTCCTTGATAATGGGAGGCACAAATTTCTAAATGTACTTTTAAAATATTTATTGTTAGCAACACAACAAACCACCTATAGGTAGTTTGCAGTACGCATGCACAGAATAGTAAACATCGCCGTTATTTTCAAGTAATATATATATCATTATTACAAAAATCAATTAATCCTAAATAAAACTGACCACAAAGGCCGGTATTACGTTCTTCACTCTTTGTAAACATATCATCTAAATTTATATATATTATACATATAATGGAGTACATACAATGTATATATTAAGAAAACCTTACAAGCTATGATACAAAAATCGAACAGCACAATTTGTTACACCGCGTACGCATTAATAGCAGAAGCTTTGTTCCAACTTATTTCAAATCAGACATGCCATATGCTTTAACATAGCTGCAATGGGAAATGTTGATAAAATAACCCTCTTGGCTTAAGCTTAACTGTGCATTTTAAAATATTTAACACTTATTCATTTGAAAACAGTATATAGCTTTCTGCTGCAGAGGGCTACCAAAGACAATTTCACTGCCTTATAATTGTTTTTTCTAGCAGACTGCATTAGAACTAAGAGATTTAGCCAAAGCTGATGCAAACTTTTTCACTAATAGACTAGCGGTAAACAAGCAAGGAGGGGGAGGGGGGTTCGCCCATTGTCAAAAAATTCAAAATAAATGTAAAATTCCAAGTATTGGCTGTAGTCAAGAAAACATTTAAAGACAATGTTATCCTAAGAACAAAAATTGGTGATTAATAAATATATCATATATTTAAAAAGCTTTAATGATCTTTCTTCATACTTTATTAAAATAAGTATCCACTTTCTTTGACACTTACACACAGTTCTGGAGTATTGATTTCTTTATACAAATCACAACATAAACTTTCTGATTAAATATCAAATTTGTATAAAACATGAGAAGTTTAGTTTCAATTCACTGGTTTGGTTTTCAGACAAAGACTTAGTTTCATAGAGAATTATTTTTTCCATGTCACTTTTGCCAACAAGCCTCAAGTGCCAACACCTTCATTTATAAACAACTATTATCTATTTTGAGAAATAAGAATTCCATCTGGTGAGAATTGAGTCAAGGAGTTAAGACTGGTTTCTCACTTAGAGAGCTGAACTTAAAATTGGCATATATTACTTTTGAAGAAAATATGAAATGTCATAGATGTATTACTTATAGGAATTCATATTCAACTGATGCAGATACACTGACAAACAAACAAAATTTAAATTCAGTTTTTTTTTACACATACTAGTATATGGCTAAATAATCTGAACTAAAGTTTATGGGGCTTGACATCAATTAAGCAAAATATGTCCTGCACTTCACAAAGAGATGCACCTAATACTGATATCACAAACATTTGAAAGAAAAAAACTCACAATTCCCAAGACTATTATTTGCAGGTGCCACTAAGTAAGCAAAAGGCTGCAATCTGAAGAAACAGTGTGAAGTATTCATCTTTCAACGAAAAAAAAAAAAAAAAAAAAAACAATGCCAAACAAAGAGCAGTATTACCATATTCTGAACACAACAAAAACTACATTTAAGGCACAAAGATACATGTAAATTAGACCCTACAATCATTGCAGCCAATTGTGCCACTTTATGGATTCAAGCAATATTAGAATAAAATAATATTAGGTTACTTGTTGAAATCACAATTGGAGATATACCCATTGCAGAAAGAAAAAGTATTACTTGAACTGCTACAAAATCCTTTTCTAAATGTGTTGCCTCTTTCAAAATATCAGTTTCCTGAAACAAAGGCCAGCTTTGCAAAATAAATAAATAAATAATTTAATTCACCGATTAGAATCCTTCAAAATCTGAAAATAATTGCAGAAAAAAAACTGCTTAAAAAAACTGTAACTAAGCATCTGGATTACACAACAAAGCTTCACACCAAGGTTGAAAAAATCATGTTTGTAAATTACAGCTACATCACGATGTATTACATATATTCCAAAAGAAAGAAACATGCCCATTCAATACTTACATGTACTATTCATTTCAATTATCAACTATCACACCCATTTACAGATACATATATGGGATTAATATGACTTGACTGATCAGAAGTCCATCACTGGGTTTCATATCAAACCTTGAATATTTGTGCAAAACTTTGGTAAATTATTCATAATTTAAAGGATCACAACAGAATGAGGTGCTGAAGCAAATGTTCATGATTTAATTAAGAATTTCACTGGGAATAAATATCATGTAAATTGAGAATCCCCCTTCCAAGGTCACTGAGCATAAGATGTTAATTACTTTACATGGTCACCAACTCTAACTTTTCCCTACCTTCAGATGTCATTGGTCCAATTTACAGGTGACCTTTAGAATCAAGACACTGATGATACAATGACTTTGAACCTTGCCTATTTAGGATTTCATAAATTGTAAACTAACTTTCACATCATTTTAGATATTTTTATACAGTGATGAAAACCCAATACCCAAAGGTAAGAGTTTTATCTGGTCAGTTTTATATCTAAAGATATTGAATCAATAACTCTGACTCAAAGGCACTGCTGTTGATCTAATATAGAGCATTTGCAGCTGGAGTATGCAAAAAATTTGTAACCTTTTCTCAAATATTAGTAATTAACATACATTCTTGTAACTGTCTTGTCAGTCACATTTTTCACATAAATGTGCAATCTGGAGATAAAAGGGAGTTACAAATGCTCGCACTTAGGATACAAACATTTGGGAGCCACAGAGCTATCTCATACATATACCATATCGTCTTCATCATCCTGGGTTAAATCTGTAAGAGTGATCTGATTAGCTGAATGCCTGGCCCACAGGGAGGTCTCCCTCTCACCACTCCCAGAAGATGGTCCCCTGTTCAGATCATTCTGTCCGTGAATCACAACCTTTCCTGAGGATGAGGACCCTGAGGGCAGATTACTCTCATTGTTAAGAAGAAGTGGTGATGTTTCCGATTCCATCTCCTTTGTAGACGAAGAAGAAACGGACCACTTGTCCATGTTATCTGTGGTTGCCATGGGCACCTGGTCAGTGTAAGTACTGATGCAGTGGACAGTGGGGCTGGTGGACACGGCAGAGGAGGTCAGATATTCTGTCCACTCATCGAGGGTGGTAACTGCTGGGTCGACCACTGGAGGCCCTGCCCCAATGCTCTGGGCCCCACACACATCAATATTGAACTGTAAAGGAACTGATGCAGCAGCAACCTCCCCATGAATGGCACTTGGAAGGTCTTCCGTGGGAGTTTTCACATAGGAGTAAAGGTGACTGAAATCTTTCTTTTCGAACTCTTTAGTTTTGTTCACATCCATAGCCAAAATATTATTCACAGAAATGTTCTTGATCAGACCAAAACTGTTTCCATAGGCACCATGACACGTCCCAGAGCACTGAGGGTCTTCTTCTGATTCCCTGGGATGACCTTGACCTTGTGCATGACCTTGACCTTCTTTGTGATGTCGAGGAGCCTGATGTGGTTTGTGCTTTGGTCTGGCTCCACCCATTCCTTCTTCATGCTGTCTAGTGTCCAGTGGACTTTCCAAACAGGCCGCAGTAGAGTCACTGTCATCCTTTGAAGTGGTCAGTGCACTACTGGTCACTATAGAGTCACTGTAGGCCAGTAACATTTTCACATGAGTATCCAGCTCCTCTTCCTCCTGTGATTTCTCAGAGCTACTGGAGTGGTCATCTCTCGGGGTCAATACTGACTGGTTGTTATTGTCATTGTGGTCCCTATCTCCAGATATCTGGTCAACTGGGTCACTACCATCACTGGGGTCCATTGAAATGTTTGATTGTGCATTTCTGGTGGCAGTAGCAGTATACTCGGGTATTTCTAGGCTCTTAGTGTCCTGTGGTTCTTGATTGCTCTCCTGAAGGCTATAAACGGAAACACCTGGCAATTTACTTCCTAACACACTTTTCTCTAACTCCATATCTCCTTCCTCATCCACACACAATGAAGGCTCTGTAAGAGGTGCTAAAATCAACTGAGCTTCTGTACCACTTAGCGTCGGCACATGCATGCTGTGGACAGGGGTGACTGGAGTGTCCGTGGCATGGACGTCCACACAAGTGATGGGGATGCTGGCCTCCAAGGGGGAGTTTGGGGCAGAGTCTTGTAAAGACAGCTGTATTGCCATTTTCAGTTCTGTGTCCTCCTCTGTAAAAAGACAACATATTTATTTTGTGTTACAATCTGACATTTATATGATCACATTTGATAACACACTTTTTAATATCATTTGGTTAGTTTTCTTGTTAATTCCTTAAATATTAACTGAAAGTTGCATTGATTAAACATATAAACACTAAGTATCTAATACATACTTTCATGCATGATGAATGATGCATACACCTTTCTATGCAATAATTACAGACCAAATAAAGTTCACTTTACAAAATACAAGATGCAAGGTTTGAATGTGCAAGATTGTGCTGTGTAAAATTATATTTTCAACTGTTAAACAGTAATCAATAAAACAAACAAACAAACAAATAAATAAATAAATAAATAAATAAATAAATAAATAAATAAATAAATAAACAGACTCTTCACCTTCTGCAGTAATTCGAGACAGTTCAATTGCACGTTGCAACTCTGGATCAAAATCTTCCACATCGGTGGCAGCAGCGGGAGGCTGTCGCTCACTCCTATTGGCTGTCCCCCGTCGAACTACTCTAGGCAGCCTAGGGGAGTTGATTGACCGTCCTGTCCTGCTCGGACTACTGGACAATGGACTAGTGGACACCTTGGACACGGGGCTCTTTGGTGCAGTTTCCTCTGGCCGTGGTGGAAGAGGTTCAGGCAATGGAATCTCCATATTCAATCGATTGCTTGAACTTTAAACATAAGATAAGATAATCTGATCCCCTTTTTAAAAGTGGCATGCTGTTCATTTAGCCAGTATCACTTTTGAAAGTCCCACATTGATATCTGTCAGTGTCAATAAATTAAACAAATGCTAAAACCTCCTGGCATTGATTTTCATTTTCACCATCATTTAAATCATATTAGTCTACTTTGGTTTCATTTAACATGTATGACAGCTGCTGTTTTTTTCTATTATTTTTAAGTATTGACTTCAGTGACAAAACTTAAATTAAAAATTTTAGCCTTTCAAACTCAAAAGCAAACCGACTACTGTTCAAGATTATATTCTGAAATTTGTAATGAATCAAAATTTTATTCTGAATTCCACACCTTGCTGCATCAGCTGATGGTCCCAGGGAGGCGACATCTCGAAGCAGCTGAAGCCGAGACATCTCTAAGGCACGGAGGAGGTCAAGCTGATAGTCTGCAACTAACTCCGATGGACGAGGACTGGACACTGAATAAGAAGGAAAACAATGTTTCTTTATCAAGTAAATACTGCTGATAGCCTTCCTACAACTCTGTTAAACAATGTCAAGACACTTAAAGTGAACACAGCTTGATGTTCAATCAAGATACCCACGTTGCAGTGCATTTTATTGTTATCTTTACCTCCTTCTTTCCCCACTCTGTCCTTCCTAAGACAGCGCAGACTACAGTACTCATGCATTCCTCCTGTTCTTTTATTCCTGGCCCTTGGTTTGCTGCAGTCTGTTCGCCGACAAACATCTACAACATAATTATTTCAAATTACTATAATGAGATTGTATCAAATTTGATAAAAGAGGGACCAATATTTTTTTAAAGTAATCTAGGTTATTTATATCAGAATTCAGTATGAATGCTTTTTCAAAAGCTAAATGTTCTTGTCAGTGAAATGTGAACTAATTCGACTGTCAATTTCTCAGTAGTTTTGATGAAAATTCTGCTATTACATGATTAACTAAATTTTTTCCCTACCAATTTCTGCAAGCACCTCAATCCACCCAAAATGACTCAATTGCCACCCAATGTGACTTGATCCCTAATTTTGTCAGGACAGGTCACAAATATCCACAGTAACTACATTAACTATAACAACAACTTTCACATACTGACAACACTGCCTCACACACCATAACTTACCACTAGTGACTGAAGGAGTTTGCCCAGCTTTCCCCTCCCCCTGCTCTTCCTCCTGCTCATCCTCGGACTCCTCAGGGCTGGAGTCAGGCCAGTCAAAGAGTGCAGAGACATTGGTGTGGCGCCCTGAACTGTCCATAACCCAGGGGTTGGGCAGCTCCATGTCTTGAATGGAGTCTAGCAGGGCTTTCTTGGTGTCCTCCTTTATAAGAAGATATATAATATTAAACAGATGGAATTTGTGAGCTGTCCTTTGGTGTGGGTAATAAATGACAAAAGTTGGTCTCAGCATTTGATTACTATGTGTGTCCCTGTACTTTCATACATATATTTTATCATGACTCCTGTTTAGAAGCCAGCCCCCCCCCCCCAAAAAAAAAAAATTCCCACTTCAACCCAATACCATCCCTGGCCCTTACTTCCACAGTGAATTTATTGATTCCTAAAATTTAACAAATTTCCTGGTGCCATGCTGCCATGTTCAAGTAGATCTCATTCTCACTTGTATCCACATCAAAGCTGTATTTCCTTATAGAATTTCCAGCTATGAAAACTGGAGTAAATGGTTTAAAAAAATTTCAGAGATTTGCCCAGAAACATGTAAGTTGAGATATAATATCATCTGCTGACGTTAAAATCTATTTAGCCAAAATATCAGTGTTTTTGGCAAAGCCCCTTTGAAGAATTGTCAAAAATTCATTTACCTTTGAACATTTCATCATCATTGCCCCCCTCGTTTTTCTGTATAGGAGACTTGCAGTTCCAGATTGTTTGAATAGCACTCGGCCACACCCTTTCCAAGGCAACATAAACACACAAATGCTTAATGGATCTAATAATTACTTACATCTACATCAAAACTGTATTTTTTCCTAGAATTCCCAGGAGACAGATCAACGGGCACCAAGCCTCGTGCAATGGCGCCTATCAAGTCATGGCGTTTCCGTGTGACCAGCTGAGCCTGACCTATAATCTTGTTCCGTGGTGTACGTAAGTATGGGCGATTGATCATCTGAGATAAGTTCTCTGTTGCCTCTTCCAGCTCCGTCTGTGGAAAAATGAAAACAGCTCATGTGACATGACTTATATTGTGTAAATCAATAATTTAGCTGTCCTGTACAAAAATCTTTTTTTTTTTTTGTATGTTAAAACCACAAATGAATCTGAGAGAATTTCAAGTGCAGTAGAACTAAATAATAAGAACTGAAATTGACATAAAACATCTAACATTCAATTAAATGATTTTTTTATTAAAATGTGTGTGAATATAATAATATAAATATTCAATCAGTAATCACCTGCATGAATTCAAAGATGGGTTTTCTAATTCCTACTTCTTCTATGTAATAACCATAGACATAAGAACACTTCAGGACGCGCCGTGCCTTGAGCAATTGGTGGACTGCATCTTCTATAAACTTGGTCTCAATATCTGCAGTTGCTGTAAAATAAAAACGTCAAATTGAAATAGACTGAAATATGCCTGAATGCACTTTTTCAAAATTCTGCAGGAATCATACATATAATTGTAGGATTTGTGTGTAAATAAATGTGTATGTGCAAGTGCACTTGCAACTGGGGATTAGATGGGGGGTTCTAACTAGCATGTACCATAAATAAATGAATTGTGGTGGTCTTACAAGTACTTCAAAACTGAAGGGGGGGTGTATTACCTGGATCGCTGACTGCATTGGCAAGTATCAGCATCTTTTCTTTGGCAGTGGTAAGCAATGGTTCCTCCAGCTAAAACAAGAAAGTAAACATTACATCTTGTTGTGTTTAAAGGCTTTTTAAACTGAATTTGTTTAACACTTGGATTTCATGTTTTGTACCTGGACCATTCATAATTAAACAATTTAGTTCTAAATAACTGATCAGTCAACTAGAAGGAAATATCGACATCAAATACATTTGAGGTGTTTTATCATTTCTGTGGTCTAAATCTGAAAAGGTAAGTAGCTTTGCAGGATAAATAGTCACAAAAAATGTAACACTGGGATATATTAACCACAGACAATATACTTTTAAGGTATATTAATCATAGCAATTCATACAGTTCACAGGTGGATTTGGACTTATAGTGAGTCCTCTTTTGATCTGTGAGAATCTACCAAGAATAACTTTAGAAAGACACTTATCAATGCCCATTAACAATATATTCTTCCCCCATAGTTTTATCACACTTTCTTTAAAACATCACACCTATTTCAGACCAAGAGTTTCAGGTATTTTGAACTTTTGGCATGTCTCTCAAGCCTTTGTCACTTACCTTGAAACTATTGTCATGGTTTTTAAACCTAGTGTAATAGTGGACAAACTTGTGCATTTCTTTGTTAGCCATGTGCTTCTGCTCAGCCTGAAATATAATTTGGTATACATGTATACAAAACAATATCCATGCACAGGGGGGTATTATGAATGCTGAAATATACTGAACAAATATAAAACCCAATCTTGAAACGTTTGTCAAAAAAGAATTTTATAAATCGACCAGATAAATGTTTTATATGCAGTAGTAATATGCCATGGCATGTGCACTTAACACTTTACACTTTATCACTGATTTTAAGTTTATAAGAAACAAAAATCTAAACATAACATTAAAGGTGGAAATAAATTTCCTACAAACTTTGCCACGAAGAATAAAACTAAAATGCTTACTGAATAACCAAGGAGACTTTCTATTATACTTAATTCATAAGCAAGTTTGCTTTCTCTTTTTGTAATGCGGTTAATTTCCTCAGTTAATATATTAATCACTTCCTTACCTCTGTCTTTTGCACTTCTGTCTGTTCATCAACTTTCTTTGACACATCATATCTATTGCACCTAAAGTACCCCCCAGTAGCAGAACTGTGTTTCTTCCACTGCTCCAGACACACCCAGCAGAAGTCGTGTTTGCACTGGAAATTGACACAGGTCCTCATTATAATATCAAAATGTAATCTAGTCAAGATTCAAGGCTGTCATCTAAAGCAGCTCATCAACTACAGATTTATAAAGTACACCTGTGCTGTTAATTATAGGATCAGCTAGACCATTCTATATTCAACTGTTGAGAAGTAAAAAAAATCATCAACTCTATCCTTTACTTGGCAGGGTGTGTTTCAATAACTAATTCTTAGAATAATAATATTTTTTATATTTCTGGATTTATCAGTGCAACTTACAGAAAACCCCCAGATATCAGTGTTTTTGGCAAAGCCCCTTAAAAGGATTGTTAAAAATTCATTTACCTTTGAACATTTCATATGATTGCACCCCTCGTTTTTCTGTATAGGAGACTTGCAGTTGGGACAAGGCTTGGCATTGGTCACCAACCACAGTATATTGGCTGATGTCTCCACTGCTCCACTCGTGTCACATACTGGAAAACAAAACATAAAAAACTAGGTTGATATTTCACTTTATACTCTCTGAAATGTCCATTGAAATTCCCGACTGGAGACAACATTTGGATCATGTATAATTTGATCACAGGAATTACATCACAGAACAAACACAGAATCAATTGCAACAGCAATGAAAAAGGACTGATGGAGATTGATTGGGCATGTGAGCAGGATGGAGAAAACAGCAATTCCAAAAATAGCAATAGGATGGGCAACAGAAGGAAAAAGACACAGAGAAAGATTGAAAGAAACATAGAAACAATCTGATGAGAAGGAGATGAAATAACAAGGATGGATGAAGGACAGCTTGAGGGTTATGCAGCAGACAGACAACACTTGAAAGCTATGGCAGATGCCTTAAGTGCCACATCGGCACAAAGAGAATAGTCAGTCAGACATAATTTGATCAATAAATAAAATTCTGTTTTTGAGTCTAAGTTCTAGTTTTAAAAACCCTGTCATAATGAAGAGAGAGACTAGAGAATTTCACTAAAAATGGCAAAATTAGAAATTTGAAATTCAAAAGCAGGTTAAATTATTTTTTGGCTAAATAGATTTTAATGTCAGCAGATGATATTAAATCTCAACTTACATGCTTCTGGGCAGATCTCTGAAATTTTTTGAAACCATTTACTCCAGTTTTCACAGCTGGCAGGAGCATGAGCTTCACCAAGACAGTCCCTGAAACATAGACAAATTTTCTGTCAAACCATTTAATTATGGTAGCAATAGCAACCATTATTTAAAACTTGTAATAACCTTGAAAACAGGTTATTTATAATGGTGATGTGATATCACGTAAATGTTTAAAACAACAAAAACATCACAGGCTTCTCAATATAAATTAGGCTTAAGCTTACTATGAGAAGTTATTACTTACCAACAAAAATAATGGCCACTCCCACAATCCACAGATCTGGAGGTGTCCCCAGGAAGTTTACTGGCGATAGACGGCTGAACTGGTGACATGACACCACTAGCGCCATCCATATCTGGTAGTTTTACTGCTCGGATACAGCCAGGAGACGGACACCACTTGATATTGGGGTTGCTGTCAACAAACGCCTTAAAAAAAAGAATAATGATAATATACAGCAGTGTGAAATCTGTCTTCAACTGCAACTTACATAGATGAAGGACAGATTATTTGTTATTTATTTAAAGATTTGACTGTTCCACATTCTGGAATTGGTATTTCATTACAAGAGTAAATAATAAAGAGTTAAGTTCTTGGTTTAAAAAGTTACATTTTTTTTAACGACTACGCATTTTTTTACCTGTGAGATATGACATTTCAACCCTTCATCAAAGATTGCAAGATTGTCATTTCTCACAGGTTAAAAAACATTTAATTTCTGCAATTTCTCTTTTTAACAACCTTTACTTTTTCACAGTTATAACTTCGCTTTAATAGAACATACCTGTATGTCAAACTGCAGATATCTCCTGGCCATATCTCTTGAGACAATCTCCTCAATGAGTTCTACAGGTACAAGTTTGATACAGTCATAAGCAGGGCAGGTAATGTTATGGGCCTCACCCTCTTGGATTTTCACATTTAAATAGCTGTAAAGTCAACAGATGAAAAATAAGAATAGATGAATGTGCTTATTCTTCATGAAGACAGCATACATTTTCAATTTGCTTTAAATTTGTAGAAAGGATCAATATTTTATGAATGATTTTAATATTATACCTGATGTTGGTAGCATTTTGTGTTGGGAAAAAAAGGTCACTAAGCTAATATACTGAACAAAGGGCTTTTATTTCCAAATTTTAAATCAGAACAAAATGGATGTATAAGCCAACAGTAAATATTATAGGAACTGGAAAGGTTCATTTTCTTTAAATAGCACCTAAATATCAGTTTTTTATCTTGATTAAAACTGCATTAATTTCAGATATTAAGTTTTAATCCTTCAATATTTATCCTTATCTTGGTAGCACTAGAACCCGAAAAACTACTCACCCTTCCCAGCATGCTCGACAAAACCTGTGTTCACATGACATGGGAACTGCCGTCTCATCACTTGGAATGTAGTTTGCACATATATCACACTGAAAACAATGAGAACAGTAACAGTCATTGGCTTTTATTTAAGTTTAATTTTAATGAATGATGAAAAAATGGAATGCATTTAAATATAGAAGCAAAAGCTAAGTTTCTTCCTTTGTTTTGATTTATTCTTGTGCTAATAATTTTATGATCAGCTTATTTGGTTTGTGTGCTTTGAACATGTAAATATATTAAAATATATAGAAACTTTAAGAAGTGGGTATAAGAGGTTGACCTATTAACAAGCAGCTGTCAGCAATATAAACATCCTTGCTGAGCATGCTATTGAACAACAGGAATTTTTTAAACCAAACATTTGAACCATTTAGCTGAACCATATATCTAGGACACAGGAGTGAATATTTCTTGATTTTTTTTTTTTTAAGTGCAAAACATTTCACATTATCGAATATTTTTAAATATTAAAATTAATTAAACTTAAAAATTCCAAGCATTACACCAGATCTTTTCAGTTAATACCATTTCCGGGTCTAGTTTTACTTACGAGTATGTCAGATTGTCCGTGGTGACGTGGCGTGACACTTCTGAGAGTGTCTGAGTCCTCAGAGGACTGAGCCATCAGATCCTCAAACACACTGGATGGTGGATTCACCCCGCTCTTCTCACAGCAGACTATAGCATCCCTCATCCAGGCTTCCAGGAGCATTTCTCTGGACCATTCTGAAATATTATAAAATTGAATGTACGGTAATTAAGTCCAAATTTCAAACACCCCGTTTGTTCAAATATCAAAAATCAAATAAATGCACTTTGTCACATAAATCCAACTTACTTTCATAATCAAGAATTTTTTTTCATACAAAACAATCTTTTTAGGAAATACAAACAAAACAATCTTTTTAGGAAATACAAAAAATCAATTTTGTTCAAATTTAGCAATGAGTACAGTAAAATGGTTACAGATCATTATGAATAATTCATATTTACTTCTACTTTGACAATTAGAAGAACTTTGTTTTATAAGTGTGTTTCAATACCCAGTGCCAGATTAATATTCTACAGTAATACTGCATCAAGCTTTCTCACAAGACCAGAAGTGTTGTGACTGGGATTAAGCGAAATATTTTTTAGTCCTCATCATAGGGATACTATGTGTTAGACATTTTAATAGCACAATTTTTTTCTTGAATATGTCAATACCTTTCACTTTATTATGAAGATACACCATATCCAATAACATTAAAGAAATTGCAATTAGTGTTTATAATTTTTGAGTCACTCTCATAATGGAAATATCAACCAGTGAATTTCAATCATAAATGTAATTAAAATTAAAACAGCAAATCAATTAAAAACCTGAAAACAGGTTTGTAGATTGTGGTATTTTCAACAGCACTGAAGAAAAGTGTTGAAATTTCAAAGGATTTTTTGCTATGTTAGGTCATAAATGCAATGCATTTTTGTTTGTCAAATTTATACCCATTGCTGTGTATCACATGCATATGATGCCAGTACCATACACTTGTATATACAGTGCATAAAAAATGACATAAGTACTCTATGTCAGATATTTAAATTCTTGACAAGCTTTGGAACAAATTCTAATAAATTAAAAAAGTAATTCATCTTGGCATTATTGTACTTGACATCTGTATTCATGAATATATTTTCTTTGACTAGAAAGGTTACCCGGTACATATATCTTCATGGTACACAAATAATTGCTTAACATAGTACATTATCTCCATTTTCAAGTTAACCTCAGAAAATATATGCATGCCGCAGGTTTCCGTTATCTACAGGTTCATTATCAGGGTCACTGCTTCCTAAGTGGGTGGTCTTTATATTGTAATTCATGGGGAAGCAACTTTTAAAAACAGACTGTGACCACTGAGGCTGAGGACAGAAGAATTATTTCTGCCTATTATCCTTCTCTCTTCCCTTATATTCTCCCTCTCTCTCTCTCTCTCCCTCTCTTCACTTACAAATCTCTATCTCTCCCACCCCCCTTGTCTCCCCCCCAGCTGCCCCTCCCCCTCTTTTCTCATTCTATGATCTCTCTCTCCCCCACCCTTTTTTTCTCTCTCTCTCTCTCCCTCCCTCCCTTTTGCTGGACTTCATGATATTTTTCCATCTTTCTCTCCCCACTAGTTACCATGGTTTCTGAGCAGGGCCTCAGCAGTGAACAGTGGCACCCTCAACATATCTGATGTTTCCACCAGCAGTTGATCCTTGGCCTCCTGCAAGTCTTGAGCTTTAAGACCACTGTATTCCTGTAATAGTAAAAGAAAGAATAGGATACTTAAGGCTTTAATGCTAACAATAAGTTTTCCGGTCAGTCCTTTGTTGTAAAACACTACACAGTATACATTCTGTACATTTACGTTCACATCATTAAATAATTTCGTAAATTAAAGCTCAAATTGAAAAATTTCAGAATTACAAGAAAAAGGCATACAAAAATTTCAATATCAGCTGGGCAACAGTGAAACCAGTCCCTATAGCTTAAAACAATACTACAGTGACATCAGCAAACATTTTATCAGACATCACACATCAATAGCCAAAAAATAAAATTATCTACTAGTTCAAACCCCTCCAGCTCAGTTGGCAATGATAAACTTTGACATCATGATAGCTGTTGCCATGGTGATGAATCGCTATCACTAGAATCTGGCTTACCTCCTGTAGGTCAATAGAAACAATGGCAGCATCCTCATTTTCATCCACGGCCATGTCATTCTGAAGTATGCAAAGAAAAAAAAAACACCACTGATATTAATTCATGAAGTTACAATGTCACAGATACAGAAATTAAAGCACTGCTTCAGGACTAGACTCAATGATTAAATATGTCCATCTATATAAATAGACATTATGATTTGATTCAATTCTCAAAGTTTTTTTTGTGGGGGGGGGAGGAAATTGACATTATGATTTGCTTCAATTCTTAAAGATTTTTTTTGGGGGAAAAGTGGCATGAACTGCATCAATAAAGTATTCTTTGTAACAGCAATGCCATAAATACTTTCTCTCCCTCTCTCATATCACTCTGTGGTATATTTATATGACATCTTTAATTTCCCACCAATTTACTATGGTTTCTGAGCAGACATACAACCACAACAATAACATGAAACCTGCTCAGAAGCAAAACCTGAAAAGACAAATTAGATTGAAACCCCAATAATGCATTATCTATCTTCTGTAACAGCACAGCCTTGGCTCGACAAAGTGTTGTACTACATGATACAAATATGGTTTACTGAGGTCACGGAAAAAGATATCAGACAGTTGTGGATGGAATCAATTTGTCTGGGGCCTTTGACATTTACATAATAATACAAATTGAATGATTCACAATAAAAGCTTTTCATTGATCATTTAAAGACCAACAGTGCTGAGAGAGAGAGAGAGAGAGAGAGAGAGAGAGAGAGAGAGAGAGAGAGAGAGAGAGAATCAAAGTGTGTTAGAGAAAAAAGTGAGCAATGAGCAGTGCTAAGCCTTGTTTCAGTGTTGTTATTTATTCCATTATACTGACAAAACTTGGCCAATAGCATGTAAAGCAATATTTCATTATTAATGTCTGTGTGTGTCTGTTTAGTGGTGTACTTACAGAGAAAACCATCTTGGACTCCAGGTAGAGGGCTATATCAGAGAAGCCTGCCCTCTCAGCACAGTCACAGGGCGTCTCATTATCCACATTCTCTATAAACAGGGGTGCACCATTGTTGACCAAAAACTGAAAAGAAACAGAAGTATCCATAAATGATATGAAACACAGAATATTTTAAAATATCAATAAACTTTCAATTCAGGAATGTCAGGCATTAATTCATAATGCTAAAATTTGACAAATTCGGTTATGCAATTATACTGACAAAAAAGACCAGTTAAGTAGGCATCATTTGTATAATTATGTGAATATGTGAAAATACAAGAAAAAAAGAATAAATAATTTATCTATTGTCATGTATCTGTGCAGGTGCTTCTGAATCACCTAAAAGGCTTAATAGTACTTGTAAGACCATACACAGTAACACAATTGTAACATTGTGATAAAAAAACTGATTGTGTCATACAGAGTATGCCTTTAATAAATGGAGCCAGAAACACAAGCCATGCGTATGTCTCCATAGGGTGTTAATTTGATATAATAATTGCTTTATGATATGGAGAGCCCTGATAAATATACTTTCAACTACCAACATCTATAGTTTACCTTGAAACTTGTATTGCAATCAAGAACGAAATATTGGCACATCTAATTGCTTTTTATTTAATTTATTTAAATTGATCATGTCCTAAGAGTAAATGTTGCAGACAGACATCAGCTTTAATACACTAGTTTAACTCCCACTAATTGAATATCAGAATATCACGAGCCTAAATTTTCACATTAAAAAAAAAAAAATTGTACAAATCCCGGAAACAATGACTCCCAGAGCAGATGAAATCGATTAAAAATATTTTTAATGGCATGGTGGTGATCTATAGCAATGGGCGTTTCCTGATACATTTGATTTTTTTTTCATGCAAGCTGAAAATGTAAGACTGAAGATAAAACTAGAGGATCAGAGAGGCGATACCGCCTCCGAATATTGTACCACCAGCTGGAGCAAGCGCATTCGTACAGACCCCCACATACACAAAATAAGGAACACAGCCACCAGTCTTGTGCTTGACAAGCTGTAAAAATGCAATCAACAAGAATTTTCAAAATATGCAAAAAATNAACGCTGGTGGTACAATTATGCCATAACAGAAAAAAAAAGTCTAAAAAATATTACTAATACCCATATGAATATATCACATGCACCTAAATTCCATCTGGAATTTTTCCCAAACTACAAAACACCATATAAGTATCAAGTAGACAATCTCTGAAGGAACTGTCATGTAATCCAGTACCTAACTACACTTAACACACATCACTGCCTTCAAAATTCACTTCAAAGTCTACGCAATGACATATTGTCATGGCAACTACAAGATTACCGATAGGTTTTCTCCTAGGTACGTATGAAAGTGTCTGATGCAATTCCTGTGAGGCTTTTCAAGAATCTTCCCTCATCCATTCCCATCATTACTGCATTGACAGAGAACGAGACACTGTTATGCAATAAAAAGATCTGTAGACATCAGTATTCCATTATTTCTACCATCAAGGAATATTTCTAAACAATACCTTGTCATCATACCATATACCAAATTACCTCGGGGCAGTTTAATGAGACCAACTACACAGATAATCATGTAGTTGATTTACTACATCGTGAAAAACTCATCTTCTTTATGTAAAATCCAAATTCCTATGTTCTGTCATTTCTACCACAAAGGGAATAGTACTACATTTTCATTGCGCCATAGGTCACAGACCCAAATAATTGAATAAATTCTTTTGTTTGATAATAATGAACCAAAGTCTGTGTGTTTATACACTCTGCAACACTAACTGCAGGAGTAAATACAAGGCACACATGCATGCATGTGTGCTTTCGCATGCATGCATGCGCGTGCACAAGCATACACCACTACATAATTTGCCACATAGTAACACCTTGAACAAGTCTTGTGGAATGGATTTCTATTTTGGTACACGCACACATACAATTGCATAACTAGTCACATAGTAACACCTTGAACAAGTCTTGTGGAATTGTTTTTCTAATTTGGTACACGCTCACATACAACTATATAACCTGTCACATAGTATTACCTGAACAAATCTTGTGGAATGGATTTCTATTTTGGTACACGCTCACATACAACTATAGAACCTGTCACGTAGTATTACCTGAACAAGTCTTGTGGAATAGATTTCTATTTTGGTGCTGGCTGATATTTTATCTAACATCAGCCACAACTCAAATCCTCGCTTAACTCAAACAAATTACATATTAAATGAATGTCACCCAGCTGTCTCCTTATTGCATAGTGTGGCCAATAACATGAAGACACTAATAATGCACCATCCCAGCTCCAACTACTTAAAGATACTCTATACATTGTAAGTTTCCCAGAAAATCTAATTTTCCTTTTCATGAGAAAGAAAAAGCAATTTCCTCCAACTTACAAATTAGAGCTCAACCTGCCCTGCATTTGGGTTTGGATGTTCTGCAAAATTTATATGTTTAATAATTTATTTAAAAATACCTTTGTTTTAAATGAAGCAGGATTACATAGGATTCGTATAGACCACAATGTCTTTTTGACATTTAAGAAGGAAATCAGTTTATATTTATATTTCAGGGGTTTTGACATTTTTAAAGTCTGAATAAGGAAAGATAAGTAGCTTTGCAGGATATGTAGCCTTTGAATCATTTTTCAAAGGCATAGAGTATGCACTGAAGGGAATATGATCCTACAAATGTCACCTTTGAAATAACACCTGGGTTAAAACATCAGTCTATTTTGAACAAAACACAACCTGCTGTTTCAAACAAAAGGTTTGTGTTAGCTCCCACCCTCCTTGGAAAGATGAATACATGATATACAAAAAGAAACAACCAACATAGAGGCGGATCCAGAGATATTTTCTGACAGTCTTACAAATTATTTTTGTTGATCAGTCTTTAATTTTTTACCATCTTTTGACAAAAAAATTATATACCCGTCAATGTAAACTTGAAAATCTGACCTTCTTCTGGACGACCCAGAAGATGGCCTCAACCCACCCCTGCAACAATAATCACACAGGATACATACCTCCACACATCTCTTGAGACCAGAGCTGGCAGCATAGTGGAGACCAGTGTTTTTGTCCTGGAATGAGAAATATATCAAATAAATAACAAAATCACCACAAATTAGATACTCCTTAAACAGGTTGGCTTACAAAGGCACCACTCAAGTCTAATTTTAGACATAATTTCAATCCTTAAAACTAAATAAATAAATAAATAAATTTAATCTTGGGTTTCTATCTTCCATCCTCTCTCCCCTCATTCCCCCCCTTACCTCATCCTGTGCCCCCAGCTCCACCTTCTCCATTTGTCCATCTTTGAGATCTGCCCCTCGCCACTGCAGCAACATGGCAATACAGTCCACGCGTCTCTGCCGCGCCATAGGCCGAGTCTGATTGGGGTTGCCAGGGTTGATGGTGCAAACCAAATGGAGGGCTGACTGGTTCTTACCATTCTTTTTGTTAGGATTGCCTTGTAGGTCATGTAGGAATATCCTTGAAAGATTAAAAAAATCATTTAAAATTGCTGTTGATCATTTATTTATTAATGTTATAAGATCAATTTTGAGCTGGTTGATTTTGAAATTCTAATTTAGACAGTTATAAAATCTGAAACATCCCTGTCTAAATTTGAATACCAAATATATGAATACATGGAAAGTTTCTAAATGTCATTTTAAAAAATTACATAAGTTGTGCAAAAATATATGATATTATTTAAGACTTAGACGAACTTGTACATTGTTAATTAAGAAAATCAATATAAATTTTAAAACATATTACCCAACTAAATACAACATCCATTTGCAGGAATTAATTTATACTAATCGAGGTATAAATGATGAAGTAACACAGGTATGTGACAGTTGACTTACTTGGGTCTTGAGTAAAAAAAATTCATTTTGTCCAAGCTTAGGTGCATTACATGCCAAAGCACGTCTTAAGCCAGCAATTTGAAAGGGAGAGGGTGTTCTTTTTTACCTCTAGTTGAACAAAATTTCTTAAAACCTAAATTAAGTTTTGAATCAAAGCAAGTGGTTCTTTCTAAACCCCCCCCCCAAACTCCCCTATGGACCTGCAAAGGCACCAACCAGTAAGAAAAAATCATGTTGCCATAACAATGTGTCATATCAAACGATGCTCGCTGCCATCAATAATTCATCACACGGGAATCAGCACTCCTTGTGCATTCAGCACACAAAATAAATGACAGATTATCTCAATCCTTGTTTTCTATCAGTTGTCAGTAATTTATAAGGAATAAACAAATCCTAAATCAGAGTTGACTGTGGATTTATACATATCTTGTCTCCTTGTATTTTATTTTTTAAATGAAAACTAATTCGAGCAGTCTATGTTGATTGTTTGATCACATGCTTCGGACAACCTCTCGTGTAATAAACTGTTAAATGCAGTTCATGGATTTTTGTGTACGTTTTTAATGAAAACTGAGCGCAACCAGTTAAATTAATGTCAATTGTCAAAATGCATTTTGACAAGATCAATGCCAGCCAGTTACATAAAATGTAAAGTGATCAGGCAAAAACTATTATAGGCAAGCATGGTAGTATATAATAATACAAAATCTTCATCTTAGATTATTAACAGACAGCTTTTGTGAGACGTAATTCTGTTCTAAATAGTTCTCTAAATAGCCTGATGGTCCAGAAACAAGGTTTTCCCATAAAGTACGCTTGCAATAATCATGTTTCATTTTGCCATTATTTGGGATGACTGAAACAAGCATTTCTCAATCTAAGCAAATTCTAGCTATATCGAGCTACGCTATATTTGCGTAGTATCTATTATATGTCACATCCATGCACTGCCGTTTTGTCACTTCGACTAGCTTACGACTCTTATGTTCTCAACGGAGTCAGCATTTTTTTTTTTTTTGGTTATTTCACCCTTTTCAATGTCAACTAGACTTGATGTGAGCAGATATGTGAGAATCTATATACCTGCAGAATAATCACTGGCCTTAATGAGTTGTTTCAATGGTAATTTCATAAGAACTGAGCCCTTGAATTCTAGGGTCGTTATGAAATTTATTAGCAAATTAATTCAATATTAAACANACAATAAATAACAAAATCACCATGAATCAGATACTCCTTAAACAGGTTGGCTGACAAAGGCACCACTTATGTACTCAAATCTAATTTTAGAGATAATTTCAAACCTTAAAAATAAATAAATAAATAAATAAATAAATTTAATCTTGGGTTTCTATCTTCCATCCTCTCTCCCCTCATTCTCCCCCCTTACCTCATCCTGTGCCCCCAGCTCCACTTTCTCCATTTGTCCATCTTTGAGATCTGCCCCTCGCCACTGCAGCAACATGGCAATACAGTCCACGCGTCTCTGCCGCGCCATAGGCCGAGTCTGATTGGGATTGCCAGGGTTGATGGTGCAAACCAAATGGAGGGCTGACTGGTTCTTGCCATTCTTTTTGTTAGGATTGCCTTGTAGGTCATGTAAGAATATCCTTGAAAGATTTTAAAAAATCATTTGAAAATGCTGTTGAAAATTTATTAATGTTATAAGATCGATTTTAAGTTGGTTGATTTTGAAATTCTAATTTAGACAGTTATAAAATCTGAAACATCCCTGTCTAAATTTGAAAACCAAATATATGAATACATGGAAAGTTTCTAAATGTCATTTTAAAAAATTACATAAGTTGTGCAAAAACAGATGATATTATTAAAGGCTTAGACAAACTTGTACATTGTTAAGAAAATCAATGTAAATTTTAAAACATATTACCTAACTAAATACAACATCCATTTGCAGGAATTAATTTATACTAATCAAGGTATAAATGATGAAGTAACACAGCTATGTGACAGTTGACTTACCTGGGTCTTGAATAAAAATAAAATTAATTTTGCCCAAGCTTGGATGCATTACATGCCAAAGCGCGCCTTAAGTCAGCAATTTGAAAGGGAGAGGGTGTTCTTTAGTTGAACAAAATTTCTAAAAAACCTAAATTAAGTTTTGAATCAGAGCAAGTGGTTCTTCCTAACCCCCCCCCCCCAAACTCCCCTATGGACCTGCAAAGGCACTTACCAGGAAGAAAAAATCATGTTGCCATAACAATGTACCAATGCATATCAAATGATGCTCAATGACATCAATAATTCATCAGACGGGAATCAGCACTCCTCATGCATTCAGCACACGAAATAAATGACAGATTATCTCAATCCTTGTTTTCTATCAGTTGTCAGTAATTTATAAGGAATAAATAAATCCTGAATCAGAGTTGAATGTGGATTTATACATATCTTGTCTCCTTGTATTTTATATTTTTTAAAAATGAAAACTTATTTGAGCAGTCTATGTTGATTGCTTGATCACATGCTTTGGACTCTCATGTAATGAGCTGTTAAAGGCAGTTCATGTATTTTTGTGTACGTTTTTAATGAAAACTGAGTGCAGGCATTTAATTTAATGTTCATTGTCAAAATGCATTTTGACAAGATCAATGCCAGCCAGTTACGTAAAATGTAAAGTGATCAGGCAAAAACTATTATAGGCAAGAATGGTAGTATATAATAATACAAAATCTTCATCTTAGATTATTAACAGACAGCTTTTGTGAGACGTAATTCTGTTCTAAAAAGTTCTCTTTTAATGAGCCTGATGGTCCAGAAACAAGGTTTTCCCATAAAGTACGCTTGCAATAATCATGTTTCATTGTGCCATTATTTGGGATGACTGAAACAAGCATTTCTCAATCTAAGCAAATTCCAGCTATATCCAGCTACACTATATTTGCGTAGTATCTATTATATGTCACATCCATGCACTGCCGTTTTGTCACTTCGACTAGCTAAAGACTCTTATGTTCTTAACGCAGTCTGCATGTTTTTAAGGTAATTTCACCCTTTTTCAATGTCAACTAGACTTGATGTGAGCAGATATGTGAGAATCTATATACCTGCAGAATAATCACTGGCCTTAATGAGTTGTTTCAATGGTAATTTCATAAGAACTAAGCCCTTGAATTCTAAGGTCGTTATGAAATTTATTAGCAAATTATTTCAATATTAAAATATAATAATGACTTAATAATGGCTTGCCATTAGTGTTTTCTGTGGTTACATATATCAAATTTCAACTGATGACAGCCTGCAGAGGCGATAAGAGAACTCCCATGATCTCCCATGTCAGACCAGGCTGGCTTGCAATGAAAACAGGCACCACTTACTACACATCCTCATTACATGTCAGTCACACATTAAAGTAAAACTAAGCCTTTAATTGCTGAGTAATAGTCTCCCATCGTTTCATCTGCGCCATGTTTCTCTCCGTCTCGACAAACACCGATATTGATAATTCATGTTGAAATGATAAAATCAATTGCAGGTCTTTAAGCCTTGGTTGTTGTGAACAAGTTTTCTTCTTCAAAGTTCAGTCTGCATGTCAATACAAAGGCAAATGGGCTCTTCTTTCTAAAGCTGCATTAATTCAGACCACCACTGTGTTTTAGAAGAAATTGGAAACTCACACCTCTCTTCTGAATGCTGATGGAAGAAAATTAAGTTGATCAAGTGTCTTCTGAAATTCCGGGTAAACTCTGAGAGCGTAACAAATGAATTTGTCAAATGCCCATCTCTGAAGAGACACCATGGCAAACAACTTACTTTATTTCTAATGAACGAGGAACTTAGACTGGGTTTACATGCCTAGATCAATCTAACAGGATCTATCCATTTCCAAGGGGTTTCTCGCTAAATTGCTTAGATGTCTAGCACATGTACTAAAGCTACTAAACGATACTTATCTCCTAGCAGCTTCAGTAGGCGTGACAGACACCTTAGCCACTTAAGTTGATTACAATTTAGCAAGAATCCCCTTGGAGATAGATCAATCCACAGTGCGATAGGGTCTGGGAATGATCCCTTAGATTTGCATTCTGTGGTGAACTATAAAAATAATCATATTATCAATGCTTTGCTGCAAAAGTGGGTACTTTGTAGTTTCAAAGCAGCTTGACTGGAAATGTGACAAATTTGTTCCCCTTGGGTTCAAATGTCTGTAGGGCATCTCAGTAATCCAATCTTCAACACGGAAATGTCTAAAATGGACAAAGCCCGATCATGACCAATTAAATCGCTTCTGGCCTCACATACAATCCTGAACAGTCGGTAAAAAAAATTGTCTGTGTGCTGCTTTGTCCCTGAAGCAAAATGTCTATTGTTTAGCCCAAAACAATGCATATAACAGACACAATACTAACTGTACACACCCATTTTTTCTATTATTAAAAATAGCACAACTGATTGCTATAATTTCTAATTTAAAAAATAAAGTGAATTGCCAGACAGCTTGCAAATTTGAATTTAGTGGTTTCATTGTCTCTTCTTGTATATAACTGCCTATCATGCCATGTTTCTATGAAGTATACATTACATTATCCACCTGCTGTGATGGCAACATTTCAACCACACACAGCTTGGCACTCTCTAGCAACAGTCGTATTTATGTCTCACACAGTCTGAACTTAGTTAAGACTCCTGGATTCAGTTGTTTAAGTTACCTTAATTTGCTATATTATATTGGTAAAAGAGATTCCCAGAATAATTGGTCCACAATTAATGAATCTGACACATCTAATTGTACTGTCACCCCATGGGAATAAAAACCTTCAAGACAATCACAATTTGTTCAATGGACCGAGAAAAAATGTTAAGCTACCTTTTAGTTTCTTAGTAAAATGTACTTAGTTGGCTAAGTCATAGTAGGCTAAGACTGAAAATCAAAAACTGACTTTTTGTGAAATAGACCCCAGGTCAAACATTTTTGTCCTCAACCAGTAAATGGAAAGCAGGACATATATGATAAAATGTGGAGTGGCAGCATAACTTGGTGAATCATCTTTTGCAAATTGCAATCAATTCTGGCAACACTATTTGTCCTACACCAATGGCTGGCAAAAGCAGTCCAATCATGGTTAAATACAATTAGATTGGCTATTTAATACAGATACCACGGGCCCAATACCACAGCATATGCTTATCAGGTCAGTGGCCAGGTTGGAGGGGGGGGGATTCCAAAGAATGACCCTTTTTGCCAGGGAAAGGATATGCTCTGGGTAAAATTTGATCTAGGTACATGAAGGTTTCATGGCATAAGGTCCACTTTTTCAGAAAAAGAATCCCCCTTTAAAATTGCTGGCTATGGGCCTGTGCTAATGCCCTCATTTTGGTTGGTTGCAAGGTAGTTTTGTCCCCAAATTTAAGGTACTCAGGGCTAAGACTAAAATGTCACCAATGAGAATAACATGGGTTGTCAAAACACTTACAATTTGCTCTTCTTGCATAAAACTGAACAAAATAGGAACTCATGATGTGAACATCTTTTAAATTTCTCTATGAAATGCAACTTTTGTGCCAAAATTATCTGCAATCTTTGCTAAAACTAACTATCAGCTTTTGTTGTTTCTTGCAACAGGGCTCAAAAATACAACACCTGATTTTAGGGAACTGAACTACGAGGCAGAACCATAACAACTGCTACAATTAACCTGAATAAGTGAATTTGATTGTCCACACTGTTGTCACAGAAAATATTTCTCCTAATCAGTCCATCAATACACTGCTTCATTTCAATGAATCACAAGATGCAATTTCAAATTTCTTAACTCAAAAACCACCAGAGCATGACTAAATATAAATTTGCCAATTTCAAACACCCTAAGCCTTGTAATGCCTTAATGTAAATAATAAATAATGTATGTATTGTAAATATGAATTGAACTGTGTCAATGTGGATGTAGCTGTGTTAGGTTTGAGTCCAAACTTCCAAAATGTATCTTTATTGCTAGTAATCTTTGCCTGGATCTCAAAACTTAGACAAATTAAAAGACTTTATTATATCTAGGTCCTGTTTTACAAAAATGTCTGTCATACTGAAGTAGCCTCTTCCTGCTATTAAATATTATATGTACCATAAGCATGGCACATTATATATATAGTAAAATTTATGTTCTGCAAGTGTATTGATTTATCTATAATTGTAATAAGTATTTAAACACTGTATGAGTAGCAATCCATAGTTATATATATCTATTTACTTATTTACCTATATGTAGTATAGGGGCTAACAAATGTAACTGTCACATTTCATGCTCAAATAAATTATTATAAATTATTATAAAATTCATTTTGGGGGCTAAATTTTTAGACCACTAGATTTAGCCTACCAAGATGCATTGATCTTGTAATTTTTCTCTCAAAAATGTAGTGATTAAATGTTAATGGTCATTTATGAATGAAGTTCTCTTCAAACCAGTGAATGAAATGTTATATAAATCTTTAGATAGATAAGAATGTAAACAAAGTTCAGGTGTAAATGAAAAAATTGGCCTTATCTTTACACAACACTAAATGACTAGCATCTAGTAAATATGATCTGACTGCAGAATCCCATATGTATATTAATATATACGCCTGGCACTACCATCAATATTGGGCATCAATTTCAATCAAAATTTTCACCTATCAACCTTAATGACCCACAGAGCAGTCTGTTCCAACAATAAAGATTGCCTAAATTTTGCTACAGTCATTGAGCATTTCCCCTTCGTACCAATTAATTAGACAGCAAAAATGCTTCATCTTCTCTCAAAATAGACAAGTGCACAGATTTAGAAGGAAACTATGGTTTTATATACTGCTCTCTCATTGATTTTAAGATTAATATTTACAAGGAACACCACAGGTTCAGTGGTGAAAGTTACAGCATTAAGTGATGCTACCAGTTAAGCCATGCTGTCTTAAAGTGTTCGGCTACAGTAGGAAGAAATGATTTTTTTCTTTATTATTCTCTTCAATCACCTTTCTTCAACTTTTTCCAAAGACCCATTGATCATCTGTTCTGTGCATCTCCATTCATAAGACATAAAAGGCATGATTCATCATTTCCTGGTTTTCACTTTCTTGACTTGATACATCTATCATAATAGCTACAGCATTCCAGACACATTTTATGTGCACTCCCACCAGAGATGAAATGAACTCTAACCTCTTGACACTTTTATTTATTTTGATATGCCAAGTGAATGATAGACATATTATTAATTCATTTAATAATGTAACATTTCATCCAATAAACAAAATATAAAGTTACAATATGCAGAATACAGGAGTCTCGAAAGACTAGTAATCTTGAGCGAAAATTTCACAAAAAAAGTTGCTGAAGTGTCACAGATTGCTGATGACTGTTTTAATTTCACAGCATTAAAGGAAAGGTGGTGATTCACTGATGCTAGGTCTAAAACAGATTTCTTCCAAGGTCTACAGACTGTTTTGCTTTTTCCATTCATTTTAAACTTATTCAGAAACAAGCTTTTAATCTATTTGCTCACATTATTAAGCCTATACAATGGGATAATCCTGTCAAGAGAAGCAGGGAAATCTTTTCTTTTCTTAGATTCTACCATCACATTCAAAAGAAGTCCGAATACTGACATTTTTACCAATGTCAAGCTGATAAACCTTTTTACATTTGATTTTTAAATTTTACTTTGGGTCAATTGACATTCAACACATTTAAACTTGCTTTTCAGGACTAGCATGTTCAATCAGACACATAAGGCAACTAGCTAACACATCACAAAATTGGCTTTCTTGATAAAAAGAAAAAGCCACCAAATAGCCATCAAGATCTGTTCTACTGGCTCCCAGCTGGTGTGATCACTAGCTACGTTTCATCCACGTCAACAGCTCTAGATCTGCTCTACACAAGTCTGTACACTTGCCATTGAAAATTTAGAAAAACTTTCCATATTCTAAGAAAAAAAAAAAAAAAAAAACAGCACTGCACAACAAAAAGTGATGACATGATTTCATATGAAATATCTTCACTTCATTGGTGAATTGGTAGATGTTTCCTCAACAAATAGTTGAAACCAGTAATCCTGAACACTGACACATAGCAACACATACATTCTCTCGTTTTGTTTTGTAAATAATTCAATCAGATTATGACTAGTACAGGCACAACAGGGATTCTTTTTGCGCAAAACTTGGTTGAAAAAAGAGGAGCCTCATTTACGAAACAAAAGGAATAATTCGTTCAGATTCTTATTAACTACTAGTATATGTTCAATTGTCTCCTCTGATCCATTCCTAAAGCTAAAGTATCTTAAAATAATCTACAGCTATGGGGATGATGTTTTCAGGAACATTTTTTTTTTTTTTGCCTATTAAGGATTCAGACTGTGCATAAGATTTCACTACCTGAATCAAATACATACAGATGAATATATAGATCTGAAAGTTCAAGGTGCAATTTTGCCTTTATGTGTGCATCCAAGCAGTCAGGAGAGGGCACACGTACTCACTGCACTTCCTGGATATCCATTATATAATTATATACAATACACCCACCCACCTGAGTAAGGACTTCATAGCATACTGTGCTGCAAAGTGTAAAGGAGTCTGATGCTGGTACGTCTCCCCGTATGACATGTTCGGGTCCAGCGCCTTTCGCAGATCTGCATTGCTTTCATACAGCTGCAGCGCTGCATACTCGTCGCCATTCTGGAGATGTTTGCGGAATTTGGAGGACGAGCTTCCCATGATGCTTTAGGGCGATTCCTGGCAATGCTGATGGAGATATTGTCTACTGATATTAGACCTATGCTTCGAGGCTGACCACCAGGACTCTGTCCTTGCAAGATCCTTTTTTTTTCTACAGCTGATGTTGAAAGCTGTTAGAAGTGATGTCCTGAAATGAGACGAAAGACATCTGAGTTTATAAAAACATGGTACTCCCCGAGGTTTTTTTTCCATTCACAAATCCAAAGCAACGACATTTCAAAAAACCGCAACTTGCTTTTTACAATCAGTTCATCCTGCAATACTAACAATGATGACTACACTGCTAAATCAACTATCCACCACCCCTACCTAAAACACTTCCTTCATCAATAACATTTACAAGGAGACAGTCTACTTTGATCCACAGGGGGGACAGCATTTAGATAAGATTTTTTTGTTTACCATCCCTTGTACATTGTCCTTCATTTATTCCAGACACATGACTCAATACTATCAGTCTCAGGGGAGATTACAAATAAATGCATTGAGGACAATGAACTGAGTGACCTTTCCATCAGTGTGTTTAAAAATTATGGCAATAAAACTTGTTTTGTTTATATAACTTGTACTTCCCACAACATTAATATACAGTCCACGTGTGAATTAAGAATACATCAAGATTTAAGTATAAATTATACACTTTCAACTCCTGTCAGAGCTTTCAATGTACTTACCAAGTAAGGTTATATTCCTTCCTAGGTAATTAAAAGTGAAAGGTATTTGGAAGCAAAGAGAAAGTTAAATATGGTTTCCACTTGCTATGTTCCAATTTTTCAAGAAAAAGCACTCATTCTAATTGTTAAAAACCAATACATGGGTCATTGTTATTGAATATTACTTATAAAGTATAATTATCTAACACCTAATTTCTTCTAATGCTAGGTAATCTTTTAACCTTATTTCCATGACTCTATTTAATTTTATAATATTTTTTTAAAAAATATACATATAACTAAATAGTCTGCTTCAATAACATTATTTTCCCTTTCAGTTTAAATGCAGTATTACCAAGGACGCAAATACTAACCAACAAAAATGAAGTCTCTATTCTGCAATCTCCTGAAATAAGAGCTTCTGTGATATAGATTTTATTGTAATAAGAGCCAGAAAACACCAAGATGATTAAGACAGTGACAGGAAATTGTGTGGACTAGCAGTGGCATGTTCACACAAGGCTGGACTTCAACGTGAAATGTGCTGTCAGAAAATTCAGAGTCACTAACTATATTATACATCTGAAGTCCAAAGGCTCATTTGCAACCAAGTTTTCCACAAAGAGAATCCCTATAGTGCCAGTAATAGTCAGTTGTGTTCAATATGATGATTAAAATATTAGTATTTAAAATGATCAAAGGCTAGGGGACAAATAAAATCCTGCACACCCACAGAGAGAATTTTGTTTCAATAGACATCTTCATCTTGTTAAATGTTAATAAAATTATTGTCTCTGTTAGCTCTCTTACTTTTTAAACTTTGCCTTGATCTCAATTGACATTTAATAGGATGCAATGTTCTTACTAAAAAATACATTTTCCTAGATTCTGTCTGAAAAAATAAATATCAATTGCAGAATACACAACGTAATAAGAAGCAGGTGGTTTTGTGGAATATTATAAACACAGACATTAATAATGAAATATTGCATTACATGCTATTGGCCAAGTTTTGTCAGTATAATGGAATAAATAACAACACTGAAATAAGGCTTAGCACTGTTCAGTGCTCACTTTTTTCTCTAACACACTTTGATTCTCTCTCTCTCTCTCTCTCTCTCTCTCTCTCTCTCTCTCTTTGTGCCAGTGTCTATGCAAGAGATAGGAGGGTTTCAGGTCATCTTGCCTCTCCCAGCAGGCAAAACACTACACACCTGTCACAAATGCAGACATGGAGAAACTGTCAGTCTGACTGGTCATGACCACCTGAAAAGCCAGGGGACTGGCAAGATCTTTGATAATGCAGGTCTTCTGGACAGGCAAGGTTTTTTGTGGAAATAAAATACATTAAAATTAATCATACGTAAAAACATCAACTACCTGACCTGCACAGAATACCAGTCCTGCATATTTCTTGTACTGCAAGTTTTCCAGAGCTTCAGAGCCTCCAAAGTTTTCCCCATGTCTGCATATGTGTACCTTTTACATCAAAAACATTGTAAAGATACCCGCCACTCAAAATCCTTTATCCAGTGATAAGTATCCTAACACAAGATTCTCGCCCCCCCCGCCCTCTATAACTATATATATATATATATATATATATATATATATATATATATATATATATATATATATATATATATTCCATTATCAATCAATTAATTAATCATCACCAAAATCAAAATTATTCTAAGTTAGCCCATTTTTGGCCTATCCTGTAAAATTTATCAAAATGTGTCCACAGCTATTAGAGTTGGTTTACTCAGAATTATAAAGCAACCAATGCAATAACATGATCTCCTCAGCACAAAGTACTAAACATACAGCAACAAAGACAAATATTATCAGCAGGACAGAGAAATCACACAGGCACCAGCTAAGAAAGGTTAACATTATTGTCTGGCCTGTTCAAAAAATTCAATCACGACATTCCCCACTCTATTCCAAGAGCTTGGAAAATTGGCTTTAACAAATGAGACATCTAATGCATTGGGATAAGGCCTCCTCAAGAAAGAGACTGTGTATATATGCAGCCTTGTTTGTTAAGAGAAAATCCTAACAAGTTCTGGGGGCCCCACTTCACTCAAGACCCTATGGGGCTCATTCCCAATAACTCTGTCAGTCTACTTAGAACGATCAAACTCCGAGGGCATGCTCGCTGAATGCCATCAGATTAACTGAATGGCATGTCTCTTCCTGGCATTGAGTAGAATACAGAATATTTAGTGACTGTACGTTGGAAACAAGATGAGGCATATTAATCTCTTAAACTGATTGCATTCAACAACAGTCGTCACAGAGCTGGACTGATCTGCCTAGACCAATAGTGTCATTGGGAATAAGCCCTAAGCCCGAAAATTTTAGAACAAAATTATGGTATACTTCAGTTCACAATAAATTCAGTGTTCCACTAAAGGTAAATATTGGTCTGACTAATTGCTAATTAGCAATGTCTTTCTTCTTCTAAAACAGGCACAAGATATTTCACTTTGCTGGGTCTAAGAAGACTAAACTTTTAGACCAATTTTTGGGCTCAAGTTCTTTTTCACACTAGACACAACTTTTGTAATATCACAAAGTATCTTTTAATTGGAGTCCCACAATCCCAACCATTAAACATTACCATTTCTTGGGTAATCCTAAATAGAATTCTGTTTTGAGACCAACATTATACTTGACCACATGTTACCAGTATTCTATGTGCATTCCTGCCAAGAATTAATGGTACATTAAAGGGTGTTGTTTCACTATGTAATAAAATACAGTCCCCATAGTTTTGCATTTTTCAGATATAAATCTCTTTTCCAGGGCATGTTGAAAGAGTCTACATTAAAAGTTACTTGATATCAATGTCAATCTTTAAACAGGATAGCAAAAATTGGCTCATTATAATATACAGTACTCTGTAAGGTAAATATATTTAAAAAAAAAAAGAATTCTGGCTAAAAAATATATACACATATATTGTCAAAGAAAAAATAGCTGGAGCAGACAAGCCCAGGTTTTAGAAAAAACTGAACATGTACTATATATATATGAAAGCAAACACCTTACGTAATTTATTAGGGGTTTAATAGCTCTAGGGTCTTTTAAAAAAGTGGAATTCCATGATTCTGCAGAAAAAACTCATGTCTGCTGGAGAGAGAGTTCTAGTACAATCTCAATCAAAAGCTCTAGGTCTGATAGCTGTACTTTCTCCCTTTTCTTCCAAACCTCACATTTTGTCCATCAGTCAGTAATGATTAAACATCCTAAATCTGTTTAATTCAATAGCTGAGAGATTCCCATACCTCTCACGATGTGCTTGTGTGCGTGACCAGAATAATGAGATATATTGCATACAAAAAGGAGGCTTTCTGAAGGATTTGATGTCATTATGTTCTGGGAATATTTCAGCTGCTGGCATTTACATTCAAGGAACAGACAGGAAGAGAGGTGAGGATGTCATTCCCAGACATCCTCACCTTCAGAAGCTGTAACAACAGTTATTCCGAGAATGCTTTATAACATTGAGCACATCATACAACATTTGCGGTAGTTAAGAAAGATAATGAGATCAGAAAAAAATTGTAGATTTATATTAATAACTCTCTAGATTTCACAGATCATTCACATCATGATCAAAGTATGCCAGGGTAAGTGTAATTATTCAAAGAAAAAGCTAGGAATGGAATTTGCAATAAGGGCCCCTTCTCAATGATTGTGCTATCATTCTACGTAGATCTATCAAAACTCGGCAGGGACTCTCACTGAACGCAATCAGATTGACCAGCCTCCTTTTGTTTCCAATGTACTTGTATGATTATCAGCTTTTCTGTATTCTATGCTGATTGCATTCATGTAATCTACATAGAACAGTTTCATTGGGAATGCACCATAAGAAGCTGTTCATTCTGCTTCTGTACACCAGTTTCTACCCAATAACTCACCTATCAGCATGAGAGAGAGAGAGAGAGAGAGAGAGAGAGAGAGAGAGAGAGAGAGAGAGAGAGAGAGAGAATTCTTCACTGCTAAGTAACATGCATGCCAAATTATTAGTTTTGCTAGAATTCACTCTATCTTCAAATCTATATCTTTATTTGACATACCCCCCGTTTCTGGCCCAGTAAGTTGGAAATGTTAAGTCAATGAAAAATTGCTTCTGATTTTAATTGAGCCCCAAAATTACCCCCAGGTTCAAACCTGGAGGAAATCCTGCACATAACCAACTATATTTCCATTTCAATCTTATCAACAATTGGTTACACAAGGATTACGACTAATGCATTGAACACATTACTGTAACTCTAAGTCAAGCAACCCCAGCCTTAGTCACGGCTCAAACACAGATCTTCGTACAAAGGAAGACAGATGTCAACATGGCTTTCAAATCACACTTTTATCGCCATAGATTTCTCCTGGCTGACCAGCATAGACCTCATCAATCACATATAATGACTTGATTTGCTTTCTGCTGTCACCCAGCTGCAAATATAACTTGGACAATTATACCTATTGTGAAGAATGAAGGCTATTGGCACTCAAAAGTATTAGTTTCAAGGTTATTAAGCAAAAGAATACAGTAATGCCCTTTCAATTCATGTGTGCTTTTAGGATAATTTTGGCAGGAATCAGAAGCATAGGAAACAATCATTTTTCATTCTTACTGACTGAATGGCCTTGGGTGAACAAATGTGCACCTGTCACCAGTAAAAAATTAAAAAATTCATTGAGATATGCAAATTCTATATTGTAATTATTTAACAGTTGTTACCTAAACAGTTAATTGCTCATCTGTGGACCAGAATAGAAGCAATTAAATCTGCACACGTGCAGATGGCATTGTACCTGCTCAGCAGGAGCATAGACTGGGTTCCCATTTCTAGTTCCATCCATCTGGATCCATCTAACTCCCTGGGGAGTCTCACTAAATGTCTATAAACTAAAGCCTAGATCCCAACTACATTTTGGACGCACGGTTTTTAGGTCCGACTAGGACGTAGCTAGATTGCAGGGAAGGAATCAAGTAATTAGTGTTGATCATGTCGAAAAGGTTCTACATGCTGTTTGCGTCCTCCAAAAGTTGCATGATGGACGTGCTCCTAATGTAAGAACTCCCACCTTTTTCCCATATTTTTGGCCGTAGACCACACGTAGCAGCCCGTACATTCGGTTCACAGGTTGACAGCAATTTATTGAGACTCCCCAGAGAGTTAGATCAATCCAAATATCTGTGGGAATGGTCCCTTAGTGGGAGCAGGGCTTCGCTCCATGTGATTAACGCTCATTACACAACCTGTCTTGTCTTGTCTTGTCTGTCTGTTAAACAAGTCACATGGTGTTTAAGGAACACCCTGAAGTAACAAGCTATTCAGGGGCTGTTTTTATTATCACAGATGAGCAATTACTCGTAACTGTCTTGACTGCTGTCAAGGAGACTTGACAGGGACCTGCTAAGTGACAGTGCCTGAGTAGTTATGCAAACAATTACCAGCCAGGTAATCATCCTTGAGATTTTAGCATAGGGTCACAGTACAGAGATAAGCCACCTATTTAACCATTGAAAAAAATCAATGTGAGGGCCCTATAGAGGATATGGGAGAGTAACGACACTGGGGAGAGAACTTGAAGGATACTATGGTGAAGAGAATTTTGTAACATTCCATTAAGCAACAAAAGAACAACTCAGTATCTTTATTTTACAAGGTAAATATGGTATTCCATGACAAATAACAAAGCATGAATGCAAAATTAATAAGTGTGTTGGGGGAGGGTGAAGTTGATTAGGAAAGTACAGAGTTGATTAGGAAAGTCCATCATTCCATTTTTTTCTGAATGGGATACAAGTACGGTATATACAGTGGTATGCAGCTTGAAAATGTGCTTAGTTATATTGTGGTCTTGAGTCTTATACATTTAGGCATATATCATTCTCTCATCATTCAATATTCACATTTAATTTAGCCAAAAACAAGAATGATAAAGTGCTGTCTCTCAGTCATAATGTCTTATTTATTTAGTTGTCTTTGTACAAGATACATTGTATGCATATAAAATTGTGTAGAGAGCCTGTAAACAGTACATGTTGACATTTTATTGCTTAAAATAAAATAAAATGTATGTCAAAATGTGATTTACATGATTTAATTCAAAAGCAATACTAGTATATATAAATAAAAAATCTTTAAAAATCACAAAAATGAAATCACTTCACCCCACTATACACAAACCCATTAGTTCAGGGTCTTTATGGGTTATTTATGGTGATTTTATTAAATTCATTTTTAATATACTTAACTGATTCAATCTGAATTTTTGCACTGCGGTAGACTAGTGTGGTATTTCTAAGCGTTTTTCTGTGGTTTTGGGGCTCATTTAACATGTTCATTAGCAAATCAAGGTGACAGCCAAATGTAATATTGATACTTCATTCGCAATGCTCTGTCAAGTCTTATAAATACATGTATATTAAAAAAGAAAACAATGACTTTCACTTTCTGGTGAATTGAAACATTTTAGTTTCATATAATGTATGACTCCCTTCGTTTTAAACGTTAACAGATACATTTGGCTTTCAAACAGCTATCCATATTTTGACCTAGAACATGAAAAGCAGTAAGCATGAACAAGACAGCGCTATATTTGTTTTGTTTTTCGTGAGCTCGACTCGAGCGATCAGCTGATTACGATTTTTCTCGCTTTAGCCAGCAAACTACGGGGCAAGCGTACGTAAACAGGCATACAGACGGCAGCTCAGCTCTTTGCTTGTTTTTAACTAAAATACATGATGCAAATATCGAGTAGTGCAGTTAAAAATAGAAAACGAGAGAAGAAAGAATATTTACCTTGCGGAGCAGTCCCATCTTGCATATTGCATTATGGGGAAACCAGGCAGGTGCGAGTCGCAACCAACACAATCCTTCAGAGAAATTGCATGTGAATGTGTTGCGATGTTTGTCACATCTAACACACTCTGGTCTTTTTTGATTCATTTTCTATTTTAAATAAAACAAGACAATTTAATATTTTAACATTATAATGGTCACCTCCTTTTTGGCATACAAGAATAGGTGGTGAGTAGTATGTTAAGTATGGTTATAAAAATAAAAAATACCAAAAATTAAAGGAGAATTAAATGTCAAATTCATTTGACTGAGAAAATGTGCTACAACCAATTCATGTACATGTTTTAGGAACTTTATTCTTCAACTGTTACAAAAATGTCTTTAAAATTTTGAACAATAAATGCAACAAACATTTGAATATAACTAACCTTTTAAAGCCAGCATGCCAATTGTTATTTTCTATATGCTAAAATAAAATGTAACCTTATCTACTGAAAAACAAATATAATTAAATTTGTACATGTACATCTCTATATCAAGAATTACAAGGAAGTGGACACAAAATGCTTACAAAGGAGGAATAACATTCTAACCCTGCCTGAAATATCCCCATTATCGTATTGCATGAAAAATCCACCACCTCTCTCTGTTTTTTCTAATGAAAAGATGGAATATTTCCAACCCTGCAAACGATTAACAAACATTCTATTTAATAAGCATAGAACAAGCACAACATCCTAGCTACACAAAAATATCAAGGTACAAGAAAAACGACAACAAAAGTTGTTCAACTCTATTGTTGTGAATCAGAAAAAGCTAAATTAAAAATAAGCTGATTTCTTTTTTAAGTATTGCTCCCCACTACAATACAAACATGTTTTTCAAGTAAAGATTTTCGTAAAATTCAAATCATCGTTCTAAAATAAGCTGAGAAGAACTATAGTATTCAACTACAAATCATCTCAATTTCAACATCATCCATGTGAGAAAAATTCACAAAAAATTAAATAAAATAACGAACAACTACAATGTAGGCTGTGAAAACTCCAAATGTCTGTCAAGTTGGTTCATTTCTCATGATTCCTCATCCAAATTCTTAAATGATCAAAAAGAGAATACTGTTTTACTTCACAAAAAGCAAGTATGAAAATATAAATAATTTATCCTAGTTCAAATAATTTTTCTCCTAGCTCCAATAATTGTTTTATCATTTTTTCAAAACTTCAACAAATAAAAACATTGAAATCTGGAGCTTATTGATTTGCATCTCGAGAGCAAATCATATAAACAGTATACACTATTACTATTTGTACATACAAAAAACAAGAAATGATCAAAACCACAAACTCCCCTTACACAACAATTGTTACAACTCTTAAAATACAACAAAAGACACTTTTCCATTGATATTCACTGGATTCAAGTCTTTTGTATAGTTTGTAAAAGTCCATCAAAAACACAGGTTATTAGAACATTAATACACTAATGTACTGGAAACAAATGATTTTTCCATTCCCTGATACAATGTATCTTAATATATTTTCTGCTATCATCTCTGACAAACACTTGTTTATTTCTCATTTTCAATGTTCAGGTGTTATTTCAGGAAAAACTACAATATAATTTCCCAACTTTGAAAAAAGGGGCACTCTCATACACAAAGTACCACTACCAGCATGTCACCACTGCCTGTCCTCACTTTCACAGCAAGAAAGAGATGCTATGCAGATCAAGGTCATGCAATAAAGGTCAAGGCCACCATTTGTCACAGTCAAGGTCACTCTGGTGTTGGCTCTTGGTCACTATATCCACTGTCACTAAGCAAATATAAGACTTTAGTTATAAACTTGTAAAATTGGCATTATCGATATAATGTTTTAGAACTTTAATTATCTAATTTAACATTTCTCACAGGCTTTAAATCCTTCCATAAGACAATATTTACTATACATGTGAACTGTGTCCATATTATTTATTCAATGAAAATTCTTTCGAAACATCATTTTTTAAAAGTCAGCAGTAATCTAATTTTTGTGATAAAGTACTTGTCAAATTATTAAAATTAATCTACATGTAATTTTTAATGCTAAGGTACGTACCAACAGTACGTAACTTGTTTCTTTAATATATTATTGATTAACAGGTTATTAATATTTCCTACCCCATGTCAGCTTTTCCTAGACGTGGAGCCCTCTTTCTCTCAGCATCCTCACACCTCGGTTGCTGTTGTTCAGGGGTGCCTAAGGTATCCATCTCCTCAGCTGGGTGCATCTCGATGACCAACTGATCAGAGTCAGAACAGGACGAAACTGGGGAATGGTCAATCCCTGGTTGACCAAAATGGTCAGAAGCAGTCATGTTGCAAGAGGAAGATGGGGTATCAATCTGAGCTGTAGTGGACGTAGCGGACATCTGTGAGTCCATGCCATTACAGTCCAGTAATCTTGTTGGTGAGTAACCGTTTTGTGGGCTGGACTGGCTACTGTTGTGGATGACCTCTAGGGAGCTTGACTCTGACTCTGTGCCACCACCAATCTGGTCAGCCTCAGTCTTGACCACAGCATCAAATATGGCAGCACTGGTCTCCTCCCCATAGGACTGACATGCAGCGCCACCTACACCTGGGGCTGTATTTGATGTGTTAGCGTAGTTCGAGTCTGTGCCCTGGTCCGTGCTGGCCGCCATAAGTGCTGCACCAACAGGTATGCTTGGACTGTAGTGGACAGGGGTTGGGATGGGTTGGAAAGATGACCCCAAACTGGCGAACTGGTGAGATCCTACACCACTTGTGGTGCATGAAGATGACCCTGGACTGATCGGCTGACCAGAATAAAACGGACCTCTCTGGTGCTGAGGCACTGGCTGTAACGGGAAACCACCATTGCTTGGGGACATAAGGGAAAAATCGAAGGTGGAATCACTTGAAGAGGGGTAGAGATTGTTAACGAACCTGTTACTAGAGGTGCTGAAGGGGAACTGGGTTTGTGATCCTGGGGGAAGGTAGGGAGTTGGCCCCGGGGCGGCACTGGCAGGATAGTTACACAATCCCAAGGATTCACCAGTCGGATAACTTGAGAAGGGCCCAGGGCTGCTGGGATCTCCACTTTGAAAGTCTGCAATTCTTGCTGTGAGAAGTGAAAATGAACAAAAAATAAATACAATGAAAAATGTAAATGCACTGTATCTAAGAATGTCTTAATAAATATACATTTAACTTACCAACTTAATAATATTTACAGATCATAAAGCATCAAATGATTTTTGTTAAGATGATATGTAATAAAATCCCAGTAGGTACTTTTATATATTATTTTGTCAACATTTCTTAGTATGGCCAGATAAAACCGAAAAGTTGGCCAAAAAGCATGTCCTCAGACTAACCTTAATTTTGAAGAAATCAGAAAAAAAAATGCAAATTGGGCTGTGGGTTTGACAAGTGGGAGAAACTGACCCTAGGAAACCCCTTAATGATCGTGTGTTTATGCTCTACAACCTCCACATTGTGGATTTGAAATCTTCCCAAAAAGATATTTAACAACCAAAAACAAAAATATCCTGTTTACAGTTAGAGTGTTGCCATCCGTTAACTATCTGATCAATTTTGCCTTGCCTAAACATTGGCTAAATTGTCAATTATACTAAAATCAAAGAATTCCTTACATTCAGCCACCTTTTGACATGCAGACAGAATGTCATTATTTGACAACTTCAGAGCTGCTTGCAGGCGTATGGGGTTCTCTCCTGGAAACACCTGCATCAGCAATTCTGTGGAACTCAATGATGCACCTAACATGAAAAATTTATCTTAGTTCATTTTAGTTGAGATAAAAAGGCACAATGAGTCAAATGCTTCAACTTGCTCTAAAAACATTACTGTAAAAGTGATTATACCCAGTGGGTTTAAAACTATAATGCTCACCTTCTTACATATACAAATCAATAAATAGACTTAAAAAAAGTGAATAAAACACCACTGTCTGTTGCAAGTATGACCCTATTATTAACTTGATATGGTAGGCTTATGAACTGAGCATCAGGGCTAACTGGCAATGATTTTGATTGGTCAAAAGTTAAGCAGCTTTCACTCAGTTGGGCTAGACACTTTATAAAGCTTGCTTTGACAAGTAATTAGTCACTATATATTTGAGGCAAACAATAAATTTTCCTTGAATTTTCAAGTATTTCTACGGAACACCAAAGCATGTGAAACTCGAGCATAAAAAAAAATTGCCAAAAGGATAGTTTTTGTTATTAGTCACACATATATATAAAAAGATATATCATTGAGTGTGTTATTATGAAATGATATACAAAATGCAAAATAAACTGATTGATATACATAGACAATAAAAAATTATTTCATAGACAAACTTTAATAATAATAGAAATTAAATAAAATAAACAGCAAAAGTAAATGAGAAAGAGAAATATGCTTTTTTCCTCACCCTAACATCAGGAGGGTACTAGTATGACTAACTTTTCAGTGAAATATTAACCATTTTGTACCTTGACTACAGGTGTTGGCAGGACGCTGGTATTCTTGCAAGCCCATCGTCTCATCCAGTTCCTGGTGTCTTTTCAGCGCCACCTGCTTAGCCATTATCTTCTGCCTTTCTTTGATAAGGAGACAGGAATTGCAAGAGCACTCACGAAACTGGCAGTAGCGTTTGTGGCCTTTGAGTGGTTGACAAACGCCATGGTTGCGACATCTTGCACATTTTGGAGAACGGTTTTTCCTCATCACTTCTTCCAGGTCTTTTTCACTATTTCTGCTTCTGTCTGGGCTGTCAGCAAATTTGCGTTTTGAGCTCATTGTTAGGGATTCTTTCACCTGTTTCTTTCTTTCTTTTTCTTTGCTGTGCATATAAACATATACTAGTAATCAATAATTGTATTTGTAATTGTAAATGAGGCATCAATTAAAATTATCCTTTCCACAGTAAGGCTATACCACTGTGGAAAGCATAAAAATTTAATAAGAAGGATTTAAGATATTTCTCATAATAATGTTTCGAAATTGAATGTCTTAATTATATTCACAGTAATTTTTTTCTTTTTTTCGTCTGTTGGACGGATGTTTTCCAGCATGTTTTTAACGTAATGTACCTCTTTTTTTTATAAAATAATTTCATATTCTTAGTGGGATATGGCAACTTTATACTTCATTTAAACATTTTAATTAATGATTAATTTGTTTTCTTTTCAATCAACTGTATCAATCTAGACTATTCCACCAGACAGCGTGGCGCCAGCCTGCGCGCGGCCACAGTATAAAATTGTCGCTATATCTATACTTGTATTCGTTTTAAAGAATTGAAGAGTTTATAAAACAATCTAACAGCCGAAGTTTTTGTCTTTAAAAAGTCTTATAGGTGTACCTTTCAATACAATGAAAAAAGAAACAGAAGAAAAAACACTTACCCTGTAAGCTAGGGTTGTTGCTTTCTGCTGTAGGATATTTATCTAGGTCAGTGAAATGCCAATCAAATGTACAGGAAATCTCTTTCATGACTGACAGTTTGACGGTGAAAAGGTTACACTGTTGCATTTGTCACTAGCTCAGTGGCTGCACTAGGTGACCTAAAGATGGTACAAGAGGGGATTTTCAGGTGGCGGTGAGAACGCAGGGAACGGAGTTACTCGGTTATTTCTGTAGTGTGTGCGAAGTGCCGTTCTGCAACTTGCAAGTGCCAGCGGAAAAGAGCACCTGCAGCATTGTTCATTTTCCTCTGCTTCAAACGTCACCTTAGTTTTTGTCATGCCATTTTCTTACATCTGAATTTTAAGTCACCTATCCATATAATTTTTCTATCTTGCTCACTGTGACAAACGTACACGAGGTACGTACTAGAATGTGCCTGGTTCACTTCGCGCAGGTAATCGAGGTAACGTCCAAATACCGATTGGTACTGTCTTGAATAAAACCAGTTTTGTGATCGCATCGATGCATTGAGTATCCCATTGCACTCCTTGGCAACAAAAAACGATCCTGCAGGTGCTGTGAAAAAATAGCACAAATTCAGACCAAAGATGGTGTAGAAACAAGCTCTGTGTTATTTTGAATCAATTTTTTGAAGAGGTATGGTATATTGTTGCTCATATTTATGCTATAGCAAGAAGCTTTAGGCGGTAAAATGGCGACAACAACTCCAGCCGCGACAGCCATTTCGAGTGCCAAAACGAAGGCAGCTCCCCAGGCGGCCCCTGAACCTGAGCCTGACACTAGCAAGTGAGTTTTGATTCTTGTAGATGCTGCTATAACATAAAGATAATATACTGAAATTATTTTTTAATAGACAGAAAAGAGGGACTTATTACAAACGACAATATTTCCCCTCTCTTATGGCAACCAATATTTGAATCTGTGGTTGTCTCACAAATAAACTGTAGCATGCCCTTAGGGGAATAGTAAAGACAAAAATGAGGCAAGATGTGAGAATTCATTTATATGTAAGATAGCAAAATACAAAAAAAGCTGTTTTATACTTTGAAAAGAAAAAAAATAATAGCGTTGAATTTACAGTCTCTCTTTTTTAAAAACACCTTGATATAGAATGAATTCTTTTAAAAGTACCTGTGCCTGTATTTTATTTGTGGTTAGATGTCACCATTATGCTTTTGTTTTTTCAGGAAAATGCTTGACCAAAAGATGGAGAACAGGCTGAACATCAGAGACCTGGAGCAAGTACAGGACATTTTCATGGTAATATTCTTAACAACTCTTGAACTTGTCTCTAAAAACGTAGAACATGGTTTAAAATGTCATGAGTGCTTTAGAAGTTTTAGCAATAGTAATGCCCTATTGTGAGTGTATTTGTGCATGTATACGCGTTTCTCTACATGTGTATGTGTGGTTGTATTATGTAGATTTTGTTTTGTTAATTTTGTTAATGATATTTGCTTAACTAAATTTGAAATAAAATGTGCTGACAAGTTCTCCTATTTTTCAGGCTGATGGAGATGGCTATGACAATAGACTGAGTCTCAACAGGGAACAATTTTGTGAAGCTCTTTCCAGACTGCTCACAAAAGGAAGCAGACAAGATGTGAGTTAGCTTTATAATTTATTGTTTTACACCTTGCCTAAAATACATGCATATACACTGCAGCATCAATTAAATATTGTTCAGTATTCACCAAAAGGGTTAAAGGCAGTTATAGTACTTCATATAACAAAAAATAAATTTCCTGGAATAAATGGCAATTTTTTTATAATCAAGGTATACTCTATTTACAGTCCATGAACACCTGTTTTCAAGTTCAAATTTTATTACCTAATTTACCATCGTGATACAAATTCACCAGCCTCTAAATATAAAAAGTTTGTGGATTATAATTCTGTGATGGGTTTTGGATGTGATAAACCATGGTGATAAATAGAAAAATGTAATGTACTTAAATGTATTTTTAGTCAAATTGTTCCATTTATTTTTGTTATTTTTCAATTCTAGTATGCAGAACTTTTTGACAAGATTGATGTTACAAAGGAAGGTCAGGTAGACTGGGATAAGTTTGCTTCACACATGTTGCTGGAGTTCTATGAGAAAGATGACAGAGTAAAGTCTACACAAGTACCTCAGTGGAAGGATTTAAAAACTCTACCAAGGTGAAAATATATGATAATATTAATATAAAACACTTCTTAATAGGAATTCCAAGAGAATATAATAGTCATATTTTATACCATTTCTGAGTAATAATGGACCATCATTTATGCAGAGGTAAAGCAGACATAACATTTTGGCAATAAAAAGTCACTTAAACAGATTTTGATACTTTCTTTTCAGTGTGAATTTTACCCTTTTTGATCATTAAAAACTCTCTTACTGCACTTTCTAGCTCAATTTCTTTTATACAGAGCTTAATTAACTTTTTTTTGTGGAGGGGGGCAGGGGGCATTTTGAGCCTTATGCCTTTTGCGAACCTACAGTATTAAAAACCTACTACAATATTTTGATATTTACCCTCTGAACCTTAAATGTTTTTGACTTTTTTCAGCCCACATAAGGAGACAATACAGAAGATTGCATACCTGAAGAATATTAACAGATACATTGCAATTAGTAAGGTAAATAAATCATTTGTGCATTAGGTAATTTTTTTTTCAACTGTTGCAAATAAATACAACGGCAGATATGAATTTTTAAATTTTTTTGCTATTTAAAAGCTCTCAGCTTCATGGAGACAAGTATGCACAAGTATATCATTATATGTCATGATTGGAAGCAACCAAGTCAACATGCTATATTTGAGGCATAACTAGGCTCTAGATAGATGCTGCTTTGCAAATATCAAACAGTATTCTTCTTTACTCATGCCCAAGTGGCACAGGTAAAAAGTTCAGTGTTTAATAAGACCTTAATACTGACCCCTCTTTCACTTTTTAGGAGGGCTGTGTTTCTATGTGGGATCCAAGCCTGAAACTGCAGAGAACCATCAAGACTGGCACAGAATCCTGCAGGCAGAGAGACCTGTGGATGTCCCATTTTGTACCCCTGCAAAACATCAATAAAATTGCTCTTGCCTTTACCAGCAAAGAGATAGGTGAGTTAATTTTAAGAAAACAAATTTTCTGTCTTTATTTTTAGTTATGATGCAGACTAAAATCACAAAGAGGATCATGATTAGAAATTAAAGCAAACTCTTCTCTTCTTTTAGGTTGAAAATTCTGTAATAAAAGATGCAACATCTCTGTTAATGTGCATCATATTATAAATAATGATATGTTTTTATTTCTCATTTAGTTTCAATATAAAAAACACAGCATGTTCATTTACATTTTCATTGGTATGTAGAGATGATTTATATTAATTTATATGATTTACATGTTTATCAGTTATTTGTAATCATTAACATATCTAGTGATTTCATAATATCTGCTTCAGCATTCTATGACATGAGTTCCAACAAACTGGAGTTCAATTGCCAGTACAAAGTACAGGGACTGGAGCACACCCCTCTCTGCCTGGATTACTGGTAGGTTAAATAGAAGCTTCCACTGAATTTACTGTTAAGCAAAGAGATAAAATAACAAAAAGGTATTTTTTATTAAATAAGTATGTCTTTACACAAAAAAAGGATCAGATTTTAATTTTTTTCATCAATCATTAATAATTGAGGTTTTTTACAATCATTCAGATATGTTGCATGAAATAATACACAAGTATTGAATTTACTTAAAATAGAGAATTTCCATATTTTGATAACTACTTGATTTTTCTGATTAGCTAATGATAAAATAAATTATGCTCAAAACACTCTGTATAATCCTTCTGTCCATGTTCAAGGGTTGCATCAATCAATCCAAATTATACTGCTTACATAATTAAAACTTAGAGGTCCTTTAACAGTCAGACAGATGTCAGGGAACCTTGACGTTTTTAAGATTTTATTTTGGTTTCAGGTTTAACCCTAAGAATACCAATGAGGCTGTCATAGTGTGGGGAGATGTGGGTGGTTGTGTCAATGCTCTTCTCTTCAGCACAGCTAACATTGCCCTGTTTGAGAGACCCACTGCTCCTGCTGGGGAGAAGCAAGGTAAATTGTGGTAGTTGTGACATTGTTGAACTGCTCCTGCTGGGGAGAAGCAAGGTAAATTGTGTTAGTTGTGACACTGTTGGACTGCTCCTGCTGGGAAAAAGCTATGTAGATTGTGATAGGTGTGAAAATGATTGTCTTATCATGCACAGCAGTAAATAGTGATAGATATGACAAAAACAAATTAAAAATGCTCTGATAGGCCCATTGCTCTTTCTGGTAAAAAGCAAAAAGTAAATTTAATAACATGGAATAATGAGTAACATGGAGTGCTGGTGTATTAAATGACAGTATGTTAGTTATGCTGTTATAGACCTTGATGTATTCAAGTTAAAAACATCACATTCAGGCAGCAATAACTTAGCTGTAGTGTTGTTTACTTTATACATTGGCAAAGTAAAATCCCTTTTTACCAGAAAAAACAACCTTATGATGTAGCTATATTCAATCATGTTTCAGTTGAACTGTTTTTTTTTCCTTCAGAGACCACTCTCAATATCCAACTCAAAGAAATCTCCAGGACAATAGATAACAGAGAGAAAGCCAAGTATAAAAATGCCAGATATATCAGGCACCATGGGCACTCAGAGTGGGTCAGACAAGGTCAGTAAAAGCAGGTCAAGGTTAATGGGTCAAGGTTGCAGCACGGTACAAAGCTGTATATATTTTAACACTCAAATATTATAATATTGCCATTTATTAAAGACCGTACACATAAACTGCATAATCACATAGTAACCGATAAGGTTAATTTTTACAGAGGTCCATGTTTGATTGAATAAAAAGTATTATAAGTGATAATTAGTATTTTGATTCAAATTGATCAAATTAATCTTAAATTCTTTTATAGTTAAGTATGCTCCCAACCTGGATGCTTTCATCAGCGTGTCTACCAGTAATGCAAGGGCCATTGTGATTGGTTGGATAGAGAAGGGGGATTCGTTACGTGCCATGAAAACGTAAATAACAGTCCAAACATAGAAAGCACCCTTAAATGTCATCATTTTTTCAATGATTTAAACAGGATATACATGTACTGTAAATAAAGTGACAACTTTTTGCTATTATATACAAGGTGTTGCATGCATTATATGTCTTTAACAGTTCAATTTTTAAATCAAGTGTGACACATTACCTTTTAGGGATCATTTAACAAGTAAATGGATAATAAACAAATCTGATTATATTTATTTACTGAATTGCTAAATGTGTTTTAATCTAACTTTTTATATCAATATTTCCAGGACTGCCTTCCACATCTCCCAGGGAGTTAATGGGCTAGACTACCATGAGGGACTTAATCTCATAGGTATTTATTTATTTATTTATTTATTTATTTATTTATTTATTTATTTATTTATTTATTTTGCAAAATATTACACATTTTAATTAGATATTTTTTAAGCAAACTGAAACAAAAGTAAGTGTGGGATTTTTTAAATAATAAATACAGATCTTTAGAGCATTTAGATCTAGGATATAGTTTTTTGTGACAACATCAATGATGAATGTATTACCATAGTAACTCTGATAAATTCTTAAAATTATTCATTAAGTATCACCATAGAAATAAATAGTTACTTAAAATCAGACTTGTACATTTTATCTTTATTTTTCCTGTCAGCCACTGCTGGGGTAAACCACCAGGTGTGCTTGTGGAACCCATATGTTGTCTCCAAACCTAATGGGGTATGACAGAGTGGATTTCCTTGCTTCACATTGTTGTCCATCTTTCTTTGTTGATTTAGTTGAAAGTCTGCTCCTGTCTAATGAGTTATAATTAATCTAAGTGAACATGTTTTTAATCATTTGGCAAAAAAGAAAAGGTAGCATGGACCTGTAAGTATAACATAAATACACTCATTCATTCAGTATACTGATACAGTGTAAGAGAGTGCAGTAGACCTTTATTATTATTATTATTATTATTATTATTATTCCTCCCTTCTTCAGGTACTAAGAGGCCACATGGCCAGTGTTATCCAGGTCCAGTTTAACACCACCCGTGGCCAGCTGATCAGTTTCTCCAAGGATAAAGTCCTGAGGATATGGGATGTCCAGCTCCAGGTGTGCATACAGAGGCTGGCTGGCATGTTCCCCAAAGGACCAGAAGGTTAGGCCTATTAGCCAAGGAATTAGTTGTATGTTGTGAATGTATACACAGCAGTTTTTTTTTTTTTTTTTTCGATCAGATGCAGCTGCACTGATTGATTTGCTTTGCTTTTTCTAGGTGATTGAACTTGCTGTTTGCCCCTTCTTTTCATTTCTGTTTTTATATCATTGTGTTATAAGTGCAGTACTTATTGCTTACATTTTTCATAGTTTTTTTATCCAGGACAGTGCATGAGGTCCTTTTGTATGTCTGAGTCAGCATTAAATTATTCAAAGCTTGATGATATTAATTTCATAATATTCATAATTTCAGTGTATAGTGTTCTATATTTGGATGAGATCAGAAACAGACTGTTCATCACATTTAACTATCAGCTAACTTTGATGGAAATGAAGGCAGAGGTGAAAAATAGGATTCTGAGCCATGAGAAACCAATCTGTAGTGTCATCTACAACTCTCTATACAATCAGGTATCCTCTGAGTTTTGATTTTAGTTTTAAATTTGGTTTTAATTTTAGTTTCTGTGCATGGGTCTAACTTAAAAAAAATTCTGTATACATGTGTTATCGACAAGCTGTAACAAGCTGATATATAATGTGTTACACTTGACGCATTGAGTTGTCCATCCACTCTTACATCATACCGATATCTTGTCTGCTCTTTATCAACATTGTTTTTCATTACCCTCTCACACCCAACACAATCTCTCACTTACACGTAAAATTGTCAAAGATAACTGATTATACAAAACTGTCACACCAAACCCAATTGTATTACACCTTACTGTCACATCTTACACACATGCCCATGAAACTTGGTCTATAATTTCCTGTGTAGGTGATCAGTTCCTGTCAGGCAGGCACTGTGGTGGTTTGGATGATAGACACGGGACAGAAAGTGAAGCAGTTCACTAACACACATGGTACCAACGAGGTGACAGCACTGGCGCTGGACCAGAGTGAGACCAGATTGTACACAGGGAGCACAGACGGAACAGTCAAGGTGAGATAGAAGAGATAAGGGTAGGGGATCATATAGTCTTTAAAAATTCATTAGTCTGGTAGTTATACATGGAGTGTGGAATTAATTATTTAACAGACATTTTTATGTAGATATTAATAAAGTAGATGGTATGAAAATATTTAGATAAAAACTGTCTGTGGAATGATTTATTCAACAATCCAGAGGGGATCATATTTTGGGGTGAGGGTTGTCAAACAGATGGTATGGAGAAAGCTCTGATGATGTTGAGTTCAGGGGAGAAGGATTGGAACAAGGAATGATGAGTAAGGGGAAGTGTGACAAGATTAATAAAATCATGACAAAAACAGCAACAGTAAAGTGTGGCCAAACATTAATGAATGTTGCTCAACATTTAGCCGTTAACAGAATAGTCTATTGGTAGTAGATTGAGTATTTGATCCTAATCATATTTACATTAAATCCTAGATCTGGGACTTCAATGGTCATTGTTACCACACACTGGACTGTAGTGAGGGTCATCCAGCAGATATTGGTCAGATTATAGTGCTGAAGAGAAATGTCCTTGTGGTGGGATGGGCCAGGTAAGGCATCTCATCTAACACATTTGACTTACAAATATCACTGCTACACCATATATTATTACACATAGGACATTAACTCACCTAGTACCGATACATGTGTACATGCCCATGACCGGATTACAGGGTGCCTTGTAAAATATTGTCACCTATAGTGTTACTCAAAGATGTAACCTAAAACACTACTACATGCAAAATACTATATTTTCATTATTGTTTTTTTTTTTTTAATTTGATATCATATCAAGGTAGTACAAGTTGTCACATCACTTTTTTGTCACACCTAGCTAACATACTGTCACACCTACCATATTGCCACACACCAATTCTTTGCAAATAAACAAGAAATGCAGTGATATATCACTGAAAATGTTGTATTGTAAGTTGCTGTATTTCTGTTATTTTCTGTTCCAGGCATATTACAATCTTCCGTCAAAACAACCTGAAAGACTTCCACGTGTTGCCCTCGGATTGGAAAGGAGGCCAGGTATGTATTAGTACTTTGTATTGTCACATGTAACAAGGTTTTAATTTTCTATTACAACAAACTTCTAGAAGTGCACAGTCATGTTACATTGTTTTATGAAGTGTGAAACTGCCTCTTATGATTAATACATTTTTTCATGTAACCTTGTGAAAAATTAGTCTAAATGTAACAAGTATGTGCCATGTGAGTCATAGCATATAATTTGATTGCTCAAATTTTGTACTCTTTTATATTGAATAAAACAGTTGTTTAATATTTAATGCAAATTTATAAAAAAAATTATTTGTAAGATACATACCAAAGATGAGCCATGTGAGCCTTAGCATAAAATCTAGCACTTTGAAGTTTAAATGTCAGAAAAAGTATAAAGAAATTCAAAAATTCATTTTCAAGGAGCATCAAGATGACATACTAACAGCATGCTTCAGTCCTCCCAACAGAGCAGCCACAGCTTCATATGATGGTGAGATAGTCATCTGGAACATGAATTCTGAGCATGCCTCCAAGCACCTCAACCAGCGGGCCAAGAAAGTGACCAACAAAAACAGGAGGTCCACTTTAATACCAAGTAGAGCAAGCAGAGAGGTATTGGGCTTTGCTATATTATTACCAGAGATTGAGAAGGATTAGGGTTTGATCATGTTTTTTTTTTTAATTATTTATTTTCTATAGAAGCAGAAGGGTTTCATCTCTAGACAATTAACAAAATACAGTTTTAATGATGATATAATACTTAAAATGCATAAACACTTTGTCAAGTGACAAAATCTCAGGCTTAATTTTATGGTTGAAAATTAGTGCTTCATGTACTCATTTTCAGCTGACAAGGGAGGGCACCTTTGAAAGTGTGAGCCCAACCCGCAACCCACCCACACCAAGGAATGCAACGACACCTCGCAATGCACCAACGCCTGGCACGGCACCTACACCATTATCACGTGCATCTCCGCAACGAACAAAATCTCGCATGAGTGTGGCAGCAATCAGCGAGGATCAGACAGGGTACGAGTACGCAGTGACCAGGGTCCTGTTTCTGGAAGCTAGGAAGTCTCACTCGGCGTCGGGGACAGCAAATTTGGTCTCATGTGGTGGAAATGGCTGGGTCAGGTTCTGGAACACTTCTACAAGTGCTGGTACTCTCATGGGGGAGTTTGTCTCCCATCCACAAGGTAAGCCAAAGGAAATGTACTATAAGTCTAGATCACTGGTTTTCTTTTGTCACTAACTAGTTATGATTTGGGATACAGATAAGTTTGAATGTTAGTCTGATATCTTAAGTTGGTGCCATTTGTCACAAGTGTTGGATAACTGTTGTTGCATCCCCTCCCCTCCTCTAGTGTCACACTGAAATAAAAACTGATAAATTTTTTTCAAAGTGTATAAACCCATTAGGTGAACCCCAGTGGTTTTACCCTGTCACATATATTTTTTATGCTATGTAGTGCATGATAACTGCCATATTGGACCTTATAATTCTGGGATCTCTTTGACAACAAGTGTACTACTGATAGTGTGTTGAAATACATACTTTTTTTAAAAACAGGACTCAGTATATCATTTTAGCATCAGTTGCATTATGGTGATATTGTGATAGGTGAGGCAGTTTAAGGGAAAATAGTAAATTAAGATGTGTCTGTTCGAGGAGGAGTATGAAACTAAATTACATACATATATCTTATTATCCCAGCTGCCAGTGTGATCATGGCTACAGACCAGCACAACCAGTACTTGGTGACAGGTGATGTGGATGGTAACATGAAGGTGTGGAACATCTCAGAGTATTGTATCAGACAGGCTGATGATGTGGTTACAAATCAACCACGTGAGTATGGCTCATCAGATGAAAGCAATACTAAAAATAAAATAATAATAATATCAATAATAAAATAGTAAGCTAAAACATATGACCACATATTGCAAGCCCAGGTTTTGACGTGGCACCAAAGTTGAAGTGAGGCCAGACAAATTTTGTTTATTTGATGTAACTTGATGGAATACTACACAGTATTTTTTTTGCTTTGGATTGTTAAATTCCTTAGACCCTGGACATTCATTATTCTGTTGTAGATCTGTGGTATCAATAGTGACATAGAATCCTTGCCACATTCCAGTATTGTAAGTTGAGCATCAATTTGATCTTTTTCTCTTTTGAGATACTAGTGCATGCATACATACTTTTATGATACTAGTACATGTAAATGTATACTGGATGAATGAGAAAATTAACTCTGTCATTCCCCACTTCAGCTATGACTGCATCGTGGCAGCCTCACGTAGATGTCATCACCAGTCTTGTGATGTGTGAGAGGAATGAGCGCCTCCTGGTGGTGTCCGCCTCCATGGACTGCAGTGTACAGCTCTGGGACATATATGGCAACTTGATTGGGGTGTTTGGACAGGTTAGCGAAATGATACTGAGTTGAAATGTAATATTGTATATGATTGTTATAGAACTCAATGCTTTCATGTACAATTGTTCAATAAAAATTGACATGACATATTTATTCCTTCAGATGTTACCATTCTGATAACATTTTAATGACTCCCTGCCTTTGTTTCTCAATATATTGAGTAAAGCACAATGTATCATCTTAGTTCCTGTTATGATTTTAAATACATGATAAAGAAAGAGAAAGAGAGGCAGAGGCAGACAAAGAGATAGTCAATATACAATCACACATGTTGCAGACTTTTTTGAGATTATTAGTTTTTTAATATTTATTCATTGATTTATTACTTATATTATATTTCATTGTATTCCTCAGGAGGATCACTGGAAAATAGAGCCATATGTTCCAAAGATGGAAGTAGATGAAGAAACCAAAGAGGTTTGTTAACTGCCCTCTTTTAAAGTGATTAAAATTTCAACACACTACAATGTATACTATACTGAAGTGTTAAATTATACATGCACTTTTAACAGTTGATTCTTTTTTCACTATTGATAGGTAAGCTGAGTATAAGTACCATATACTACATTTTTTAAAATTAACTGAGGTAAAACAGTTTTACAGGAGAAATACATATACTGTACTATTACCGTAAATGTTATACTGGCACATAACATTTCAGGAAGAGGAAGAGTTTGCTGACACTGACATGATAGAACCAGATGCAGACAGCCATTGGGAGCCTGAAGAATCTGCAACTGACCAACCAGAAACCTACAGGTTTAACACATGGGACAAAACATGCCTAGGTAGGCCATACCTGTCAACATTAGACATAGTGCCAGAATGGGAGATTTTCTTGTGACAACCCCACCCGCCCCCCCTTAACACCATCTTGTTTGTTAAAAGTTAAAAGAAACAACTACATGTAATCTTCTGTTCAGTTAGAAAAAAATATTGATACCCTCTCATGCAGTACCTTTCTCATATTTCCCATGTATTTTTTATTTATACACATGTATACCATTTTACACCTTTTTCCTGCCTCACTAGGTAAAACATACCAGGAGACCAGGACTCACAAACGAGAGCGGAGACAACCCAAGGTGATGCCTAACCTGCCATATCTACACTGGGAGAGGACAGGGGATCCACCAGCAGGACCCTTTGCTGTAAGTTGTGGTACTTTCTTAAAAAGCATACCAGTACAATGAGTCCTAGATCTCAGTATAGCTGAAAAATTAATTAATGGGAAATTTCATCAGTTCACCAGTTCTAATTTTTTCAGGAATATCTGAAATTTAACAGTCTCCATCTCCATTACATGAGTGACACAAAATTTATATAAAATTTATATCTTTTCCCCCAGATGGTCTTCCGCTGGGCTGATGACAAGCAAATTACTTCACTCAACTGGTGATGTGAAAGAGTGTTTGTTTCAGAAATCATATATTTTTGTGAGAGAACTTCTGGATAAATAAAAATTATTCTTATTTGGTATATTTTGCTAAACTTGTATTTTCCTAGGCACTGGAGATGAATGAGTTGCAGGAACTCAATAAGATAGACAAGCCAGACTTCATTGCTCATCCACACAAGTATTTCTCTGAGAGATCCAACAATGAGGAACAGTCTGTAAAGTTACCAGCTTTAGCTGAAAGTAAGTCATTTAATAATTATAATAATAAAATAGATTATTTATTTTGGGGCGTGTAACAGTTTCATCACAGCACAGTGATCTGTAACTGTGAAAAATAATAGAATTGCTTTACACACTGAAATGTTTTCTAAATTGGTGGAATATCTATAGAACCATCTAAGATAATCAAATATATATCCAATGAAAAATAAAGAACAAATTCTTAAGAATGTTTTAGGAAGAGGTATAGTTACAGTGTACTAGTAAAAGGAATTCAGGTAAAATAATTTTCTCACACAGAGTAGTATCACCTCTAATGATTATGGAATATGTAACGGATGTTTAGAAATACATGTAAAGATGAAGGCATCTGCTTCAAAAAAAAAGGCATTTTTTAAAATATGAGTTTCACACAGTACAAAAAGAACATTTCTTTGATTTCTGAATTGAACCCAGTGATAAATTTTCTCTTTCATGTTTTCTGTCCTGCGTTGAGACAAATTAGTGTCTTTTTCTGTTTATGTTTTAGATTATTTTCATCACCTCAGGTTTTACAATTAATCATTAAAAAAAAATTATTTCAAATTAATTAATGAAAAAGTTAATAAATTAATCAATAGAATTTTTATTTTATCGTGTCTGTTGTGAAAACAAGAATTGTTATGCCCTTGTATCAGCGTTGATTTTTTTTATAAATTAAGTTTTCTTTCTGACAGGTTTGAAGACTCCATTTGATGAGAAGACTCTGTTTTACAAAGCCAAGTATATCTTGGATTATGAGACCAGGATGAAACAATACCACAAGACAGTTCTAGAAGGAGGAGGGGTGAGGAAATAAATATTTCTTGAATCCCCATTTAAGCAATAATAGGAGGTGCTTTAATTTCTAGAGATACCAGTGAAGTGAACAAACCAAAAGCATTGTAGCTACTTATTTCAACTTTTCAGATTCTATTATGCCTTGTGTCAGGATATATATACCTATCTCATCAGATAGCTTACAGTGTACACATTTATACAACCATGCACATGTGGCAGTTCTTTTGTACTGTGTCCTTTATATGTTTGATTTATTTTATTTATTTGTCTTTTAGAAAAAACAGAAATTAGGAGGAGGGAAAATTGCCATTCCTACACTTCCAAACCAGAGCCAGGCTCCTCCAAGCAGGGCCCCTGCTAAACCACAGAAACTAAAGCCAATTCAACAGTCCAGGGGCAGCTCCCAGAGCTAATTATTAATAAAAACGGTTTCTTTTTTTTTCACAGCTATAGCAGTGGATACAGACACAATGTTGCACTGATAATCATAATGGTAATTCTTTGGAAATGAGTTCAGTGTAGTAACTGTTAATGGCTTGAAGCTGTTTTAGATCAGTTTTATTTAAAGATAGTATTATATAAATATTCTGTGATGAACTAAGAAGGGTAAGATTGACAAATGTTGTAAATTCAAAGTTTAACTGATGACCCTAAATATGATGAAACATAAATTATATTGCAGGATATTTTGTTCAGTTTGTAAATATCCTTAACTCAATATCATATGCCAAAATTAGTAATGCAATTCTTACCTCCTGCCTAACAATATATTTTATGTCTGATGAAGTAAGTAATGCACGTTACCCTTCAGTATTTTTGTCCAAGTGAAGAAAAAATTTTCTTAAAGAGGTTTATTTTAAGGGTACTTTGAATTGAATTTGGATTGCAATTCAAAACAATGATCATCAATAAGTGCATGTGCTAGTACTTTTTATTGGCACAATTTACGGAAAATTGATAATTTTATACAGCTTTTTTAATATTGTTTTGTTTACTTATCATTAGAGGGACAAAAAATCTGATTATCTGAAAATTATTTTCTTATTTTTACTGAACAGAAAATACTTCATTTTATAAAATCATGGACCAGCTGTAATATGTGACTCTTAAAATACCAACAGGGAACTTTCTAAATGTCTTTTCACATTGTAAATAATAACTTAGCAATATAGCTGTACCAGTATTTTTTGAGTAATTGGCAAATTGATACCCTGACTATTACCTAAAAGAGATCCCTAATAAGTTGTAGGAAGCACTGGGCTTGACATAGTCAGTTGATGAAATTCTGCCAAAAAAAGCATGATGGGTGCTTTTGGAGAACCACGCAAGAGATTCTGCTACAGGTGTGTTTCTAAGATGGAACACTTGATGTGAAATGTCTTTTTAATATATAAGTGTAAAGATTTTTCATTACACGATGTATGCTGTATATGATATGTAAACAAAAAGGGTAAATATTTTTGTACCAGGTATTTCAAGCTAAACAATTTATATGCGAATTGTTGATGCTATAATAAAAAAAAACATTTAGGAAAAGTTACTCGTATTAGAATGGTGACCTCTGATATTTGAATGATGTGATAATGTCCAAGTGAATTATTTTTTATGCATATTTACACTGTACTTATTTTGCAACTGTGATGCAGTATAGCTGTAAAGCACTGTAGCAGATAAAATAATTGTCAGAAATAATTTTCATTAGCTAAATTATGTACAGTAAGTGCTGTAATGGATTAAAATTTTATAGTAACATATGTTGTTTCATTTCTTTTATAATCTTTTTTATTATTAATTTGTTGTAGCTTTGTGTGGTAAAAAGGCAGCATCATCGCAACTGAAAACGTGTCGAGAACGCGCTGAATGTCGCATCAGAAGGGACAAATACTTTGCAATGGCGCAAATACATGACGTGGCACCAGAAATGGATATGATACTTATGATACTGTGAACATAGCTTATAATTCACGAATTTGTCTGGTAGAAAATGTACCTTGACGCCAATAGAACAATGCACAAATATTGCGACACTTTGGTTCGGCGCGTGAAGGGCATTGATTTCATGGATTGACTTAACGTCCAAACCCAATATAGAGGTGCAAATGAGGTCACGGGCATGCTCTTAAAGATATATACCCAGATTACGTTTTCACAGAGGGTCACAAATTAACATACCGCCTGATCAAAGATTCCTAATTAACGAAATTATTACCAGAAAAATCAATTATCCATTACAAAAATATACGTACGGAATATCACTTCTAATAATCTTATATTTCGAGTGTAATAGTAAATAAAACAGATGGTATAAATGACAATAAATTTATTTGAAAACAAATAATTGATACTTAACACCATATAATTGAAGTCAAAATATCAATTCTTAGAGCACTTAAATTAACGCAATTTACAGCGATGTAGAATAAGTATAGAAAAAGTAATGAATACGATTTTTTGTTATCTATAAACAAGACGGTAATATAGAAACGCATGGGCACATAACTACCAAATTTATAAAATTACACATCAAATAAAATTTTCCGATTTTGAAATTTAGAAAAATACCACAAATATTGTTTAAAAAAAAAAGGCCAATTATTGGTGAGGAATATTTGTAAACCTAGTTGCGTTTTCGATACATTTCTCTTTATGCCAAATGTCAACTGTACTTCATTCGTNTCCGCTTGCCGAGCCCTCCGCCGACTCGTTAATAGTTTCAATGTTCTGCGCCTTGACAGCTTTCTTCAGTTGAAACGCTCGGGTGAGCTGGATGGCTCTGGCCGCCCCTTTCCACTTGTTACGTAATTTGGAAATCTTCTCTTCTTGGAACACCTGGTCCCACTCATCAGCTAAGCTTGCTAGAGCTTGCTTGCGTTTACGATCCTGGTAGCTGGCACTCATTGTGTTTCGCCGTCCATGTTGTTGCTGAAGTTTCTCAGGCCCTTGGTCGGACAATGCCAAGAAGCGCTCAACAAATGCTTTATTCATAGTGGCATATCCCTCCTTAACTGTCTTCTTCTTTTTCTTGATGTGTTTCGCGAATGACTTCTTCCTCTCTCTGGCAAAATTGAACTCTTCGTCGGAGGCACCGGAAGTGAAGCTGCACACCGACATTCTGTCGGAATCGTCATCGCCCTGCGGAAGGCGTTGTAAGTCGCGCACAAGAGCGATTTTTGCGGCAGTTTGATCGAGTTTTCCTGAGACGGGGGTTGTAGACATGATGTGCCAGAAGGTCAGCAGACGATGAGCTATCATCCCAAGAAGTTGAATAAGGAGAACCAACAGGAAGAATATCAAGAAAACCGTCCCGATAGGCTCCAACTTCACAGGCTTGGAAGGGGGACTATCGCCGCATTGGAACGGCCAAGGAAGAGAAAGTCCGTGTCCGTTCTCATCTTCTTTTTGTGTTTGAAGCACAAAGATCACCACCACAAAAATGGCGTTCAGAAGAAAGATGGCGAATGTGACCTTGTTGCGCAGTTCTTTTAGCTCGGCAGCCATGTGCTCCTGGTGCTTTGGGTCGTTTTCCAGGGGATACAAGTATTGTTTGATGAGCTCTTGCCAAAATTGTGTCTCTGCCTCTTCTTGGAGAACTATAGGCCCGTCCTTAAGGCCTTCGTCCTCCGTCCACAATGGATTGACGAGTTCGTCGCGTTCTTCTTCCTCATACATTGGGTTAACTGGATCAAAACAACAAAAAACAATAAGAAAGTAGAAAACAAGGATTTAAAAACAATGTGGAGAATCATAGCAGGTTTTGGAAATATATCGATGTAAAGTCACGTAATATTTCAATGGCTCCTTTTCCAAACATAAATATTGTAATTGCTTTGGACATATATGTTGTCGTTGTTGTTTTTTTAGATAGTACCAAAAACTTAAAAACCTAATGGCTCTACAAGTATTTAAGAATATACTGGCCCCAAACAATATCAAATAACTGAACATTAATTACTTAATAAGATTGTAATTTTACTGGTATTTATGTACGAACAGTGATTAATCTCAATTTCTATTCGACCATTGTTTTTTATGTTTTTTGCTTAAAATAAAACTGATATAAAATTTTTACATACAACAAAAGACAAACCTACCGGTAAACACATCCTCCTCCAAGATATCTAATTTTGGGAAGTCTTCGTTCTCCATCGTAAAAGACGGTCGACGATCTTCCACCATACTCTCAGTGCGCACACGTAAATTACTCTCTGCTGTGGAGCCTGACAAACCTGGATGGCATTTAAGAAATATATTTTGAAAGAGAAACCAACATCCTTTTGTGAATAATGTCACGATAACAATTAAAATTAAAATTATTCAAATAGAAATGACTTTATTTATTTAAATAATATGCGACAAAAAATATTCGGAAAATGAAAGACGTTTTGCACAAGCAACATTTATGCATTTATACATTTTTATATACTTCCCACAATATGTCCAAAAGGGTGCCAATTGCAGTAATATTTGATCAACTCTTTTGTTCACGCGAAATCAACACAAAAAATTAAAGAAAAAAATCACCTCTTCCAGCAACCAACGCCGTTCTCTGATTCAGCAATTTCCTTTCCATTTCTTCCATGCGAGAAAACAAGCCGTTCAACTTTTGATTCATGCCTTCACCATTGTCACGTGGACAGCAGATACACCGGAAGAGTTTTCCAAACGTAAATTTGAACCCATCCTCGCCCTTTTCCGCCGTCGCTGAGCTGAAAAGTTTCATCAAGGCAGCACTGGCTGAGTTATCTGTCTTCTCTTTCGTGTTTTTGGCTTGCTGATTACCTTTATTGGGAGTTGGCATCTCTGCAACCTTGACCTCTCTCGTGCCCCATGAGACCACGTGCAGGTTGCACATGGAGTATATAAAAAGCAACAGGTACATACTGGGAATGAGCAGATAATACAACACACCGGCGAACACACAGGCGAATTCCTGAGGATGGAGGATAGCAGCCAATAGAAAGGCGCCAGCCACAAGGAAAAAGAACAAGGCGGTAGGGGAGCACGGTCCTTGCACACTTATCTGCAGACTGATGCTGACCAGAACCAGTGCCATCACCAAGGCGTAAATAGAAGACATTATGGCTGCTACAAATAGCTGGAAAATAAATTGACCAAATATTCCAATAAAAACCGATTCCACTGATTACATGACGGGCAGCAAAAAGTCATTTGTGCCTCTTAATGTTTATAGGACTGAACAAATTGGCATGAGTTGTTTTTATAAAGTTTTTTCTCCATTGCTCCACCAAGTTCTAAACTTTAGAATCCATATTAAACCCGTTTATGAACCACTTTTTGTCAGCTTTAGTACAAGGAATATCGTTTACATTTTTCTGTATGTTTTGATACAATATGAACGTCAATATGTAAATTCTTCAGTTTGCATACACAACAAAAAACACCAACCTGAGTCTTCGTAGTTGTAACATAACACAGTATGATAAAGAGTACGATAGGCACCAGGTTTACGATGAAGGACGTAATATCCCCCAACTGTCCGCTTTGTCCGATCTGGATAGTCTGGAAAGCTCCTACAACCACCAAGAATATTGTTCCCGGTCCCAAAATGGAGGACACCATGAGACAGGCTTGGTAGATGATGTATAACATGGAAATGTCCTGGTTCACCTGAATAACCAACATATAACATATATAAGACTTAAAGTTGTGATGTTTGTGATATTTTGAAGGTCAACAAATTATTCTGTTTCTTTGTCGCTTTCTGTTAACCGCATTTTGTGTTGTCTTGGATATCCCTTTGCTATGGGATAATTTAAATTTGTGATAATAAAATAACATCACTTCAACACGGCGAAATCCATAGCAATAATTGAAACGTTTATTCAAGCAACTGAAATATTTATATAAAAGCTAAGTAGTCGTATATTACTTCCATCTCAAAACCTTTATAGAATAAAGAGAAATTGGCAAAAATCCTCATTTTTAGCGCAGCATTTAGAGAGCGGGGAGACAGAGAAAGGGAGGAGAGAGAGAAAGAGAGTTCGACGGTGTACACGTACCTTGATGGTGTGTTTGAAACTGAGGAGCAAGTCCATAACGTTAGCCATAGTTGATGGTGACCAACGTCTTCTTTGGTTGAAAAATTCGTCAAAGGTCTCTGGAGCGTAGGTAAGAGCGTCAGAAGCAGCACTGTATTCCACGCGGTACCCTTGTTGTAGTAATAGGGTGCACAGCCAACGATCTTCACCTGCAACACGGAAGTAAAAAGATTTTTTTTGTGCTAAGATTTAATTTCTCTTCAAGTCTGGATCTATCTGGATAGCTACTTATGCGATTCACGTCAACCGTTTTTTAAATCTATAATAGGAATACGTTGTACGGCGCCCTCCAATGAAACATTCTTTTTTTGTTTTTTCATTTACCAAAGTCATATTAATTTGAATTTGCTGACCAAGCGTACACTGTTTGTGTTCAACACTGCATCAACATTCATTTCATTCTGAAATCAAACTCAATATTCATTTAGCGATTAATTCATTTAAAATTAATAAAATGCGCAATTTGTACATAAAAATATTGTGTAAGGATTATTCAAATGATCTTTGTCGTTTCTGCATACCTTGATCATATTGTAAGTAGTGTACAGCCTCGGTGGGCGTGGTCGCGTATTTCCGCATCACGTTATCATCCATGAGAGCAGAACCGCGAAACAAGCTGAAACATCCGGGGCTGCAGAGAACGCAACCAATCATATGTTCCGTTGCCTTCTGGAACCAATGAGAGATGGCATATTCGAACTTCTGGTACCAAACCATAGGACCTAAAACAAAACTGGACTGGTTAATATAAGTCAATACCTAATAGGAATAAGTAGTAATGGCTGGTTGCTAATTTTTTTAACAAAATATAAATACCCCTGTTCGCCTGTTTTCAATCCTGTGGGCTAAAACACATGTTAAAGTTTTCCACCAAAGCAAATATGTACGAGAAAGCTAGACCTTGCTGAATAGTTCCAAAATAAACCATTTTCCTTCTTCTATAACGACTTCATTTCATTCATACCTGATCCTATAGGGTGAATACGACCGCATGCAGCCCCCACGTTTTCGTTCCTCTTCATCAGGTCCACCAGAATCTGGACGGCAGAGGGCTGAAAGTCAACATCGCCATCAAGCGCCAAGAGGAACGTGTTTTCAGCCAGCTTTCCAACTTTGCTTACGTTTTCTACCTTCTGCATCAGGCGATAACCCAAGAAATAGTACAGATACATTACCTGAAATTATTGAAAAACGTTATTTATAAAAAATTGGAATGTGTTTGCCTATTTTAATAATTTTTGATGATTTCAAATTACAAACAAGTTCAAATTATCAAAAATAATGTTAGTGTACAATAAAATGTTAATTATTTAAAATTTACCTGACTCCATCTTTTTCTATGTCGTATCTTTGCTTTATCTTTAAGGTGTGCCACCAACTTATTGCCACCAGGTAGCAGCCATACAAGACGACCCCCATAAGGAGTTGGGATCTTTGTAGGAGGAGTGATGGACATTGGAATTCGATGTATGGAGCTGAAATACGAAGTTCCATGAATTTTAGGAGTTCTATGATTTCAGATGGTCATTTTGTTTTAGAAAAAATTGTTTGGATGTTGTAATGCCATATTTATGTGATAATGATGAAATTTGCTAATTACTGTAACAATAAAATTAAAGTAAATACACAACAATTTGGTGTATTAATTGTTAAATAGGCTGATATCAGTATGAAAATATGAATAGTAACCTGATATAAATGGACATATGCTGTTCAAAGACAAAGAGAAATAAAATGTATGTTTTACAATTTTCAATTTTCAGTCAGATTATTTTCTCTCTGCCTTCTGTATTGCACCACACAAGTCTAAAACCAATAATCTCAGCCAAGGCTCATACCTGGCAGCAATGTCCACAACACGAACCAAGAGTTTGACAAAATCGTTCACTGTGTAGTTAGAGTTACCATCCGCATGAGGAGTGAACGCATCATCAAAGAAAATGTGACCTGAATAGATTAAATAGAGTGGCTTATCGAGCAATATTATTGAATATGAATGATTGAAGTAAAGGAAAAATAAATATTTTGATGAAATTTGATGTTATACTGTTATTGAGGAACTGAATCGAGGTCTCCTGAAATTGAACATTTATTATATATCGCACATTTGGCCTAGTAATTTTATTCTTTGCGTAACCAGATTTCATATAAACAATATTTCTTTCTCTCGACATTTTTCTGTCTTTCTCTTTCATCAGAGATTCTACCCAGCACCCTTGCCGTTCTCTGCAACAATACCATCTCAAAAACTAAATTTTGATTTGAGTTCTTACCTTCAAACTCATAGTAATCCGGGTCATTTACGTCGAGATATTGCTGCGCCAGGCGACGGGAGCACTGGTCCATGTCAAGTCTTCAGGTGAAACAAAAAAAAAATAAAGACCTTTTATCATTTGAATGTTTTTTTAAATTAAAGTAAAAAACTTCTAAAAAACCAATGCCGTACAAGCTCTGGCCAACATACATGCAGCTGATGCGACACTGCATTTTATTATGCTCAAGCAACTATTAACAAAAACGAAAACATTCGTACCCACCTTAACCCCCCCCCCCCCCCCCCCCTCGGTGGCAAGGGTTGTCGAAACAACCGCCCTTTTGATCAGATATGGCTCGCTCTGAATTAAAGTTTGACTAGGGATTAATTCCATTTCTCTAGTTGGGTTAACTTAGGGGTACAAACTTAAATGCCCCTAATTTCTTGTCTGTTCTTTTTATGATAATTTAACTTACCTGAAGATTGACTTCAGCATCTGTAACATCTCGTTCTCCGTCTCGTGCCACATGGTGGCGCAGATGTAGATCAAGGGGGTCTTGGGGTTTCGCCTTGCTACAGAAGCGGTATAAACACGTCTGGTGTCGTCGAACGATTTCGGGTTGTTCATTACCTCCTCCACGCGCATGTAATCACGTACCTAACAAATAAATTCGAATATTTCGCTTTTAATTAAAACTTCATTTTCAATCATCTTTTAGTTTGCTTTCATTTAATGTGGGCAAAAAGTTACACATCTTTTAGTTTTTTCTGAAAGTTTTATAAATGAGCTAAAATACTATATGTAGAGCATGGTGCCAAACAATCCTTAATATGCAATCCATAAAATGGCTTTATTTGAGAGAAATGAATACGTGAACTTTAACTTTTTCTTCACAAGAAACTACAATCATAGATGTCATGTTGCCCCGTTGCAAAACGCTATGCCATCATATGTCATCACTTAATGATTGCAGAAGCACGTGACCCACCTTCTCGTCCTTCACAAACTCCCTGTCGTCTCGCCGCCGGTTCAGCTTCATGTCCTGTTCTAGAAGAATGCTGCAGTTGAACGGCTTCACAAACAACCTGTTGCACAAATGATAAAGTATTATTTGTTTATTTTGTTATATTACACGGTAGAATGTATCCAACACGCTGACGCATAAAGCATACATATAGGCCTATACATATCTTTTTTTCTAAATTTTACTATTTTATACACATTTTTAAATAAAACTGCAATTTCAATTACAGGTTTACAGCAATAACCTTTTTCGTTATTTCTTGTTATTTTTATCTATGTATATCAACTGAGAGAGAGAGAAAGTGATAGAGAGATTATTTACTTCTCTCCTTTGGCCAGTCGTTCAGATCTTGGCATCCAGATATAGAAAGTTATCCATGCAAGTGATGGCCACCAAATTATCCATATCCACAGCCAGCGGTATCTCTCGCTCAAGTCGGTGGTAAAGTCGGGAAAGTTCCACTCCAGGTGATCAGTGATCAGCTGGAAAAGCAAATTGACGTTAGGCTGTAAATCAGTGTAGACATAGTGTATTTTGGCGCGAAATTATATCATGCCTTCAACAATTTCTTCAGAACTAATGATCGATAGATCTTGTAGAAAACATTGATATGCCCTTTGAAAAAGCATTTTTAAAAACGAACATTTTTTCATATGTTGTATGTGGCTATTTTATTTGATTCAATGGTTGCTAGCAATTCCACTTAGTGCAAACAATATGTTTTGAGCAGTGAAAACTGGAAAATACAGTATATAAACCCTGATCTATTCACACCCTGCTCTGTTTATTTTGCTGTTCTAACAGATATTCAAATATCATTCTTAATTTTCAGTCGTTTGCTTGAAAACGTGTCAACTTAAAGCGGAAAGCCATAGAAACGAATAAATCAAAATTGAAAACATGTTTGGTAAACTTACAGAGGAATACGACTTGTTCTCATCCGAGCCAAGGCCAATGAGTATGGCAACTGCAACAGGTGTCGCCACCGATAGGGGAGCAGCAAAACTAACACGCTGCATCTGTATCTTACAGGCCGTTTTAGCGCAGTACCAGCAGACGAGACTACAGCACACCTGGTATGATGCAAACGTACGTTTCAATATCATTTGAATAGTACCGTAATACCCAATTTTAAGTATTATTTCCTGATTACAGACTTAAGGATGGGGTATCTGGAAAGCAGTTAAGACGTGGGGTTCTTTTGATTCACCTAACACGTGCATGTAATAATAATAATAACAATAAATAATGAATTTATTTTGAGTCTAAAATCCATTATAACATGTTCAGAAGACTTTAAATGTACATAAAACAATTACTTAAGAAATCAATTATAAGGAATAGATAAAAGAAAAGTTACAGAACTTAACGACAAAAAAATTTAGGAGTTTTCTAGATAAACCATACGGTACCGTAATACCCAACATATGTAAAAGTAGCGAATAATTTTTCGACAGGCAAAACATATTTTGATGTGAACATTTTGACTGTGTGGTTTACAGTTGGACTGATTTGTTACCCACCTGAATCAGCATGGCGATACCTGCTTCCCAAGTGGCTGTAGAAAAATAAGGTTCTCCTTCGATGTCCTGATTGTCAGTTCCCTTACATCGTTGGAAATCCAAATGGAACAGCGAAAATACGTCCAAACTGTTTGTGCTGACGATCAGTGCCAGAAGTAGTACCGGGGTTATAGCCAACTTCCACGCACTTATGAAAAAGTAAATTTTGTTCTTGGCCTGGCGTATTTTTTTCTTATGTTTTACCAAAACCTTGTGGATGAAACTGCGGTCTGGGAGATTGCTGAATTTGCTAGATTTTCGGTCAATCCACACAAAGTTTTCCCACCAAGATAAAGAAATGAGAAATAGGGAGACGGGTATGAGCCACATTCTAATGGCCGGGGTAATGGCAGAGTTGTCATACTCATTATAGGTCAGATAAAAAGAGCTCTCTGTATCTGTCGCATTTTTCCTTGATACTGTCTCTAGTGTAGGGACGAAAAACAATGCTGAGAGCTGAACTAGAATCGCTACTGAGTCTGAGAATATGTGTAGGGGGCGGTACTTCTCGGCCTCGGCACGTGGGCGCAAGATAAGCTGAAGAAGGCTGGGTATAAGCGCTACTCCGTGCATAATCAGCAAACCTTGAGTGATGTCAAGAAAGGGAAGGACGAGGAAGACGAGGATGCACAGTCCAACTGAGTGACACGTTTCCACGACAAGAACCTGCCAAGCAACAAAATATTTATAAGCTATAATATATCTCCACATAAAGATAACTTTAGCGCTGACTTTCTGTCCACAGGATGGCTTTAAGATGTTCATTTGTAGATGAATTGTGGGAACAAGAATGTCTGTTCTGTTTGTTATGAACCTATACAAAATGTCATCAAAATATTGAAAAGAAAATGATTTTTATTATACTGCAAATATTAATAAGTGTCCCACATATAGAACCACTGTTTTCCTTGTAGACTTCACACAATGATGTTCATGGAAAAGTTATTTGAAAAAAGGTCGGGGCTTGCCATTTTTAACATTGTCTTATTTTCATACTATTATTTTTTATTTTATTTTATTTTATTTATTTATTTATTTATTTATTTATTTATTTGTTTAGGCTCGACAGCAGAACTTGAATCCACCTATGTAAATAATTGTCTTTGCGCTTGATAACACAATTAGAAAAATGATGAGCAAAATGATTGGTTTGATGTACATGTCTTTGTTATCTTGGCATCGTGGCATGATTGACGCAACCCACGTAGAGGTAAAAATGTCATCGCAAATAGGCGATCAGTTGTTTATTTAGCAAACAATTTTGAAGATAGAAGGAAAACAACTGTCTGGGTAATAAATACTCTAATAATCCAGTCTGCTTTTTACTAGTAGAAGCAAACTGATAAATCCATTAAAATAACGCAACTAAAGCTACAGGGTACATTACCCCCACTTCGAACCCCAAGCCTTGGCCCATTAAACGAATGTGATAAAGCACTGGTATATAAACCACTAACTCAAACCACCGTCATCACTCGAGACAAGACAGCCAAGATGTCAGCAAGCCACCTCTTTTATTCAGCGGTGCTAGCCACCACCCTCTTTTATGCCGCAGCTCAAAAATTCCCTTCTGAGGATTATATCGCGAAAGTACATGAGTTGCATCGTTTAAATATGCAGATCAAGTTTATAGAAGAGAAGATGCTCACCGAGTGCAAAGGGTTTCACAGCAAGGTTGCTGCACTTGGTTTTCCAGACAACATCTTTGGGAAAAGGAGCACTAAAACCATTGAGGAAGTGCAGTTTGAGATAGACCTCGCAAGACATACGCTGGCAGGTTGGAAAATTTGCGTGTAAGCAAATATCACTTCGGAAAGGTATGAAACCATCTGAGGAGATTTTTTTTTCTAGTAAAGACTTCTCTCACTCAAGTTTTCTTCTTGTATTTTGGATAAACAAAGGTACGTCACCTTGATGTATTCAGCCTCACATAAAATATCATATTTGCCAGTTAAGGCAACCAGAACGATTATGATATAAATGTACATTAACACTTATATCGGACATATTCCAACACAATCCCCATAGATGATTTTTTCATCAGTAAAATAATGAAAAAATAACAATTGAATCTTAATCTATTTTATTTTAGTAATTGATTTTATGTAAGGTAATCAAGATTGCATTTCATTATACGAAAAAAATTGCATTCAGGTTATGAATTTGGCCATGACATTATGAGGAATGGTCGATGTCGGATTTTTCGCTAAAATATAGATTAAAAGGAAAAAAAAAGCAAAAATATAATAAGAAGAAATGCAGTGAACTGCACCTCCAAATGTGTTAAATTTAGCATGAAGTTTATGCTACATGCTAAGCCCCAAAGACAGCTTCACTGTATGGGGTTTAGAATTTTCGCCATTTAAGTTTTAATATACAGAATTAAGTAAAGCATATTATACAGGGCTGTGTTTTTTTAGGATAATTGGCTTGGGTTGTCAATACGTTACATGATAATTGTCTGTGACAAAAAATGCACCATTTTGAAGTGGCTTTCTTCTTTTTGTGTGAAAAACGCTTAATATCGATCAATTTATTGGAGTCAATTTGGGTTTGAATTGTAGATGGAGAATTGATATTCGTAAAGGTGTACATACCCGCCGTCGGATTTTTCAGTTTAAGGAACAGAAATCTTAAAATGCACGTTTTCATATGGAAATATTCAAAGGGTTATGCGGCACGTTAGTCTTTTATCTATAGTCCATGTAATTAATCATTCGAGATCTTTTAACTATTTTCTCTGCGTCACCAAAGAAAAACAATATCCAAAACAATTGACAAAAATGGCCTATAACGATCTATTATCCCGTTTTTACAACCACGATTGAAATTCGAAAGTCTTCGTTTCCATTACAAAGGCGGCTTAGGCCTATACACATTGGAGATTCAGGGAAAAGTGTTGAAATTTTCCGGAATAAATATTCATTTTCGATTTTTTTTACTTTTATATATTTAATTTTAATACTTTCTTTAAAAAGTTGTCAATTTTTCCATATAAAGGTCTAACGCACACTATAGGATTCATCCAGACGAACATGGGCAGATATGCCCCCTTCGCTAACACGAAATGTCGAATTCAACCCGCGTCTTACCAGCGTCAAATGCCCAACATTAAACCAAAATTTCGCAATATTTTCCCTTTTTAGCGGAGTGGGGGAGGATGGTAAGCCTGCTGAATATTTTTTTCTTGCTTGCCTGCTATGACAAATAAGACATGTTTTTTATAATCATATAGTCGCAACACATAAATGGGTCGTTTCTACATGTCGTGTTCTAAGAGATGTTTTTTTTAATCGTATGTCCATGTATTTGTGGTGTTCAAGAACAGACTGTAGGGAGATCTCAAATACAGTAGTGTGTGTAAGGTCAAATCACTACCATTAATAAATCTTATTCCTATGAACGGTAAGGCATAAATACGTATTTTGTTCAATTATTCCTTTTGAATATTCTTCGAAAAGGCGTATGTTAGTCTTTATTTATTTATTTTGGCCATTGATCAGCTATCCTGTTTATAATCATAGATGTGTTTCTGTCTACATCCCTAATAAGTAAGCCCTATGATCTAGGTACTCAGTTTATTCAAGATATGTATAATATCATACCGGTATATCACAAACACTATTGCTATTTATTAAATATCACAAATAGGTTCAAAAACAAACAAGACACCTCCTTGATAAGGCACCTTTGACACGTGCCTGCCGTTCATGACTCCAGCTGGCTGATACATATACAGACAGTATACGAGATAATTCGTGGACCAGGAAGGTAAATTAACCGAATAAGGTTAAGGTTAGACCAATCAGGGGATAGGCAGTAGTGTGTTTTGAACGTTTATATTTATCAACCACCCACAGCATCCAAATATATTACTTATTAACATGATATGGATAAAAAGCATATCTCCGGTAAAGATTAATGGAAAAATAAATTACCATGGAGGATGTTCGTAATGTAATGTTAAAACAATCAATGTGGTTTGTTGGTTTATTGTTTTTCGTCATCCTATCTAAACATGGTCAAATAAAACTGTTTATGATAGTGTTTTAACAATTGAAAAATTGAAGCTAACTCTTAAAATTACAGGTCTCTANGGGTGCAAAACCGACCATTACTATCCCCCCTTTGGCCCCACAATTTTTTGGTATTTTAGAGGGTGAACGGTGCCATTTGGTACGGTTTAGAACTATGATTAAGCTTGTCAAAATTTTAATTTCAAGAGGGTACCACTGGTGTAATTTTTTTTCAGAAAACGAAGGGGGGGGGGTGTCAGGACCCCCCCCCCCGACACCCCTTAATCCGTCACTGTAATGGTGCCCATTTTGTGCAAAATATCTCTTACAGAAAGTTGCACAGAATTAACCAAAGAAACATCCGTGAATATCTGGTGAAAAATCAATCTGTGATTCTCATACTGGGTATAAAATTAATTACCATGTATTCCTATGAGTGACTAGTTGCAGATTATCGCTTACCACATCGTTTATCTTTCATGAACAGCTAAACCATGTCCAGACGGATTCGTCAACTTTGAGGATTCCTGCTACTATTTCAAGTCCATCGTTGCACAGCCTCTGACTTGGGACGAGGCCAGAGCCCGTTGTCAAGCAAAGTCAGCAGACCTTGTTACCATTGAGTCCAAGGAGGAACACGAGTTCCTTAAGAAAAATCTTAAACGTAAGTTCGCTTTTACGCCATTATGAGAATTATGAGAAGAACTCTTTAAAATAAATATTGTAAACTGCTGCTTTACCTTACTTCTGTCTAAACAATGCAAGTTTAACGCTCTATCTATTGGTTTTCCGACTCTCAAAGCATCAACAACAAACAGGTAAACTACGTGCGCGACATTTTTTTACATGTAAAAAACTGCAAGAAGCCAGTTGGACTTTCACTTGGAAAAAGAACAACAACAATGAAACCATCAAATCCATAGATTACTCAACAAACATGTGTGAAATATTCTGTGTTTCAGCCATTACTAAACAAGGTATTTTCCAAGGCTGGTTTGTGGGGGGTAAGAGACGCCCTGGTTCCTCTGACGTCAGCTATGGTTTGGCCACCGCTGTTCGCCAAGCTCTCCTCAAACCGCAATACTACTGGGTGCCTACTGGGAAGACTGTTACCTATGACGGATGGAAGAAAGCCGATGGGGTGCCAGGTGATTACCAGCCTGTTGGCAAAGAGTGTATGATGTTGTGGATTGGAAGAGAAGACTTCGTTGATTACGAATTTGACGACTGGTACTGTTCCGGTTATAATAATAACTTGGGTTTTATTTGCGAAAAACCAAACCAGTAAGTCAGTTATCACGACCGAACGGCAGTACTTCACGAAAGCATATTATCTTTTAAAGAACTTCGGAAACATAACCTTTTAATCGTCGAATCAAATTGTCTAATGTGTGACCACAGCAAAATGATTTTTCGGTCCTGTATGATGCAACGAGCGCAAATATAATTTGTATACTTAATGAAAATAAACACCTAGCGAATGACCAAGATTAAACATTTCAAAATAAAACAAAAATTGTATGTGTTCAGATTGTTCAGATTTCAAAAATTTGTTTACTTGAATTACACCATAAAAAATAAAACATGAATGAACTGGCACTAACAGTTTTATTATTTCTGGTAACATTATTTCGATACGACAAACGCCAT